AAAAAGTAGCAGTGCACAGTGGGAAAATCTTTTTGCCCTCCACTTTCTGAGTCCTCCTCCCCCTCTGCCTCTTGCCCACATTTCCCAGACTAGTGCAAATGCTTCTTTTCATCCTATGGTCTTATTGTTAGGAATCATTTTCTAAGCAAAAGCTAGTCCTGTCTCCCGCTCGCTATCCTGTTTGCATGCCACCCACAGCAGGAAGAGTTCCCACGGCTCCAGGGTCCCCCAATCCCCTGCAAGGGGGGCTGGGGAGCATTACTAAGGGGAGGGGAAAGGGGCTACAGTGGTGGGGAGGAGAGAGCAGTGAACTCCTGATTAAGGGAGGGGGCTGTGATTATCCCCACTGCCAGCAGGTGCCCGTGGAAGGCATTCCTTGGGGATCTGAGTGCTTAGCAACATGCTGTGGAGCGCAAACAGGGCAGAAGCAGATGGGACGTGAAAATAAACCAGGCATGGGGGGATCCGTATCTCCCCAAGAGAACATAGGATCCGGATCGCATTCCTAGGATTGGGAAATGTCTCCCAATCTCCTAAGAGGGAAAATTCCCTAGGAAGAAAACGCTTGTTTACCTGCCAATTATTTCCTGACATCAGGTAGCTATGCAGGATGGTTGAACCTGTTATAGGCAGAGGGGGATCGCTTTGCCATCTTCATTGCATCAAGGATAACTGCTCCATGCCCGTTTCAAGGCCTTCTCCACATACCAAGACTGGGGTGGGTTGGTGGGGAGGAGACAGGAAATCCGAAACAGTTTATATTGACCAAATATTCTAGAGAATCTATTTTTCCCTCATCTGCCTTTTAACTCTACTGCCTAGCTAAGTAATTTAAAGTCTCAAGGGAGGAAATCAGATTCTAGATGAATCTCTCTCGACTATACTTGCTCAGAATTGATACTCAGTTTCTTACTATTTTGATGCAGGGCTATTCTGCTGCAGGATACTAAAAAACCATAATGTAAGCCCTGAAAGCAAGCATAACAAAGAAAATCCATTACAGGTAGTTCACCACAACTGAGCCCAAACTTTCCTTTGCTAACCAGGACAGTTGTTAAGCGTCCCCGTTTTACAACTTTTCTTGCCCTACTTGTTCAGTGAATCACTGCAGTTGTTCTTAGTAACACAGTTGTTCAGTGAATCTGGCTTCCCCATTGACTTTGCTTGTCAGAAGGTCCCAAAAGGGGATCACGTGACTCCTGGACATGGCGACCTTCATAAATACATGCCAGTTGGCAAGCATCCAAATTTTGATCATGTAACCCTGGGGGTACTGCAATGATCATAAGTGTGAAAAAAGGTCATAAACCAGGGGTGAAATGCTCCCGGTTCAGACCAGATCGCCTGATCCGGTAGCGATGGAGGCGGGTGGTTCGGAGAACCGGTAGCAAAAATCCTTGCCCCTCCCCCCATACCCAGCTGAGCCGCACAATCATCAGAGGCTTTTTTTTTTTACTTTTAATAGTATTTTTTCTACAACCTCTTTGGCCGAAAAAAATGCTTTTAAAAGTAAAAAAAAAGCCTCTGATGATCGCGCGGCTCAGCTGGGATCCTCAAAGGCTTTTAAAAAGAAAAAAAGCCTTTGCTGATCAGGCAACTCAGCTTGGATCGTCAGAGGCATTTAAAAGAAAAAAAGCCTCTGCCGATCAGGCAACTCAGCTGGGATCGTTAGAGCCTTTTGAAAGCATTTTTTTTACAACCTGTTCGCCGAAGAGGTTGTAGAAAAAATACTATTAAAAGTTAAAAAAAAAATTGCCCACGCCCACCCAGTCACATTACCACCACCCCCACGCACACCAAGCCACGCCCACAAAACCAATATTAACAAATTTTAGATTTCACCACTGTCATAAGCCCTTGTCCCAAAAGTGCTTTTTTGAAAGGCAACTGGACTTTCTAAAAAGCATCTTTGGAACAACCATGACTGAGAATCTCCATAGACATTCAGTCATAAGCCATTGTTTCCAGTACCATTGTAACTTTGGCCATTAAACAAATGGTTTTAAGTGGAGGACTACCTGCACTTCTTCCACAACAAGAAAAAAAAAAGGTTCTCCCACAACAAATTTTTGTCCAGGACCCTCTAAATCTCTTGCTGTAGCCCTCAGTCCCAGAAAAGATGCCAACTCCAACTCAGATGCAGTGCATTTGGTCGGGTTAGCTGAGTCCAAGCCTTAAAGCCAGAACTCCTGAGTTGCAGGGCTGCACACTTTAGACCCCAGAAACTGGTGTGCGTTGGCTTCTTTAACAAAATGAGAAAGAAGAGATAAGCTGGAAGTGTCTTCCTGACACAAGAGCACAGAGCTGAACTAGAAGTGGCCAAGGTATGGAGAAGATAGAGCAGTTCAGAAGGGAGAAAAAATAAATGACAGAGAAAGGGTTGCAGCCTTAGGGGCCTTTCGGTGGCATGTATTCCTTTTCCCCTCCCTACCAGATCTGAAGATTTGTCTCTCTTCTAGTCTTTCCTCTCTGATCTCTCCCCTTTCTATCCTTCGCTTTTTGCCAGTCCTCTGGAAAAAATAACCCTAAATGGCATCCAGGATGGCCATCACCTGCCAACCTTTAAGTACAATTTGCTATGGCGGTTTCTAACTATTCAGCAGACGCTGGGAGTAGTTCCTCCAACTCATGCTTTTGTTTCTTCCCAGCCCATTTGTCCCCTTCCACTTGCTGTCAGAGCTGATTCTAAGGTTCCTCCAGCATGAAGGAGGCAGGAAAGGAGCCTTTCAACAAAGAGAAATAGACTTGTTGCCTTAGCCAAAGCGCTGCATTGCTAGGAAGGGATTAGCAATGTTTTCCTGTTTAGATAATAGCAGCAATTACCATCAGTGAATGCAGCAATGAAGGGTACATGTCCCAGCTTATACCTGCGCTTGATGAGAGTCATGAAGCATTAACAACAGAATTATTTTCCAAAATGAACGTTGTCTAGAATGTTGATGGAAAAATTGGTTCAGAAAGTTATTGGTTAGAAAGTTATTCCTAACCTATGTAGTCTAGATCAGGGGTCTCCAACTTTGGCAACTTTAAGACTTGTGGATTTCAACTCCCAGAATTCCTCAGCCAGCTTTGCTTTGCTGGCTGAGGAACTCTGGGACTTGAACTAGTGATCAGAGGGAGGAGGTTTGCCTGTACAGAGGATGAAACTTTGTAGAATTTATACACACTGTGGTGGGATCATTGGAGATTTAATGGGGGAAGCTACTTTTGCAGCACAAGAAATGATGCTATAGGACTATTTAAATTACTGTTGTTGGCTTTGGACTAGGGTTACCAGGATAATTTTATTATATGGTCAAGAGAAAAAAGTGGGGTGCCAGGATATAATGGTTCAATTGTAAACCACAAGTTTAGGGCCTCTGTTTCTATCCTACAACCCAGACTCAATCTTAGTTTACACAGTGATGACTCGTGATGAGGAATTAACTACTTAATATTTCACTGACTCTTCTTGCAAATTGGCTCTTCTCTACTTTTACATCATCAGTTCTCATTCTGAGTCACCTTCATTTGCTAGAATCGGTTTCTAGAGGCCAGGAATTGTGACAGTTCTTGCACAGCTTCCACAGCATCTGGATTCTGCTGATTTTGTGTGTTCTGTCATCTTTGAGGAAAAACTGTGTGCACGAATTTCCCCTATATAACTCTAAATCCCATCCATATTTTACAGAATAGAGAGAAAAAACCAAAGCCTCAGACATTGAACTGTTCGACCCCAGGATCTTTTGGAGCAGGAAGACAGATCCCCAACATCATGGGTATTCTAAAACATTGAAACAAACTACCTATCCTAAATTAGCCAAAAAAAAAAAAAAATGAGGACAGAGCACTCTCTATGCAAACTTTACCTGGAGTTAGAGAACTAGCACAAGAGGGTAAGATGGAGAAGGTAAAGAGACAATCTTGCAAAATTCATCTTCTTCTTTTTCAAAGCAGTACCAACCTCTGGATATAAAATAGGAACTCTTGGAAAATTGCATATATAATCTCCTCCCACCAACTCCTGTTTATTGATCCATCTCTTGAAGCATTGGGGAGTTATAGTCTTTTTCGCATTATGTGTTACGTGAGGCTTGTCACTGACTGCATTTCTTATAGATAAGACCATCTAGATCTAAATCAATGATCATTTATTTCTTCTAACTAGAAAGGAAAACAAGCCTAACTCCAACAATCACTGCTACTGGGCAGAGACTCGCCATACCATTAATTCCCAAGGGCTTTCTGAAATAGTGTAGGTCCTCTCCTTGAGAGACCTCTGTCATTAGAAACCACAAGTGTGTCGCTTCTGTAGCAGCTCCTTTCCTTTGCTCCAGGTCACCTCCAAACTTCTTGTCACTCAGGGAAGGTACCATAACCTGGCTCTTCCAAAAACCTTTAGATGGTATCACGGGTTCCTATCTGGCAATAGCCGATTGTTGCTAAGGAATATTTATCTCAGTATGGTTAGAAAATTGACACTGGGTTTGGAGATTAAAGATTTTTTAAAATTCCATTTTAATTTCATTTTATTGTAAGCTACTCAGAGTCTTTTTGGGAATTGGTTATTAATATAAATAAGTAGCCAATTGTACAATATGTAAATCAAGGCCAAATCTGCCAGTCAAGGAAATACCATAATTTTTTTATTTTCAGATAATTTGTTACAGTATTTAAACACTGAGAAAATAAATATCTGCTTCTACATCTTTTTCATATGTGCAGGGCAGCTTTTCTATAACTATTAATCATTGAAATTGTTGTTTTTTTTAAATTTGGAGGTATTCTCTCTGTTGCTTTTTTCAATGCAGCTGAAAAATGGCAAAACCAAAAATTATTAATAAATTAACTTATTGATAGCAGCAGAACTATGCAACAAATTGGAAAAAGGATTTTTGCATTATCCCTAGGTAAGTGATTGAGTTCCTTTGGAATCAGACAAAAATAGTCCAAAGTATTGTTTGCTGAAATAGTAATGAGGCATGTACAATTGAACAAGAATTACTTTTTAATGCAACAGGTAAGGCTTAAGCGCTTTTTAATAATTTTGAAAACAAATAGATTATAAGAAATTAAACAAAATGAGGCTTCAGTCCACATATCGAAGGGAAAAGACAACATATTAGGGGGAAAAAAAATCAGCCAATCTTCAGATTTCAGATTCTCTGTCAATGATCTGGAATGAGTCAATTTACTGTAACCTTACTCTACTCCGAAGGGCTGGCAGATTGGAGTCAGGAAAGATTGATCACAGGCAGGCCCCAGATTTTGAGAGGAAAAGGAATATAGAAGTTTTTGGCCACATTATTCATCAATTTTGTGATCCATGAGAATTGCCATCTTGCTCATAGGCATGGGAGCTGCTGATTCATGCCATTTATATCTGGGCATTCATGTTATCTGCTCAAAGGATTGCAAGATGGGAATTACTTTAATGAGTTGAGAAAGCATGCCAGAGTAGGACCAAGAGAAAGACCTTCTTCCTGGTTTCTCCTGTGGCTTAGTCCCATAAAACCAGCAGACAGAACGTTCAAGTATGGTTAGTAGAGCTGTGGAAGAAGCCCTACCTTGTGCCCGGAGATGACAAAGGTTTAGACTGCCTCAAATAGGTAGGTGGTATTATTACTATATGGTGATGGTTGTTAATTAATGAAGTTTGGAGTGATTGCCTGGTGGTGGATGTTACCAAAGTTTGTGTGGCCCTGGCTGATGGTTTACTGGTGATTGAAGATGTTGCCTGTGGTGACAAGTCAAGTTTTTTGTTCTGCTGCTTTGGGGTTTGAGCAAAGGATTTTGTTGTTCCCATTGTTACAGAGCTCCTTTTGTTCAATGGAGAGACAACAGATGACAACTGAGGTGATGTCATGGAAATTACAGATGACTGCTGTGAAGGAGTGAAGGAGTATTTGGTTGATGCCATCTGAGTGGTAGTAGGCTGTCCTGGGATGGAAGGTGTTTCCTGTAGCAGACGCCCAGAACTTGTTGGTGCCCCATGCTGTGGTTTTGTGGTTGAGGAGAAGGATGCAGATGTTGTAGGTGATGATTCATGGGCTGTTGTAAGTTTTACATCATTGGTCTCCTGGGCAGGATTTTCTGCTTTTGAAGAACGCAAAGTAGAATTCTTAGTAGTTGAAGACACTGCACCAAGTTGCTTTGCAGTTTGGTTTGTTAATGAGATCCTTGTTGTCATGTTTTTTTCTACTGGTGGTGCTTCAGTTGTTGTAATTGTTTTCAGTGCTGGAGGACTGGATGGTGGAGATGCAGTGGTGGCTGCTGTAGTTGCTCCTAGTGATGGCAGACTGGTTGTTGGCAGTTTAGTGATGGTGGTTGTAGTTGTTTCCATTGATGGTAGTTTAGTTGCTTCAGTTATTGTGATGGTTCCTGGCACTGGAGGTTTGGTCAATGGAGATGTAGTGGTGGCTGCCATTGTTGCTTCTAATGGCTTGCTGGTTGATGGCAATTCAATAGCAGTGGCTGTAGTTGTTTCCATTGATGGTGGCTTAGTTGCTTCAGTTACCGTGATTGTTTCCAGGGCTGGAGGTTTGATCAATGGAGATGCAGCAGTGGCTGCAATAATTGCTTCCAGTAATGGCAGATTGGTTGGTGGCAATTCAATAACAGTGGCTGAAATTGCTTCTACTGGCGGTAGCTTGGTTGCTTCTGTTATGGCAATTGTTTCCAGTGTTGGAGGTTTAGTTGGTGAAGATGCAAGGATGGCTGCCACAGTTGCTTCCAGTGATGGCAGATTGATTGATGACAATTTAGGGGCAGCTGCTGTGATTGCTTGCACTGGAGGCAGTGAGGCTTCTGATGATGGCAGTTTAACTATTTGTTTTGCAGCTGGCAGTATTACAGGCACTTGGAGAGTTGCAGACGGTGTTTGAACTGTAGTTGGTTCCAGTGATGTTACCGGTTGCTGCTGTCCAGCTGCTGAAGGTAATTTGTCTTGTGTCTGGAGAGGATTCTCTAAGGCTCCCTCTTGCTTCAGCCACTTTGTATGGGATAAAAGCTGAGAAGCCAGGATAGGGATTGTGCAGTTGTGCAAGCTCTGGCTTACAAGGCCCATCACCTCCCATTCCCAAGTAACTGGATCATGACAGATGACGGGACTGCCCACTGGCACCTGAAAAGAGGAGAGGGCATGAGAATCAAACAATCAAGATAACCATGGAGTCAGATCCTAAAATTTGGATACTACAAATACAAAATATTAGAATATCTCTGCTGGTAGAACATCTGAGATATTCTGCATATCTGATCATATGGATGCTCCAACTTTGCTAGAGTAATGTTCCTCCAGGCATTTGGGCATTTGGAGGTTAAGCAAGCTCCTACTGATTGATTGGTCTTCATTGGTTGTTTTTTTTTCTACTGAAAGTTGAAATTGAAATTGAGAGACCTTGGACATTTATTACTTGGATTACTGATGTAACTATTGTTAGTTTTAATTCCTGTACATCATCCAGAGTTGTTGGCAATGAATTGAGTGGCCAAATAAGTTATTTAAATAAGTTAAATAAGTAATTCTGCCAGTGAATGTCGTAGTGGCTCTGTATTCTGCAACATTACAGAACTTTTGTTACATTCTGTGTGTTTCTCCTGATATCACATAGAGGATTATTTGCTTTTCAAACCCTATCTGCCTCTGTAAGTGTAGATAGTAGATGCAGTGATTCAGAATGGCTCTGTAGCTAGAAAAGTAGAATTAGTGCTGGAGGTGGTTGAAGCGAACCTCCCTTACCCTTTGAAATAATAGTGATGAGTTTCCTCATGCCATAGAAGATAGAACAGTGGAAAATCCAAAAAGGAGTAAAATGTGCTGGAAAGCAAAGAGGAAACATTTCCCCCATTGACAGTCCAAAGGAATCCATTTGTTTGGGTTACCTTGCAAGTTGTGAGATTGTCGGCGTGTTTTTTTGCCACGCACAAGTTCCTGCCTTCTGTAGCGTTAGGCCAATGCTTGGAACAGTCAGCTATGCTCAAGGCCTCCACCATTGTCTCCTTTAGGAACCATTTCATCGATCCTGTGGAGAAGGAGAGAAGGTTCCCAACCAGTCTAATTCCTAGCATTCAGCAAGAGGCTTCTTTCGTCTCCATCTGTACGCAGGAATGTGGATTTAGGATATGCAAACAAGTTTTGAAATCTCGCATTCTTGAATACTGAAAGAACTGCTTGTTCTCTCCTCCAGCTTCTCAGTATGTTTTAAAATATTCCCATAGCCATAAGGGCAGTAAACATTAATTCTCTCAGAATGCCATAAAAAGGTAAAGGTAAAGGTTCCCCTCGCACATATGTGCTAGTTGTTCCCGACTCTAGGGGGCGGTGCTCATCTCCGTTTCAAAGCTGAAGAGCCAGCGTTGTCCAAAGACGTCTCCATGGTCATGTGGCTGGCATGACTAAATGCCAAAGGCGCATGGAACGCTGTGACCTTCCCACCAAAGGCGGTCCCTATTTTTCTACTTGCATTTTTTACGTGCTTTCGAACTGCTAGGTTGGCAGAAGCTGGGACAAGTAACAGGAGCTCACCCCATTACGCGGCACTAGGGATTCGAACTGCTGAACTGCCGACCTTTCGATCGACAAGCTCAGTGTCTTAGCCACTGAGCCACCGTGTCCCTTTTCAGTATGCCATATTCTGGCTGTAATACCAGCTTCTCTGCTTTTATAGCATTTCTCACAGATGTGCCAGGCTAAATCCATCTATAGTCTGCTAGGCTATGCTAAGAAAAACAAACATCACCTTTAGGCTGATACCTTTGACCATAGCCCTAGATTAGTTTGCTAAATAAATAGTATTCTAAACCATGGTATACAACACATCTAAACTCACCCTCTTGGCCTCGTTCGAAAATCCGACATTCCTCCTGGGTGTTGTATGGTTTTTTTTCCTGAGGAATACAAGCTGGCCACATGTCTTTTGCTGTTAAATCAACTGGCTGGGCAAGCAAGATGAGACCCAGGTCATTATTGGGTGCTGTATTCCGAGAACTGAAGCCCCGATGTAGCAGAAACTGACTCACTGCCATGGTGGATAAATGTCCAGGAGACCCAGTCAACTCTACTTGGCTCGGATTCCTGCAAGGCAAACATAGTGGCTTGTTTTAATTCAACCCAGGGATTTAGTTCTGTAATCCTCAACCCCAGGACCTTCTGATTAGATTGGAAGATGTTGAGTATTATCTTCTCCAGTAGAGTCACCCATTCCAAGGACAGAGCTGGAGAAAAAAAATGGCTTCCAATTCTGTCAATACTCACATCAACAAGAAGCAGTTGGCTGCTGTCAGGACCCAGAAGCTGCTCAGGATAACTCCTTGGCATCTCTGGCCATTTCCATAGATGTTCACGAGCCATGGGGCTTCTGTGGCTCCACTGTATTCGGAGATCACATTAGCTTTATCCAACTTGGGATCTGGGTACTGAAGGCCACAAACTGTCGACGAAATGCATACAAGTATACAGACCCAACACATTATTCCCTTTTGGGTACGCAACTTTACTCAAAAGAGCGGAAATGTAAGTAGTACAAAGGAAATGAGAGACAACAAATAAGGTGGAAAAAAGGCATCAGAGAAAGGATTCCCACTTGCTTGTCATGGCTTTGGTCAATTAAGGCTTTCATGCTTCGGTTTTTTTTAGTAAGACATAGAAGAGATAAGCTAGGTTACCAGGATTTTCCTATCTATTGTGCACATAATGTTCCCTTATAGGAAAAACAGTATTGGTTAGTTTGGGGACATCGTGGGCAATATGCCACAAATGGAACCAAAGCCTAATTTGATCTCAGCCTGTTTATCTTGATCTATGCCAGATAAAACTTTTAACCCAGAGGCTGCCTTACCCAAATCCAATCAACTGGGAGATGCATACTCTTTAACAGTCAAGATACAGTGAGTATACAGAGCAATAAGCCCCCATCTAGACTTCCATGCTACAGGGTAAATAGATGCTTCAGGTCTTGTCAATGTGCTGATTACTCAGTTGACAAGAAGTGAACTGGGTATCAGCCCTTCAGTCATTCTTCAAAACTCCAAACCATGAGCTAAAATCTCATATAAAGCAATGCTGTCTTTAAATGTGCGAGCCACCCAGAGTCATATATGTGAGATGGGTGGCTATATAAAATGAATAAATAAATGCTACACTTCCTCTTTGAATAATGTGCAGGTAAGTCACAGTAACGTGTTGGTAGTGCCTCCATACCGCCTGCTACTGCTGGTACCAACTCCCATTTGATATAGTTTTAAAATTCTGCTTTTAATGGAATATTGATTTCTAAGCAAGAGTTTATTGCCATCATCTTAGTGCCCATGCTTGTATCTTCCTTTTCAAATATACCAGTTCATCCCAACATGTTCTGAGTTTTTTTCCATAAAACCTTCCTCTCTTCCTAGTCTTGGGCAACAAGACTCAAGAATATTGTTGCTTACAGTTGGAGAAGGTGGATAGAAACAGTGGGAAGAGTGTACACAGCCCAAGGAGATGGTCCATCCTTTCTTTCTGTGACAGAAGAAGGTGTGGGAAAAGCTGAGAACTCCGGGATGGAACCTTTGAGCTCACAAATGATTAATTTGTGACCTCAGCTATGGGGAGCTTTAACATCATTTTGTCCTTCTGCCAGTGCCATTCTTCTGGTAACCTCTAATCCTAAATAGCATTTCTTTATCTATATTTTTATTTCAAGTGTGTTCCTATTACTATATATAAAAATTGCTCAGATTCGGGAACAGCTGGACTCTGACTGGATTGATCCAGAGGAGATGACAAGGGCAGGTCCTGAGAATATTATTTGGGAAGAGTTTGATCCTGTGACTCCCGAAAGCGTGGACAGGATACTGAACAGACTAAATGCGACCACATGTTTATTGGACCCATGTCCCTCCTGGTTGGCACTGGCCTCCCGGGAGGTGACGCGAGGCTGGCTCCAGGAGATTATAAATGCTTCTTTGAGTGAGGGTGTCTTTCCCACCGTCTTGAAAGAGGCGGTGGTGAGGCCCCTCCTCAAGAAGCCCTCCCTGGACCCAGCTGTGTTAGCAAATTATCGTCCTGTCTCCAACCTTTGCTTTGTTGGGAAGGTTGTTGAGAGTGTGGTTGCACGACAACTGCCTCAGTACCTGGATGAATTGAATTATCTAGATCCGTTCCAGTCGGGCTTCAGGCCTGGCTACAGCACAGAGACAGCATTGGTCGCATTGGTTGATGATCTCTGGAGGGCTCGGGACAGGGGTTGCTCCTCTGTCCTGGTCCTACTAGACCTCTCAGCGGCTTTTGATACCATCGATCATGATATCATGCTGCACCAGTTGGAAGGGTTGGGGGTGGGGGGCACTGTTCTACAGTGGTTCTCCTCCTTTCTCTCTGACCGGTCGCAGTCTGTGTTGACAGGGGGGCAGAGGTCGACCCCGAGGCCCCTTATATGTGGGGTGCCACAAGGATCGGTCCTCTCGCCCCTTCTATTCAACATTTATGTGAAGCCGCTGGGTGAGATCATCCGTGGTTTTGGGGTGAAGTACCATCAGTACGCTGATGACACCCAGCTGTACATCTCCACCCCAGACCACCCCAATGATGCCCTCGAGGTGATGTCCCGGTGCCTGGAGGCCGTACGGATCTGGATGGGAAGGAACAAACTCAGACTCAACCCATCCAAGACCGAGTGGCTGTGGTTTCCGTCGTCCCGATATAGTCAGTTGGCACCATCTCTGACTATTGGGGGCGAGTCGTTGGCCCCCACAGATGGGGTTCGCAACTTGGGCATCCTCCTGGACTCGCGGCTGTCTTTAGAAGAGCATATGATGGCCGTGGCCAGGAGGACTTTTTATCAGGTTCACCTGATTCGCCAGTTGCGTCCCTTTCTGGATCGGGACTCGTTACGCATGGTCACTCACGCCCTTGTCACCTCACGCCTGGATTACTGTAATGCTCTCTACATGGGGCTCCCCTTGAGAAGCACCCGGAGGCTCCAACTGGTCCAGAATGCGGCCGCGCGGGTGGTGATGGGAGCAATGTGGCGCTCTCATGTAACCCCCCTCCTGCGCGAGCTGCACTGGCTCCTGGTGGTCTTCCGGGTGCGCTTCAAGGTTTTGGTTACTATCTTTAGAGCGCTCCATGGCTCAGGACCAGGGTACTTACGAGACCGCCTCCTGCCACCAATAGCCTCTCACCGACCAGTTCGCTCCCATAGAGAGGGACTCCTCAGGGTGCCGTTGGCCAAACAATGTCAACTGACGGCCCCCAGGGGGAGAGCCTTTTCTGTGGGGGCACCTACCATCTGGAACGGGCTTCCCCCAGAGTTATGAAACATCCAAGACTTACGCATTTTCCGCCGTGCCCTGAAAACGTTTCTATTCCAACAAGCTGGTCTGGCCTAACTCTCCCTTTTTAAATTGGCTTTTAAATTGGGTTTTAAATCGGGTTTTAGACCTCTTTTAGATAAATCTGGATGTTTTAATCTTTGAGCCAAATTACTTAATCTGTTTTTTAATAGTTTTTAACTTCTATATGTATTTGTATTTATTATGGCTGTTCACCGCCCTGAGTCCTTCGGGAGTAGGGCAGTATACAAATATGAAAATATATATATATATATATCACTATATATATATATATTTCACTAATATATATATTACTATATAATTCATTCTTCTGCCTACACCAGGGATGTCAAACTCGATCCCATTGCGGGCCATATCAAGATTTTATTTTCCCTGGGGGGGCATGGCCTGGTCATCATGGCTGACTGGGTGGGCGTGGCTGGGGTGGGCCTGGGCTGCCTGGGCCGGGCCTTCTCCATCTCCGGGACGGCCCTGTGGGTAACTCTGGGCCTACTGTGGGCTGAATCTGGTCCGCAGGCCACGTGTTTGACACATCTGGCCTACACCATCCCCATTACCATATATGTCTATGTCTATATTGGTGTCTATATCTAAGACTTTATATTTTACAGTGTTGTAAAATTAGGGATTATGTGATATATGGTTTTGCTGTGATGCCAAGCAAGGGACATTGCTAATTTAAAAGAAGACTCATCTGGCTCATTGTTAACACATGAAATAGAGTAGAATTGAATAAGTGTGCTTTTGCTGGATTTGTATCTGTTCACTGACAATCTTCTCCAGATTTTGACCCAATGTTTTCATTGGCTAGGAATACATGAGGGTATGTGGGTTTTTCCCAAGACACATTGTTAATTGTGACAGATTGTATTCTTGTAGTGTTATCAGTTAGGCCAAAGTTCTACTTATTTTCTCAGACCACATTTGCTCCAAGATACAAGCTGTTTCAGAGTCAGCTGCATTTTATAACGCACGATATATTTTCCAAATGCATTAATGAAATAATGTATGTTGGAATGTCAACTTCTAAGTTCCATATTTTGCAGCCTCTTGGTACATTGTTTGGATGCTTGCTTGTCTGGAGGACTACGGTGTTGTTAACAATCATCCAGGGTTGCCATCTTTCAGCCAGACTCTCAATCAGTGTCTGAAACAGCTTCTTGGTCTCTGGAAATGTAGGTATTTCAACCTTTTTGTAGCCGCAAAATGATAGTCATTGCTTTTCTGGCCATTTGGCAACTCTCTTGCATATACGTACATGCAGTATACTGTATATCAATACACCTTTATAAAAAGGCAAATAAGAAATGTCACCAATGGAAAGCTATGTCCTCATTTCCTTTCCACTTTAAGTAGTTCTTTGGTTATACCATATCTCTTAGGATACTTCTTGACATGAATTTTCTCCCCCGCTTTTAAGAGAATTGTGTTGTTCTGTTTGAAAAATAGTCCTGGGATAATCTTGAGTTATCAAATGTTTTGTTCGAATGTTCACACCAGTTCTTTACAATGTAAATATGGAACAGTAAAGTTAGCTGTGCGGAGGAATATTAACCATGTCAGAAATTCAAGTCAACTGGATGGTCCTTCAATATGGACAGAAAAAGCTATGTATAAACATAGCCTCACACTTTGCGGTTATTAGTTTGATTACTTATTAGATTACTTATTAAAAACAGCAGCCCTCAAAGACACACAGACACTCCCCCTCTAAATAGCAATAGCACTTATATACCGCTTTACAATGTTTTACAGCCCTCTCTAAGTGGTTTACAGAGTCAACCTATTGCCCCCAACAATCTGGGTCCTCATTTTACCCACCTTGGAAGGATGGAAGGCTCAGTCAACTTTGAGCCGCTCAGAATTGAACTCCAGAAGTGAGCAATGAGTTAGCCCTGCAGTACTGCATTCTAACCATTGCACCATCACAGCTCTAAAAATCAGAATATGCATGGTGTATATATTTTCAGGCCTTTGCGCTATTACAGCCAAGGTCTATCCAAAGCTGCATATTCTATTTCTCAGTTTTAAGGAGGCATAGCTGTCTATGGTTTAGAGATGTTTTCTAGAGCATCTCTGTACTGTCGTTATATTGTATGGAATGTAGGAGTGGAGTGAGGAGCCAGACTTGCGCATTAACTTGATGTCAGAATGGCAGAAAATCTCAAGGCCTGACTCCACTTAGAAAATGCAAGGAAATACAGGTAGTCCTTGAGTTACGACCACAATTGAGCCCAAAATTTATGTTGCTAAGGTAAACTCTTTAAGTGAGTTTTTTTATGACTTTTCTCCCCAGAGTTGTTAAGTGAATCATTGCATTTGTTAAGTTAGTAACACGATTGTTAAGTGAATCTGGCTTCCCCATTGATTTTGCTTGTTGCAAAATCTGATCACATGACCCCAGGACACTGCAACCGTCGTAAATATGAACCACTTGCCAAGCATCTGAATTTTGATCATGTGACCATGGGGATGCTGCAACAGTTGTTAAGTATGAAAAATGGTCATGTCACATTTTTTCAGTTCCGTTGTAACTTTGAATGGTCAGTAAATGAACTGTCGAGGACTACCTGTAGCAAGGATTAATTCCCTTAAGGACCACCCCAAATTTTCCTTTGCAATATTATTGGCTTGAATGAATGAATCCTGTGAAATGGTTTTTGTGATGACGCACTGCTATAATCAGGATAGTGGGTTAGGAAACCCACTTCATTCTGCCTGGTCAGCCTCTCTGGGTCGATCAAGAATGGCTTGTTTTAGCCCTCTTCAGCAGAAATGGTTGAGATGACAAGAGTGACAGCTTGACCAAGAGGTGAACATTTTCTTAACCCAATGCCTTCTGCTTGGATTATGACATCCCCTCCCCCGCACAATGCCCAGCCATCAATCATAGGAATGATAGGAGCAGTAGTCCCATCCGAGAGCACCACTTAATGAAAGGAAAGCATGCCATCTCTCCTAGGTCAGCTTTTACAAAAGATTAAGCTAGATCAATCTTCTCAAAGTAGGTTCTGTAATTCCCAGTCAGCCTGGTCCATCCAGGTAACAATTGAAGTTCTTCAGTATACTTCAGCACTAAAATGAAAAAAAAATAAAAATTGGCCCAAGGCAGGAAGTTCTAACGCTGCTCTTTATTGAGTAGATGTAAATCTGTTTCCTTTTTTCATTTGCTCACAAGGTTTAATGTAGAAGAGCAGAAATGAAACTTCTAAAGCTGCCTTATTTCAGTTATGAATGCTTCGTTCTTCAGAGAGACTGCACGGATCCCAGAACGTAGCTATCAATAAGCATCTTCCCATAAGTATCTACTCCAAAGTTCAATAGCACCAGCACCCAATTAAATGTGCCTATATCTTTTTTGTTTTATTTTGTTAACCTTTCACCAAAGCAGTCTTAGGAATTTTTTCACTAGGAATGGTTAGGAAAGCTCACTTCCACTCAGAATTACTGTTCTTGTTAGCAAAAAATCATGGAAACAACATAGAGCTGTAGTACAATTTAGACCCAGCAATAGAAATGAGAACATACAATGGAATGTAGCTTTTCTTTTTATTGCAATGGAAGAGAAAGGTGCAGACCTCTTTGTGCTGTATACAACTTGTGGTCAGTCCTATAGATATTTATTCAGAAGGAATCTACTGTATGCTGACATCACACCTCTGAAAGTGGGTGTTGTATTGGGCCATATTGGCTCTTCAACATTACAAAGGAGTTGTTGTTGTAAGGTAAAAAGATAAAGCTTTCTCTGTCCGTTGTATCCGATTCTAAGGCACAGTGCTCATCTCCATTTGACCGAGAGAGCCAGTGTTGTCTGAAGACAATTTCCATTGTCATGTGGCTATATGGCCAAATACGCATAGAGTGCTGTTACCTTCCCACCAAAGTGGTACCTATTAATCTACTTGCATTTGCATGCTTTTGGACTGTTAGGTAGTCAGGAGCCAGGGCAAGTAACAGGAGCTCACTCTGTTGCGTTGAGCTTGGGTCTTGAACCCGGAATGTCAGCTCTCCAACTGACAAACATTTGAAATATCTTATACATTATAAGACAAATTCCTTGTGTGTCCAATCACACTTGGCCAATAAAGAATTCTATTCTATTCTATACATTTTGTTTAGAGCATGTCCTCTTCCTTGGATCTAGTGCTGTCTGTACTCTGTTGCTAAGGTAGGACTTATTTGAAATCTCATTGGCCATACAAGGCTTTGTTTTGGGCTTAGCATTGTGCCTGTATTTCTTCTGCTATTAAGCCACATAAAACCCATCTTATGTGGGAGATATAGTGGTTACTGTGATACTAGGACCAGAGAAACCAAGATTTAAAAAATGTCTTAACAAGATACAAAATGGTGACCTTGAGCCAATCACTGCTCAGAAGAAAGGAAGAATGATCTATATGGTAATTCACAAAGAAGACATACTATGTTACTTCCAAGTTTCAGTCATCTTGAACATAAATTGTTGACAATTTTTGGAAGACCCATGGGGCTGCATTCAAGGCTTTTGTAAGTTCATGTAGCCTGGGGGCTTCAATTGTGCACTCCTTTCTATACACAATAGAGCTGGAATTCCCAGCTTTGTTGCTGGCTAACATCAAGAAGGATCAGTAAGGGCAAATTTCAGAAAACAAAGCACTGAATAAAATTATCTTTTAAATAAAGACCATGTCTGTAAATTGACTTCCGAATGCATACACATATATTCTCACATAAGCCCCCTCATACAAATGCACACAAAACCATTTTCTCCTCCTGTTACTAAGACAAGTGTGGCACTCAAGCTCTTCTTCCCACTAACTATATATTGGCACTATCCTATTCTCCCAGCGAAGGGAGAGAGTCTGGCTGCAATAGGCCAGCATGCTTAAAATAGCTATGAAACTGGAGTGGGCAAGAAGCACTCTGACCCACTGGTCAATTTCAGGTGACTATTTGATGCCAGCTGATTGCTGGAATTCTTGCAAAGAACAAGGAAGGAAGGGCAAAGCACCTCTTATAATCATAGAGAACTGAATTTAAAGATAGATTTGGGTTAATCCATCTGTTTGAGAGATCAGTGCATACTTAAATAGTGAAAGACAGACACAAGGGACTAAGAAGCCAACAGTCTAAAGGGAGCAGGGGCACAATTAGAAACATTCAAAATCCTTCATAAGACTTGGAGATAGTTATAAACAGTGACCAGATCACACATTAATCATGCAGAAAATTCCAAACTGAATATTGGCAATTCTATATAAAAAGAGTAAGCACAAATCAAAGGCTGTATTTAATGAGTTGAGTATTGCTAAATATATTTCTTTAAACTCAATTGTATGTTATCTTATAAACCTGTGCAAACTCATATCGAAATTTTCATGTTGTGCAGAAAAACACTCCTATTTTCTAATTTATTCTTCCAGGAAAAAACGATGTAAACCCACCCACCCCCACCCCCACCCCAATTTAGAATGTCGCTGCTTAGGAGGAAGTGACAGAAACGGGGTATACATTGTTATCTTCAGTCTTGGACTTTCCTGGCCTCTCACTACAACCATCAAGTTTTCAAATTCTGAGGATCTTTCTTCTTGTCAATGAATCAATAGCAGGCATGGATCATGAAAACTTACTTCAGGATTTTAATATCCAGATGTTTGAACATTTGCCTCCTCATGCTTAGCAGTTCCTTTTAGTTCTCAATTAATAATCATATAGTGCAAATGGTGCAGGAATTCCGAGGAAGGTTTAAAATCTCCCCCCCCACCCCCTTCTTTCATAATAGAAAGACCTTCAAATTCAGTGGCCTGGATGAAATTTTGAGAAGTTGTGATTTCCACTGCAGCAGTAGATAAATCAATGACAAAAAAAATGGCACGGGTTGATTAATAAATGTGTGAGAGCGAGCAAGCAGAGAATTTTAGGTATAATATAGTAGATGGCAGTCTTGCCAACCTGGATTTTTCTAAGTCAATTTCTTTCTCCCTTATGTGTACTGCAAATTAAAGCATCACTGATTACTCAGAAGGCCATATGGCTCACCGTACACAATCTGCTTTTCCCCCTATTAAGGACTTTCAACTTTTTATTATATAACCTTACCTTCACATAAAAATAAAAAAACTGCACTTTTGTTGTGGTAACTATATCCAAAGACTTTTCCCCCCCAGCAAGGTCCACTGTTTTTTCAGTTTTCATCCCTCCTCCTGAATGAATACAGGCACAAACGATCTTATCAAGAGTGGGCTTTTATTTTTTTTCCTTTTTTGGAATTTTTTTAAACCTTAGGTTCCCTTCCAGCAGCAAATGGGTGCCAAGGAAAGAGACCAACAAAAGAATCCAAATGCTCCCTCCCGCCGCCTAATCAACACATTCCAAGCACAAATTAAGAAATGCAAACTAAACCAAAAAATATATATATATTTGTATATATAATTTGTCTTTCTCTCTCCGGGTTGCACCTGCTCCGCCTCCAATGACGGCTGGGGTTCTGTGGCTCTCTTCAGTAAGGGGGCAGCAGGGCACGCACACACACACAGGTGGTTGGAAAAGGAGGAGGAGCATCGCTTGGTTCCACTCCCTCCCGTTGCTCCCCAAGTCTGACAGTAGAAAAATATGGCAGCTGGAGCCACCCTTATGCCAGGCCAAAGCCTTCTGAGCATTCCTGGATGGCCAGTAGCAGCATGTGACGCAGTTTCTCATAGCTTTCATAGGCAGGGAGGTCCAGCTGGTTGAAACTGGTGGAAGAAAATAGTAATTAAATCAGGGAAGGCAAGGAACACGCAATCAGCTAGACTGTTTGCTGGCAATGTTTTTGGCAATAACTCCCACCAGGGATCTGCACTCCCCCCTTTGAAAATTAATCACTACCAATTCAAATTATATACATATATCACCAATTCTTCCTACATTTGTTTTTTTTTTCTCCTTCACTCTCACAGCAGACCTAAGTGGGAGATTAACTGAAGTGGTATAAAAATCCTCCACAAAATAATTAAAACCTCCCCCAGGTATTGCAGGAAAATAGTTGCTTCAGTAGCTGTGTGTCATGGGATAAGTATAAACACACAAAAGGGCAGCAAATTTTTTCCCCCAGATCTTGTGGAAGTTGATTAACGGCTTGGATTCTGCCACAGTGCTATTCCTTTTAGATGGAGTTATTGCAGAGGGAAGCACTTTAAAAAAAAAAAGAAAGAAAGACCTAGGAGTATTCTGAGAAATAAGAATACTTACCACGTGTGAGCAGAAGGCAGTCTGTCTGTTGAGCGGTCATCTCTGTGGATCTGAAATTTCTGGATACCATTCATGCCCTCTAGGGCAGCAAAGCCCTGCAAGGGCACCTTGGATGTGCCAGTGACGAACTGCAGGAACTTCGCTCTGTCAGCCTGATCAAAGGAACGCAGTGCTCGCCAGAACCACTGGATCTATGGGTTACGAAGGAAGGAGTGGAGTGCAATGTCAGGAGTTTTGTTTTTCTTCAAAAATGATGAAGAATTTAGATCCTCCAGAAAAAAAAATGGAGGCTATCCAAAAAAAATAAAATAAACGTAAGGACAATTTAATCCCAGAAAGGGACTCGTTTCAATGAGGCTTTTGTAGCAATATGATGAATTCTGAAATATTTCAACATCCCCCCTCCCCATTAGATCTTAATATTGCCTCTAGATGAAAGATAAGCAGGCACCTGCCCAGAACGGAAAGCCTAACCTGGATGGAGTTTGCCTGATACTTGTGATACTCTGTATTGGATTTCAGGTCATCAATATCAATGGTAGGTAGCCCCGAAATTAGAAGCTCCAGCTCCTGTTCAGTGAAGATGGAGATGAGGCGCTTGGGGATAATCTCATAGAAGCCCTCCAAAAAGGCAGCCAGCTGCTTGCGGATTGCCCCTGCCGGAAGGAAATGGGATACTTTGTTGGAAAAATTCTTCTTTAATTAATCCCTAATTCTCCTTAGAATACAATCTATAAATGAATTATTTTCCATATTGACTCTGTGTGCAATTTTCTATATAAAGTTTATCATCTGTCATTCAGTTAGTTGGGCACAGAAGTTTCAAAAAGCCTAAGAATGGATAAATGGGTTGGACCCTGCCCCGTCCCAGATCCATTGTGTCCCGACGCACCTGTCATTCTCATCTGACACACCAAGTGCACGTATTCCTTCTTGTTTTCTTCAGTCACAAGAATGTTGGCCCCATTGGGCTTGAGGTCACGTACCTCACATACACCAAATTCTTGAACCTATTTGGCAGGGCAAGGGGGGGGGAGGAAAGGGCATCAAAAGAGTGCTAAAAAGTTTGAACCAGAGAATAGGACAAGGCTACCATTTTAACATGGGGTTACCTCAGTGCTGAAGGTGAGATCATAGCCCAGTGTGGAGACATCATTCTCCAAGAGATAGACCAGTCCCTGGTAGAAATGGTAATCCTCACTCTCCATATCTGTGTACCTGCAGGCAACTGGCTGGATTAGAAGTGGCTCCCAGATAGAAAAACTCAGGAGATGAATCCATTCATTTAACAGTCTTAAAACAAATGCACTACTTACCTGACTGATTTGCCCAGGATATGCTTGTAGAAGGAACGGGTGAAGTAGCATTCTAGTAACCGATTGTCATATACTGCCTTTGCCACAATGCGCCCGACAAACTTGAAGTAACTCAGGTGGTTGGGGTTACAGTGGGAAGAAGGATTGATGGTGTAGGTAACCCGATCACCGGGCGACGTGCGGAAAAGCGCATACATCGGGTTAAACATCTCCCGTGAGATTATCATGTACCACTCACGTAGCAAGCCTCCAGCATCCTGGCCTTCTTCTCCTTCAAATACTATGTACCTGGCAGAAGAAAGATAGTATACATACATAATATAGCAACTGTCAAAGGCAGCTAGATGTTAAAGCTGCCAAACTCAATCTTATGTCTTTAGTTTAAGGAAAAATTTAAACTACACATATATTTTATATGACTTTTTTTCTGGATATCAGGATTCAAAAACCCCAAAGAATAACAACTAATAATAATTTGTATGCCATGACACCAATTTCACCACAGGCTATGGTGAATTTCAGCAAATTTCAGCCACTGGACAAGAATATTGCTTACAGCCTGTTTTTCATTTCTTCAGGTGATTTGCGATGCAATTCCCGGTAAGAATCTTCAAAGACGTGATCTCGACGCACATGCACAGCCATATCTTCTTTCCTCAGCCCCTCATCCAACCTTTCCAATTCTTGCCGGAAATACCTGCAAAGGAAGATTGAGGATGCAGCATTACTGTGCCACTGGGTGGTCTTCATGACAATGACCATAGAAAACTGAAACTAAAGCATATTTTTCTTAGCCACAGAAAAAAAATCAGCGGTCTGCCAGAGGATTTTGCTTATCACATCTGGGAAGCAGAAGAATAGTCACATATTTCTCCAACAACAAAATCAAACTCTAACAAGCTCCTATTACTTGTTTTGCATTCATCCCAATGACTAGGATAATTAAAAACATCAAGAATATTCAAATGCAATAGGAGATTAATGTGTTCCAATGTGGAACAATCTGTCCTAGTGCTCAAAGATGGAGCCATACTTCCACTCCCTGCTGCTGCCTTGTTTTTAAAGAAGGAACCCCAAGTGTTATCCCACTTTGAAACCTACTTCCGTTTGACATCAAAGTCCAGCACTCGTATGTAATCAACAAGGACCGCAAAGGGACCGTCAGCCAGGTGGGTAGTAGACTGGCGCAGGATCTGGTTCAGCACGGTCCGATGTGTCTCTGCAAGTTGAGAGAGGTAATGATAAATCCATAGTTTTCCCAACCAGCAACTGATTTTTCAGCTACCAGAATATCTTCTGCCTCAAAGTTGAGCCCAATTAACCATATAGTGCCATATAGTATATAAGTGATTTATCATTTACATTCCATCCCTTGTGAATTCTCTTATGATAATATTTCTGGTATTCTCATAAAAGAGTTCCTTTCAATTCTGTTGACTTAAGTCTGGTGTGCCTTAGTTTGAGCTTACCTGCAAAACGGAGGAATTTCTGGGTGTCTGGGGGAAGGCTGGAGGAGATATGCATGGATGAAGGCTCACGGGAGAAAAAGGGGTCAAGGGAAGAGGGTGTTGCTGGTGTCAGTGGGGCAGGTGAAAGTGGCGGGGGTTCATCCTTGATATGAGCCAGCTGACTTTCCCGAGTGTCGCGTACTGGTGGCTTGCTTTCTCGCTCTGTCGCATGCACCAAAAAGAAGGCCTCCACTGCAGGCTGTAGCACTGTAAGAGAAAGAAGAAGAAAAAAATAAGTCCCAAGAGGAAGTGAGGGCTAAACTAGTTGGACATATACAAGCAACCCCGGAACCTTACCAAGCACAGCGTGTTGGTCATGGGATTCTTCCAGCTCTTTCAGACACTCGCCCAACATGTCCCACAATTCATCCAGACTAAGCTGCTCACTGAGCAAAGGAAGATCTGGAGGGCGCTCTTCTTTCTCCTTCTCACCCTGCTGGGCCCCTTCCAACACTGTGGAAACAAGGAAGTTGAGTCCAGAGAGACTGTGCCTTTAAAAGCAATCTCCCCACCCTACCTCAGATACTCGTAGATTTGTGACATGCAGTATGTTTGTCCAAAAATATGAGAACACCAAACAATGGGTATGTCAGGGGCAAATGGCAATTAAATTATTGCTTATTACCTAGTCCTGATGCGGAAAAAATAATTACATTTTCTGTGGCTAAGGAAAAGCAATGGTGTCACAGGAGGTCATTGCAGCAAAACAGTATGGAAAATGGGAAGCGTTTTCTGCCAATATCAGAAGGTCATCATTTCTCAATATTTCAGCAGTGGGCTGCTGACTGCAGAGAATTCAGGGCAGTGCAAATAAGGCTCATGCACGGATTGTCCATTGCTGGCATTCTAAGATATAATTGCTTTCCCATATTAATGGCAGCCACTGATTAACCTCCCAAGCTGATGATACTAACCAACTGACTGGGTGTCTTGTGTGGTGGGTGATGGCTGATCCACATCCATTGGGGATTCATCTCTCCTTGCAGATCCCTCTGCTTGGTTTGACTCCGACTGAAGAGAAGAGAAACACACCAGTAAATGCTGCAGTCTTCTAAAAGTACTGGGAATATAAGTGCTGGGAGATTAGCCCAATCACTTTCCCAAGAAAGGGTAGAAAATGGAATCACATTGAACTGTACATGGTAGCACTACCAATTTTCCCACCCACTCACCCACCACAAAGACCAAAAGAGATTAAACATGCTACTGACACAAGCTAAAATTTGCAGGAAGAAAATTAAACAAAAAGGCATTGCTACAAAAGTAGAGGATAGAAAAAAGCAAGAAGTATGAGATGTATGAAGGCTGATCATTTATAGCCTGGAGCAAAGGTTTTGCATGCACTTGAATGAGAAATTCTATAAAAGCAAAGAACAACAGTGGAAAAAAGGGGGGGGTGTCGTCATCGGGGCCTTTCCTGCAGGAGAACACTTATAAATTGAAGTTACACACTGTACTAAAGCAGCTTGACTTCAATACATTGGTGACTCTATCTACTGTTTATCTAACAAGAGACATAAACAATAATCTTTACCAATCATGGCTTGATTAGTAGACCTGGTTATACTGAGAAAAATCCAGTGTGTGAGGCTCATCTCTCTACAATAGCATTTATAATGTAGCTGGCTGGAGTACCTCCTATGAAGCTGGAGAATTAGGGTCTCAAAGATGCAAACGATTATCAGTGAACTATCTGGAAAGAATGGGCCAAGGATTTCATATACTTGGTATCATCAGCTATTATTCTGTACACAAGTAAAGAATGTATTAAACCAATCTAGGTCATGCCTTATGCCTGGTATGTAATAAATTATTTCTAGCTGCTAAAAGGGACACAGTGGCTCAGTGGCTAAGATGCTGAGCTTGTCGATCGAAAGGTCAGCAGTTCAGCGGTTCGAATCCCTAGTGCCGCGTAACAGGGTGAGCGCCCATTACTTGTCCCAGCTTCTGCCAGCCTAGCAGTTCGAAAGCACGTAAAAAATGCAAGAAGAAAAATAGGGACCGCCTTTGGTGGGAAGGTAACAGCGTTCCGTGCGCCTTTGGAGTTTAGTCATGCCGGCCACATGACCACGGAGACGTCTTCGGACAGCGCTGTCTCTTCGGCTTTGAAATGGAGATGAGCACCGCCCCCTAGAGTCAGGAACGACTAGCACATATGTGCAAGAGGAATCTTCACCTTTAAACTTTAGCTGCTAAAACTCAGAAGTAAATGCAGTGTTGTATCTCTGAAAGGCAGCAAAAGACCGCAATAAGGAGTTGATGCATAAGCCTTCAGAGTTTGGACTTTGTAACTCAACAAATGTGATGTTCTAACCTAGGCTGTACAACTGCAAGTAAAAACTCAACTTTACTCCACAATCTCCATTGTGGATGGTACAAAATAGATGCTGGATCTAAACTGAATTAACACTACCACAGATGTCAGCTCATTCACAGCCAAGCACTTCAATCTGAGTGCTATGAAGTTTGGAAAAGAGAGTAAGGTTGAAGAGTAGGGAAAGGTAAGCCATAACCATGGTTATCGATCATATATTCAACTAATAACTCTACCTTTTTTTTTTTTTGAGATTTAATAAATTCAATAATCAAAAAAGCAAAAATGGCAAATGTTCCAAACTGATCTCGTTCATAAGTGCTGTATTTCTAATTTTCAGCCAATGCTCTTAGGTATTAAGAAAATTGCTGGAATTTCAAAATCATTATTTTCTTCTAATCCTGCCAAAGCTATTTGCCACCTGAGTTGTAGAGCTCCCTTATATTGCTTTGGCAAATAGTCCAACCTTCCTTACTGTACATTCTCAAGTTTCAATCTGGTTTAGAAATAACAGAGTATGATTAATTTATTCACAGCAAGAAAGAACAAGCTCTATCATACTGGAGTGACTTGAGAAAGAGAGGATCTGGCATTTATTTGTATTGTCACTTTTCTCCACTGCACTACAGATCTCTCAGCACTCAAGAAAAGGTAAATAAGTTACAGTTAGCAAAAAATATGTCTAAAGCCACCAAAAGGCTAGAGACCTGCCCACTTAGAAAGAAGAACACGAAATACATGTCGAGACAGTTAAACAAAACAATTCTACATTAATGAAAAACCCTAAGGATACAATTTGTTAAGACATTCTGGAAATAGTTTTGAAGCAAGAACTGTCAACTCTAAAGAGAGAGAGATTCAGCCAGCTACAAAGAGCAATGCTTCTAAATTAACCTGCTCCTAAACTAGCCTGTTGCTGCAAGCCTTCTCTCTGAGATCTCTGTGGTTATGTGATGAAGCTCTCTCCTGCACAAAGAGGCTCTGATGACAAGAGCAGATAACCATAAAGAAGCAGCAATGAGAAAAAAAGAATGAAAAAAAGGAGTTTCAAATAAACAAAATGAGTGGCCTACAAGCGCCACAGGCACCATGCTAACCGTTGTTGCTTGCTGCTGCCTCCGGGCCCTCTGACCCTCACGTACCATTTGTATAATGGCGTCAGCCTCAGCCTCCAGCTGCCGAACAGCGGCCTGGATGCTGCTAACTGAGCCCAGACCGGAAGTACCTACACACACACAAAAGAGAGAAAAAGAATGAAGAACTAGCCCCGTCTACTGGGATTCAGCCCAGTTTCAACTTTGGGCTGGGGACTCTAAATGGCAGATGCAACCTCAGGATCTGCCTGGATTGATCCCCTGCCCAACATACCTAGCCTGCCTGTCTGTTTTGCCTTTTTGTTGGCACGGCGTGTGTCATCCCGCAATTGGATGATGACCTGCAGCACCCTTAAGAAGAACTTCTGCGTGGAGGTTTTAGAGGTCAGCATAGACATTGAGGGTAGCTGGAGCTCCCGACCACCCAGGGGACGTTTCTGTGAGGCCACAATCACCACGTTTTCAGCAATGTCAAACCTGTGAGAGGGCACAGGGTTGGAAAGGGCAAAGGTCAGCGAAGTACACTCAACACGAGGCGAGAAGGACCAGCTGAGAGGAGACTCACCGACTCTGCATCTTGCCTTTCAATTTGGTGGTCTGAGGCTGCTCCTCTGGGAGCCCATCTGGTGACAGAGACTCACACTGCGCTCGACGCTGCTGCTCTAAATTGTATTCTCGCAGCTCTGCCAACAGTGTACCTGGAAAGAGAGAATTCGGGGCTGAAACTGATCATGCTGCCTCAGGAGAATATCCCTTACTGTTATAAAAAAAGTACACAAGACTGTGAACTGTATCTGACAGGATTAAAAGATCAGCAGACAATTATACCAACGTAAAAACCAAGACAACAATAACCCTGCCTGAACAGAGAACCCTTGCATCAGGGAACAGAAAGTTAATAGTGAAAAGGATTCATCAACCTTCCCAGGACAGACAATTCCACAACTGGGGTGCAGCTCTTAAAAATGTTTCTTTCACATGTCAAAAATAACCGAGCTTAAGGCAAAATTAGAACTCATGGATGTTCTAAGAGGATTATTTCAATTTGTAGCAAAAAGAAAAAGGCTTTTGAAACTATCCTGGCTGCAAGGAGAGATTGCTTTAAATATTGGCTACAATGTATTCTCAAATGTGACTTTAAAATTGCAGATCAGGAGTACCACACTGTTTCTTTTAAAGAAGCCCCTTTTTCTGACTTCATCTCTGGCTTGAAAAGACAAGACTTGGGCATTTAATCTACAGTGCTTCCAACAGAGGTATTTACCTATTTGTTTGCAAAGGGTGTAACCCAGTTGCCGGGCCCCGTTAAGCAGGAGCTTCAGCACAGTATCACGTGTGGTTGGGTCACCTCGCGACAGTTGCAAGAGAACATTGGCAGCATCTTCCAGGCCTTCTTCAGAGCAAGAGTGAGATGTCAACACCTGGAAGAGGAAAAGAGTTTTGCTGTAGAGCTAGACGTTTCGGCCTCTACCCCCACCTCTTTGATATGTTATGTGGCCACTCCCATAACTCTATTGTCACTCACCTCCACGGACAGCTGAAGCTGGTTCTCCGTTAAGCCTGAAGCTGCCATTTTGCTATCAGTCCCACCTCCACCACCTCCTCCTTCGCCCACCTTGGCTGGAGATTTGCTTGGTTTTGCGATAGCTGCAAAGAGAGAGAGACCACATGCAAAATCCATGTCATCTTGGATTTTAACTTCAGTATTTGAATGACCCGACAACCGATGAATTGAAATCTTCTCTACTTTATATGCAAGCCTCTCCTGAACTTTTTTCTGACAATTCTACTTTAGGAGCCCTCAACACATTGCAGAAACCAATAGAGATCCCTTCCACCATCCATATTTCTCCCAGTCAAGCCCTGTTTGATAATAGATTCAAGTACAACAGTTAAGGTAACAGATGGAGAGTGGAAAGGCCCCAGTTCCGGTCTCTATTCAGCTGTGAAGTTCACAGGGACTTTGGACAAGTCATTAATTCTTAGTTAATTACTTGCCTCACACAATAGTTATGTGGATCACATGAGAGGTCACCCACACCCCCAATCTTCTTGCTTGCCAAGAATTCTTCAAGAAGAATTCAACTTCTTGAATTTAGGGGAAAAGTGGGACATAATCATATTAATAGTAATTCTGTGAGAGCACAGTAGATATAAAAGAGTACTTCTATTACAGCTTTCAGCTTGAAAAACTTCAGCCTTCTATTCTCTTAAAACATTAACTTTTATGTTTATAGTGATATATTTGAAACCAATGGTTATGTCTAGCAAAGCTTTAGAAAACAGAGATTGACTGAATAAACAACACAATATAGGATGTGAGGCAAAGTTAAAATAATCTCTCCTACCATCCAGAAAATAGCAAACTTGTGACCAAGTTTTAATATAAAAGATATTTCAGCCTCATCTTAATCAAAGTAACAGCTGACATGCCACCTCTGTTAAAGGAGGATAAGACAGAAGAGATACACTGCTATTGAAGGAGAGATAATGGATTAACTGAAACACCAATCCCCTAAATCCAATGAAATAGAAAGTTCAGCAATTTAGAGAACATGTTTCAAAAGTAGATGCATCCAGAACACTTTGGTTATAACTGAGGCAACCTTATGCTTATCTCCAAGTAAAATATTTATTGGTCCTCAGCAATATCTAGCTAAAACATTGTCTGCTATGGTTAAGACAGATGCACTGTAAATTAGGCATGAGAAGCTCAGGACCATTTCATTGCTAACTGATACTATTTTCAAGATGGGTGCCTATAACAGGGCTGGATTAGAATATACAGCATTCTTCACAGTCCAACTTTGGATCAATTCAGTCTTGCAAAAATAATGGTTATCCTCACTCTATGCTCATTTATCAAACTTAAGAAACTCCAGTTCATCCTGACCATGATCTTCATCAGACAAAAACAGCCTGGAGATTGTAAAGGCTCCTTTCAAAAGATGCCAGAAACCTTGAATCCTGCCTAAGATTAGCAGTTATGTAGCTTGAATACAATCCTCTTTTGGAAAGATAATACCCTCAAATAACATCCCAGAAAAACCAAGGACCAAAACTTCTTAACTTTTCCCAAGGGGCAGTTATATTCTTTTCCAAAAGTATTAAAGCAAAAAATTGTTAGCAACGTATCAACAGTATCATTTTTCTGCAAAATGACATCTATATTGATGGGTTTTGTTGTCTTGTTTGCCGTGTTTTTGGTATTTTTGATATGATTTGATATTTTTGATATCATTACAGAGTGTATTGCAGTTTTTGTGAAGTCTGTGGAGACTTCAGAGTGCAGTAAGAAGAGATTCTGTGCTAGCTGGTCCGCTAAGCTTTTTTTTTTCCTGCGGGGTGGGGATTTTGTACACTGCACTCTTGGGTATATTGTTGCATTTTGCTACAGAGGAATGGTGGACTTGCTAGTTTAACTTAGTAGCTGCAGTTATTCTGTTCTTTAAGCAAGTCAAATGTAAAAATAAGTGTTACTATACTGAGCAAAGGTGTGTACATGACTCATGATTAGTTTTTTTATATATTTAGGATATAACCATAATTGATACTTAGGATGTTGATACTAATAACCAGGCAAGGAGCAATTTTTTTATTTGTGTTTCCCAGAATGAAGCCTCTTTCCTGGGCTCTGAATGTTTCTTTTTCTCTACCAGACAAAAAGTGTATTTTAGGGTGGTTCTTTTCCATTCTCTCCTATGCTTAAAAACTCAAATGTTTTCAGTTTTGTTTTACTTTGAGTTAGCATGTTTCATTTATTCTATTTGATTTATATTCTGCTTTTCATTTTGAAGCACAAGGCAATATACATATTGCTCCATTGTATTCTAAATATCACGGTCAAATGATTCAGTGTGGAAGATTCCTAGTAGCTGGGAGTGAGGCTTAAGTATCTCTTATATTCCCTGCAAAACTAGATTAGGTTTCCCTTTCTCTCCCCCCCCCCCAATCCCAAATGAGAGGACTTACTGGACACAGCAGCTGGAACGGTTGACGTGGTAGTTACTGTGGCAGTAGCCCCAGAAGCGGCGATTGAAGCAGCAGTTGCAGCTACAGCTGCCGCTGCCAATGCAGAAGCAGGAACAGGGACTGGGACTGGGAGAGGGGCAGGAGCAGGGGCAGGAGTGGGAGCAGGGGTAGAGGCAGGGGCTGGGGTGCTGGCTGCATTAGGAACAATGTAACTGGTTGCCCCCTCAGCTGCATTCTTGTTCTCAGGAAGAGCAATGGAGATGAGAGACAGCAGGCGCAGCAGCTTTTCAGTCAGCAGAGAGCTCCGTCTGATAACTGGGTGGGACAGCATGTTCATCAGCTGGCCCAGTGGAGAGGCTTCCAAGCTGTAGGGGGAGCTCTCCCCTTCTGAGCCAGAGCTCACAGGCACAGATTTGATGGAGTTCTTGCCCTTGCGGCTTACATTCATGTTATCCAGTTTGACCAACAAGTCCCAGAAGTCCGTGGAGATGCCACTTGTGCCCATTTGACCTGGGCAAGGACTGCTTGACTGCTTATTACCACGCTCCCGCTCATTTTCACAGTTGGTCTCTTTGGTCCGCTGCTGTGTGAAGTGACTTGGAAACACCTGGAAAGGTAGGGGAAAGGAAAGGAGGGGAATTACATCTCTTTCTAGGCTCTCTGAATTCATGCTGGCAGCCCACATTCAAACTTAAAATTTTACTAGTTGTTCCTCTCTGGTTTCACAATGTAACAGTGGCACTTTTTCAATTTAACTAACCTCCCCCCAAGTCCCCACATGCATATGCCGTCTTCTAGGGCTAGATTCTCTAGGTTCAGGTGTGTGTGTGTGTGAATGAATCGAGTTACCTTGAGGTCCTATAAATGTAATTACTTAATAAATGAACAAATAAATGAAAATACACCTTGAGGTCCTATAAATGTAATAAATAATAAAATAAAATAAATAAGCAATTAACTGCCTTGATGTTAAAGATCAGTTGGATTCTTCAGATTCAGAACCAGGCAGACCCTTAGCCTGTGTTGCAGGAATTAACAGAAGAGAATGCCGTGGAGGAGATGCAATTGCAGGGCGGTCTGGCTGACCCAGAGCCCGAGTTAAATAAGCTCCTGAGTCAACCGCAGGTTACATATTATGAAGGGTAGACCAAAGAAAACCAAGCCAACTAGTTGAAAGAAAGAAGCCTGACCTAGTAAATTAGTCAAAGTGGTATCAGAGGACAACTACTTATCTGGCTCACTATGTTCTGTCTTCTTTCTTGAAACTTTACCCATATGGGGTTTGGGGTTTATCTGGCTAATCGGTATGCTAGATGATACAGTGGTACCTCGGTCCTTGTCAGTAAATTTGTTCTGGAAGACATGCCGAATACTAAAACTGATGGGTACCGAAAAAACCATGTGACTTGCCACATGACTGCTATTTCGGCCAGAAGAAATAGCGAATCACAAAGTAGCTGACATCATCAAGTTCTTCCCTGCACATCGACTACTGGGAGAAAGATGAGCGGCAGGACAAGATTTCTGCTTCAAAATGTGTCAAATATCAAATTTGATTGCGCTTTGAAGCAGTCGAGTGCCGAAGTATGATTGTATCTACTCTTGGATCCTCTCTAAATCTGTGATTTGCTTTTTTTTTTTTAAACACACTTAAAAGTAGCGAGTTTTACATCTCTCACACCCTTTTGTGTTATTTCAACTGAAGATTTATGAGTAATAAATATCTTGAGTTTGTAGCAGAAGTATCTGTGTATACAACTAGCAGCACAGAACACAAAATATACCTCTAGAAAATGTATACACAATATCCGTTTACAGCTTATTGTCAATGGTAGCTAATAAAAAGGAATGGACAGCACTAACACTGAACAGATGCCTCTCCAAGTAGAGAACAAACTCAGCCTACCCACTTCTAAAGACTAATTTTCGAATGCTAGCATTAATATTAATAAGCATTCTTGCTCCTTGCCTAGAATAGCGGTAGTATTTCTTACCCTGTAGTAACCCAGAAGAATACTGATTAATTGCAGCTCCTTTTGGATAGACATAAAGTAAATATACAACAAACCTTCATTCATTTTAAATAAATGCTGAATACAACTGGTAATATAAGGAAGATTCATAAAAATGGTGCTCTTTGGAACCACAATGTTTTTTAATGGGCAGGTCTGGAACTGGGGTGAGCCTTCCTACTGGGAAGACTTAAGCATCGATATCCTGAAACTGCAGCGGGTAGGTGGAGAAACCACTCCAGGGTAACTTCTACCACTGAAGGGAAAAAGCTATACATTCCACGTATTTTACCTTTAAATTCACACAACTCTGGCATAAAGGAAGCGGGATCAGAAAAGACTACAGTATTTTTGTATTTCTAGTGTGGCACATGGACTTTGAGGGACAGAGTTAATGCACTGCAGCCGACTGCAACGGAATTCTGGCCACGTCAACTCACAACAAGGACAACAATTCTGGCAGACAATCACTGGGTCAATGTCTTCATAACAAGCATAAGGGAGAAGTAAATTTACTCGTATTTCATTTTTCAAGCCTAAGAATTAAAAAAGCAGCTTGGAAATACTGAAATGAAAACTACAATTTCACTCTTCCCCATTAAAATTAGTTGTGCTTCTATATGGTTTTTTTTAAAGTGTTTATGCTGGTTCTCTTTGTGGTTTTTAGCACACCAATGGACAAAATGGATTTAAATCTTGTAAATAAGATATACTATTATGCATATGTGTAGTTCTATAGCTCACTGTTTCCTGTTTAGGAACTTGCATTTTTTTCTGCATCTATCTCCTTATGATAATCAGCCTTATGATCTTGATTTACACATGGAATTAATTTTGTTTTAACTGCAATATTTCAATCTTTTCTCTTTGACAAACTGGCCTACTTCTTCGAGTATTCCTTAAAATGAAACAAAAAAAAAAAAGAAGAAGCTTTTCCTCATCGTATCAAGAGTAGTACATTAAAAATCTCTTGCCTTCACCTTGGCAAGTTGGATAAGAGTATCAAGTACATGGCGGCAGACCACTGGGGCAGCCTGTGGATGTATGTGAACCGTGGAACCAGCAGCAGCATGCTTCTCCGTGTGCTTGCGGCCTCCAGCTCGTTGGATCTGGAAGATGTTGGTTCTACAACCCAGAGCTGCATCCATGGAAACTGAGAGCCAAGAAAGTTGCCCTGAGCTTTTGGATTCCATTTTATGCAGCAGGTCAAGTGGCCGGCTGTCCGGACCACAGCCTTTGGCTGCCCTTTTGCCTTTATCATCTGGTGCAACAGTCCCCTTGGGTGTCTCCACACACAGTTCGCTCTCACTGCTGCGCTGCAGGATGGAAAGTAGGCTTCGAATCACCCAGTTTCGTGTCTGTGCATGATAACAAAGATTCCGCAACACCCGATGAAGCCGGCTTGTGTTCAGCTTTGGCTCGTCAACAAAAAGCAGGACCAACAGACAGGACAAGGCCTCATGGTCCAGTAGAAGGCGTCCACGCAAACGCAGCAGACTGTCTACATTGCTGCCTGATGGTCTAAGAAGCAACAATAGAAATATCAGAGAAATTTATACCTTACTCCAAAAATACAAGATAATTCTTTAAGGCATCCCACAGAAATCCTTTCTAGCAAAGAGAGACTCATTTAGTAGAGGCAAGTTTGCTTATGCCATAACTTCAATGAGTTGGAAAGTTCTCTTTTCTTGTCAATGCTAATTCTATCTGTTAACCAGAATGAGTTTGAATCCATTAAAGTTTGAATCAAATATTGAATCAAATGCTTATCCTCAAGGCTGCTGGTTCTTAAAACTGTAGCTTGGCTCTTTACTTTCAAACCAATCCAGTCTATCTTTCAGCTTACATAGTTGAAGCAGATCAAAAGACAGGACTTTTTGGAATGTTTAAGTACACATATTTTCTTATTTCTAGAGGCAAAATCATGACCAGTCCAATTTTTAGATTTCAAATTAAGCCAAGTTAATAGCATAACTAATTTGGAGCAATTATTACAATTTTAGTTTTGAGATTCCAAACAAATCCAGTTTATCACATAGGGTATCCCTCCTCCAGAAAAATCCTGTCCCACTCAATATCTAGTACCTGCTGTGGCTGCTGCTACCACCCATCTGGAAGGTACCTCCTCTTTGTACAGCTAAGCGTGTATACTGGACACCTCTGTTTCCACTCAATCGGCTTGTGAAGGCTGGGTAGAGTGAAAAGAGGAGCAAAATAATTAAATCAAGAGCTGAGATCCAATAAACCAAAGAACATACGATGACAAAACAGGAAAGCTTTGCCTTACCTGGGCTACGCAAAATAGCAGACAAGGCAGAAGTGCTAGAGTGGCCAAACAGACGCTCATGCATTAGTTGACGCTGGCGTGCTTCTTGTTCTCGCCTCAGAGCCTGTGCCTCAGCAGCAATATCAGGAGGCATGACTGCCAATACACTATCCTCCATGTCTTCCAGCACACTGCGCCGCAGATCTGATGGCAGTGTTTGAATGAAAGTCACTGGATCCATGGGTGTGTCTGAACTTGTGCTTTGGGCAAGCTCACGCCTTTGCTGTTCTGCCCGCTGCTGTGCCAACACCTGGGATAGAAAAAAAGATTTTGAAAGTTTGGGCATGGTCAGGATCAAAATACAGAAACCAACTATTTTCTCATCACAATGAAACCTTATATGCCGACCAAGTACAGAGTTAGTTTCTACAAGCAAAGCACTTCTTCAACCATATGTCCTCTAAAACAGCTAAGTTTAAAATGCCAATTATCTAGTATGAATAAATGAAAGAAAGGCTGATATAATATTAAGCTTTAAGGGAGGAATGAGGAAGCTGATCCACTGCACCAGCTGATTCAGCCAATGAAATGACTTGCAGGTCACAAAATGCTTTTTAAATAAAATTTAGTTGTCAGAAAAGGTACTATCAGAACTCCTGCTTTTGTGCCATCATAGACTAACACGGTTTTCTTCCTACAATGTTTGAAAAGCTAACTAAGAAAGACCTTATAAAAGAAATATTCATGAAATAACTAACAATTGGAATATCTGTATGAGTTTCTCAGAAGCACTTTAGCTTGATTCTGATATCATTGCATTAGTATTTTGATTAAAAACAAAAAAATATTTACATAGAAAGGCCAATTGTGGATGTCTATTTCATAAACAGACACCACAAACTTGGATAAGCATGCAATTCCTTTCCTTGGAGACTTGGCAGAAGAGAATTAGGCAAGTAAGTTCACAGAAAAAATACTGGAAGCTTGGAACCAGCTTCCAGCAAGGTCAGTCATCAGTAACTGAGTTTAAACATGCTTAGAATAGTCCATCATCCAACAAAAATTAAAAAACAAAGTAAAAATAAATAAATAAATAAATAAATAAATAAATAAATAAATAAATAAATAATAAATTAAAAGAATGCAGATCCAAGACCTCAGTGCCTTCCGCCGTGCCCTTAAAACCCACTTTTTCCAGCAAGCCGGGCTGGCTTAAGAAGAAATTTTTAAATTTTTTAAATGTTTTAATTGATTTGTGATTTTTAAATTTTTGGGCCAAATTTATATATATTTTAATTGTTCTTAATATTTGTAGTTTATGTTCTTAATTCTGGCTGTGCACCGCCCTGAGTCCTTAGGGAGAAGGGCGGTATATAAATTGGGGGGGGGAGAAACACCCCTCGAAGGGCAGATTCAATGGACCACCAGGTCTTTTTCTGCCATTAATTTTCTATATGACTAGAGAGTGATATAATTAAACACAATCCTATTTTATGAAATGCAATACGGTGGATCACAAGGATAGCTTCAGTTTCTTATTTCTACGAATTGCTTCGATTCTGTGTTACCCCCTTAAGTAATCTATAATAATACCTCTTCCTGGATAGCTGGGGGCAAAGCAGCTAAGAACTCAGGACTGACTTCTGTCACACCAGGATTGCCCACTACAGGAGGGGTAGGAGTTGTGGCTGTGGTGGTAGGGGCCGAACGGGCAGGAGGCCGGATACCCAACTGATTCTGCAGCACTTCACGTCGAATGTCATCAGGCAGGGCAGCCAAAAAAGATGGGTCGACACCTTCAGGAAGATTTATTCCTGTTGGATAGGGATGTTAGGTATACAATTGTTTGTGCTACAGAGAAAAGTTAACTATTGTAAAACCCAGCACTGTTATCTTTTTCGCTTCTGTAACGTTTACCTGCCAAAGGATCTTCCTCTTCACTGCTGGTGGAAGGCAGTGGCTCTTCCAAGATGCCCCGAGAATCAGCACCAGAAATGGCTACAGCTGAATCTCTGGTGGAGGAGCTCTCAGAGGAGGAGGCAGGTGGGGAGCTGCATAGCAGGGAAGAGTGGTAATAATTAGTGCAGGGCTGACACAAATAAAACAGGTCACCATCTTATATTTGATTTCTGGCCCTTACCCATCATCCACCTGCTGGCTGGGATCAGGCTGTCCCTCCCTAGCAGTATGGGCGTTTGGCCCTTGTTGGGTTGCATCGGTTGCTGCCACCACAGCATCTGTAGCTGCCTGTTCCACGGTGCTAGCTCCACCACTCTCCGCCACGCCTTCTTCCAGATTGCATGAAGCCAGGCTGCTGGTGTCCATGGGTGAGCCCTCCAACTGGCTGCTGACAGCAGTCAAGGCATCTGAGTCTTCAGCTCTCTCTGGAGAGAGTGAAGCTGGTGGGAAAAGCAAGACAAAGGTTTATGGCAAGGAACTCAAATTCTCTAATGGAGATTCACAGAAGAACACAGCTCTCTGGGATGTGAAGTCCTCTCCAAGAAATTAGGACAGAATATATTGCTTGAAATAGTGGACTGAAAAACTGTTGTTAATCAAGATTCCTAGCACCAGGTTGAATTGAAAGAAGGTATTCTTTCCATTCAACAAAACAATGCCATATTTTGGCTGTAATGTACTAAAAGACTTTGGAGTGGCAGACTGAAGAACTTTCCTGGAAAAACTATCAAAGCAGAAGAGTAACCCAAATAAATTGCCCCAACATTTCATTATTTGAGTGTCAAAATTTGAAATCACTCCTCCATAAAAAGACTGAGTTTTTAAAATAAAGAACGTTTATTTTTTTAAAACGATTGATATAACCAAGACTATATCACAGTGGGGATTATTACACAGGCATTAATGTTAAAATTTTGTATGAACATACCCATATATAAACATAAACCCTTGAAAAAATATGCTGAATGTTTGGACAAAGGTAAGAAACATGACTGCACAGGTATGTACAAGGGACAGAAAGGGGCAACAGTGGCTGCAGGATGAAGCCTAAGGCCACTTACTGATGGTGGGGGCAGGTGAAAGCTCCATCTGCGTGGCCTCAGCGTCTGTGCTCAGCCTCCCGGGGCCCGAGTCCTCCTGCTCCACTGGCATCAGCAGTTGCCCAGAAGCCTGAGCAGTGGACTGCCCCACCAGCTCCGAAGGGAGCTCTCCTGCCCCTGTTGCTTGTTGCTGTTGCTGCTGGGGGCTCTCCAATGTGACCAGAGTCTGCTTAGGGCCAGCCGAGGTGTCTTTGGCAGCAGCTGAGACTGCGGGGTAGCCGTCGGGATGGGTGGCACCATCTGGGAGCCAAGAAAGGGAGGGAGGCTGGCTTAAAACACAACCTGCTGAGCAGTAGGAGGATTTCAAATGGGGCCTTGGCTTCCCCCCATTTTAGTAAAACAAAGCTCTGAGTTCACACAAAACTGAGTGGATTGAAAAAAACCAAAACACAATATTGGGTACTTTACCCCACACAGGGAAAGTAGTAAGTTGTATAGTTATCTCTGATTTGGGGCACAAATCCCTACCCCACAACAATACAACTTACTACCTCACCCTGGTAGGAGCAAGAAACACAAAGGCATATAGTATGAAGGGAAAGTATTATTTCTATTGTTTACGCTACAGAAGATCCTCCCCTTATCCCTGTACTGATTCTTATAGATTGAAGACAACACCCTCATTGGAATTTCTCTACTCAAAGCACACAACTGTGGTTTGTAAGATACAATAGCCTACTGCAAACATCCCAGCCAAACCCAGCAATGGAACAACAAAAAATCTCCCATATTGCATCCAGACTTCGGGGCTTGGATTCCCAGTTCCTTACTGGAGTTAGGTGTAATATTTCAGTAGCATCTTTCTTCTTCTTCAGAGTAGGTAATGGTGGCATGATGGAATTAGGAATCCTCATAGGAAAGACAGTAGATTGTATAGTTATCTCCAAGACCGGGTATGACCCTAAAACTATACAATCTACTACCTCATCCCAGGGGGCCCAGGAACAGCATCTGCTTGAGCTAAGCTTGGGGAGGAAAATAAAACACCAATCAAACATCCAGAAGAAAATAAATTACCTGGAAGATTTTGCTCAGCTGAATTGTTTGACTGTGGCACTGGTCCCTACAGAGGCAACAAACATACAAAATCAAAGTGATGCAGAATTCAATCAATCCATCTCAGATTCTGAAGACCAATGTAGGTAGGAAAATGCTAATCTACAACTCCTTTTTAGGACAGGAAGGAGATTATGTGTTACTCCCACTCAGAGTCTCCTCTGTGTTTTTTCTAGTCCTGTAAAGCAAACTTAATTACAATTCCACATAAAAGCTGGTAAACATATTTTATACATTGCTATTAAACACATCGAAAGATATAGTTGCTAGCTCTGTCCTAAAATCCAAAAATACAATGCATATAAAAAGAAATGGAGATAATATAAGGCTATTTACCCCTTTAATTAACCATTATTCTTGTTAAACTGTTTTACAAATATTAGTATTTTATTATTCATAGTAAGAAAAAAACCCCAAACTGCCATATGCTGGAAGGCACTGTATACTGTTTTAAATCTATTGAAGTTAAGCTAATACTTAGTAAGCATCCTAAATATTTTCTTGAAAAATTGCATGAATATTATTCAACCAATTTATAGAAAGATAACAGAAGTCATTTCTATTTTATGTTTGAGTATTTCATTTTTCCTATTTTGTTCAATTAAATTCTTCATTTGTTTTTCTGCTGTCAGGAACTTCTGCAAGTAGTAATCTACAGTATGTCATTATTAATCATATTTAATAAGCCAGTCTCCTTTATTTTGTTACTGAATTGGAACATAAGCCTTATTAAATAAAGAAGAAAAAAGATCTGTAGGAATTGGGCTGTGTTTAGGAGAAAAATGTGATGATTCTGGGATAAAGTCACTTAGAAACAATAAATGGTTAGGGCCAAGTCTCCTTTCCTTTCATAAACAGAGGTTGTTTGTATTCTGCAATATAAACTTAACTAAATATATTTCCAGCTGCTGATCCTTCTTCAACTAACTTAAGGAGCCATGCCAGCTAGAAAAGGCCTTGAAAGTCTAAAGCCTGGTTTTTAGGGGCACCTTAAAGAAAATCCACAAATAGTCAAGTTTGACTGCCAACCTGAGGATTCTGCTCCTTGTCTTCTGAATCTTTGGCCTTATCTGACACTTTGGCCTCTTCCTCCGCCAATTGCTTGCGTCTTTTCTCTCTTCTTTCCTCTAGCTCTTCATCCCTCAAGGCTTCCAGGTGGTTGATAATGGGAACTTTGACCACTGAATGGAGGAAAGGCTTCCAGTCAAGCACAGTCAATTTAAGGGAGGAGGGTGCTATCTGAAGGAAGGAACTACTCATTAGCTCACCTGAAACACAATCATGCATGCTTTCCGCATCAAGTACTTTGCATTCTTCCGTCCAGCGTGTCAAGGCAGTTGGGATGCTTGACAAAGTTCCTAAAGAAATGAATGAAAGGGACGATGGTTTTGAAAGAATTCAAACAGCAGCCCTTGCTCTTTTCAGTAATTGATGTATCAAGAAATAACATTTTGGAGGAGCAGGCTCCATAGAGACTGAAGGCAGGCTTGGCATCCCTTGAATAATGCATACCTATGAATGTGGGCCAAGTAAATCCCATTAATTTAAATTAGTTTGCATATATGTGAATATGCATAGGACTATTTCCTAAATTTTAAATGCATTTTTCTAAAAAGCATTTTCTGAGGAATTAACACAATCAAATTAAAGTCAAAAACTCTTTGGAGCAAACTTTCCCTAAGCACCAATGTTATTTCACTGTGACTTGGTTATGGCTAACATTGGTAGAATCAAAGCTAGAGAATAGTTTTCAAGAACTGGAAGTCCTTGAGATACATCAATGTACCAGAATGCTTCCTTAAAATAATGATAATCTGCCCCCCAGCTTGCAAATGCTGGATTTCTAGGTTATAGAAAGCTTTGGTGTTATTCAAAACTTTGGTTAAGAAACCATTATTTCAGTGTTCCAAAGCCTTAGCAATTAGTTCTCTAAAGACTTGCCTGCCTGGCTGGTAGCTGTGCTCTGGTCATGAAAGAACTCATCCAGCAACTCATCATCCGAGCGAGCAATTATGTGTACATCATCATTGCCTACCAGGAGGCGAGCACGACCTCGACTCTGCAGTGGAAGGCTACTGCTTAGCTGCAGGATGTCTGCGGCTGCTGAAGGACCCAACAATCTAAAGATGACATGCAGTAATTAAAAAGGGTTAGGAAGCAGATGTTGCATCGTTTTAGGATAAGGATGATCCAATGTTTGAACAAATTGCAATTCAGACGTTCTCTTCTAAATCAAATTACTGGAAACTGAGCAACAGAGATATGGCCAGTATTCAGCATTCTTCCCATTAGGCTCCTCTCTTTCTCCTCAGCTTACCTCTGCAAAATGAGAGGTGGATTGGGCTGCCGGGTGCCTGGATAATGCACATGAATTGTATGGCCTGTATTGGCTGTCAGCTGTCGTAATGTCCTCTGACTGCGACCGATGCCTTGTGCCAATCGAGTAGTAGAGGAACCGCTACCCAAAGTCAAAGAGCTATGGTCTGCATGCCGTACCATAAGTGGGTGAGTGGCAGGAATATTGCCAGGTGATGGAGGAATATCCGCTAGGAATAAAAATAGGAGAGTTAGCAGATCAAGATGGGACTATGAAGATTTAAGTAGAGAGATTTCCTTAAATTACAAAATTGGCCAGACCCTGAGGTTTAGCAAACAGGTTTCTAAAGGACTCTTGGTGTTTTTGTAAATTCAAATTCATCATCAGCCTGGACAAAACACAGGAAGAATACTTCATTCCAAAATAAGAAAAGTAGCTTCGTAGCCATCAACATTTTGCTTCCCAATTCTCACAGGTTCTAGAATATCATCAATATCCTATGGCTCGTGAGTTTCAGAATTCTTACTGGCGCTGGAGAACATGTTGTCAAATTCTATGATGAGGTCATCTTCACGGTCAAAGCGTTCAAAACGCACCAGCGGGGAGGCATTCATATCAGGATAGTCTTCATCTAACTCCATCTCTGAGCCGTCATCATCATCCTCCTCTTCTTCACCTTCTTCACCTTCTTCATCATCCTACACGAGCAACAAACATCAAAATCAACAACTGGTATCCAGGATTCTGAAATCCATCCCTTTGCATTTCTCCATAATCATGCTCAGTACTTTGAACCAAGAAAAACTCTAAATCAGCAAAACTCTTAATTTAATTGTACATAAAGCAGACTACAAATTCTAGGCATTATTAATAGTTCTTGAGACTACTAAAAACCAGCAACTTTTTTAATTGTTCTTGTTATTCCATGACAAGACAGTAATGTGAAGATTACAAAGTAAGTTGGCAGGAGGCTTTTGTGCTGGCTCTTCTCCAGTGCCTTTACCTGATCGTCTTCATCTTCCTCCTCCTCCTCTTCTTCCTCATCTTGACTGTCATCTTCATCCTCATTGCTACCACTGCTGTCTTCTTCCTGTGTGTGCTCTTCCTCATCTTCAGGATCCAAGATATTCATAGAATCTAGAACAGAATTGAGAGTGCAGATAAATGAGGTGGCTTGTGCTAATTAAATGAAAACATTTCCAGTTATTTCTCTAATGAGATTCTCCAAACTCTTTTTTCCAAATTTGGAAAAGTCTTATGAAGCAAGATTACATAAATATTTATCTTTCTGCTTTCTAAAAAGAGATCTTAAGCCTATGAACATCTTGAAAATATAGTAGTGTCAAGTTTCTTTTCTCCAGCACTGCACCAACCCCACCGGAAGGATGTCTATCGGCATTTTTATGACTAGAGACAAATGTTTAGGCAATGCCTCACCTTCCCTGTTGGCCTGTAGTGTGGAAGCCTGGCTCAGATTGGAAGGTGCCTCATCCATCAACACATCCTCCTGAGACTCATCCTCTCCACTTCGTCCCACTGAAGGACACAAAGGTAGAGCACAGGATTTAGCAGAATCATGACTGAACAGCTTTTTTTCTGTTGAGGAATGCCAGAGCTGTCCGTTTTATCTATAAATACCCATTATGATTCTGATGTGATGCGGTAACTAAAAACAAATACACTGATGACAATGTCATGAATGCATTTGCCTCTGCCTAGCACCCTGAGAAAGAAATGAAATGTTTCTAAAGAGAGAACAGATAGCACTGGCATCTGCCAACTATTAGTACAGCTTTTTCCATGCTTTGCATGAATGAATAGCAGCCAAGAAATGGCATGAGCAGCAATTTTTGTTTATCTGGAGGAATGGCCACTCATATAAGATCGAATTCTCTATAATATAATGTGGAATTTAAATTATTCCTTTAGATTACACACGAGGAAAATAAAACAAGACACATTAAACCCTGAGATCCTAACTGATGACCCTAACATTAAATTATGTGTTTGCTCTCACCTATTATAGTACTATTTCCTGAGCCACCGTCTTGCTCCAGTAATTCATCAATCAGATCCTCCAGTTCATTTTCAACCTAGAAAAACAGAGACGGGAACATCACTGAGATCCAGTTCCACATACCTTAATAAGCCTTGAACTCTAGAGAAGCTGCACTATCCTGTGTTAGTACCTCTCTACTTGTTGTTCTATCACAGGTAGAAACTAATAAGCAGCCCACCCCTGGCTTCAGATATCACAATCTGAATAAAACAAGGAAAGACTATGGAAATTGGTACAAAGTTAAGCATATCAGTCCAGGTTTTATTCAGTCATTTAAAGCTCTCTTCCCCAATCTGCAAACATTCAAATATGATGGGATTTCACTTCTCAATTCCCATGGCTGTTGGCCACTTGGCTTGGGAATTTTGGAAGTGCTACATTGGCTGAAAATGCTGTTTTACAAAAGAATTTGGTGATTGCAAATCTTCACTTTTATCTTCTGTATGCAATTTAAGACAAACTTCACCTAAATCAACATAAGCAGGAATTCAAATGATACCCCCCATTGCATTATATTTCTGTCTTAAAAGTTGCAGTCACATTTTGTAAAAAAAAGAAAAGAAAAAAAAGAGGGAACACCCTTACAACCTCTAGCATTCATACCTGCATCTCTTGTGTGCTCAGGACTTCAGGCTGCCCCGCAATCACCACTGCGTCAGTCTCTGCTTCCCCATCCATGATGTCACCATCTGCTACTTCTGCTTGCGCAACATCGTGGTCCTCCTCGGGGGCTTCTGTTTCTCCACTTTCTCCTAAGAATCAAATAAGAGTGAGGCCTATCCTCTCTTGAACTGACTTTACTCAAGCACAAATCACTGGAGATACATATATATTAGCAGACAAAAGGAAATCTAGCCAGGTTTGCTCCCTCCTCACAAATCAAGTATAGCAAGAGATAAGGAAACTGGTAGGGAAGAGGTAAAAGTGCACAGCCATTTTAAAGAAGAATCCTTAGAAGAGATGAGGCATGTTACCTGCATCTTGTTGACCGCTGCTGGCATCTCGTGCTACTCCCTGAGCATCCTGCTCTGCCTTGCTCTTGCTTGAGGCACTTTTGCTACCGAAGAGACTGCTAGGCTGATTGACAATACGTGACAACGTCTCCAGGGGTTTCAAGGCAGCATTAACTGTGTTGGCCATGTTGGGACTTTAGAGAAAAGTACAGACAGAGAATAGTCCAAGTCAGAGCGAAGTCACATATCAACGAATAAACCTTAGTTCCGTGTTGGTGAACCTATGGAACGTGTGCCGGAAGCAGCACACAGAACCATCCTGCGTGGGATGCGTGGCCTCGCTGGCTCCTCTTCCACATTCCTGTGCACACACGCGTGCCAGTCAGCTGGCCTTCACGCGCGTGGGAGTGCTGAAACCCAGAAGAGCAGCATTCCGTCACACATGCGCACGCTGGCATCTGAACTGTTTGTCAGGCACGTCTCTGTGCCAGAAACCGGAAGTTTGGGTCCCGGCATGTGCATGCGCAATGGAACGCTGCTCTTCCAGGTTTCGGCACTCCCGCACGCGAAGGCCAGCGAGGCCACGCGGTTCAGGTGGGATGGTTTTGTGTGCCATTTCCGGCACGCAGGTCAGCACACAGTGACTTGAAAGGTTAGCCATCGCTGCCTTAGTTGATGTAGCTATAAATAGAAATCTTTAATAAAAAGGGACAGGGTCAGAATTTTAGTTATCTCAATAAAACAGCTAATTCTATTCTAAAATAACCAGACTTTTCCCAAAGACAAATCTTAGTGGAAACCAGGGAAAATTTATTTCTTAATTCCAACCAAATTGTTTAATACCACCATAGCCATGAATTAATTCCGCTCCATTTCTTGAGCAAATTACCTGGACAGATCAAGACTGTGGGGCACTCTGGCCAAGTCATTGACCAGCCCTTTCTTGAGGAATAGGCGGATGATATTGTTCATGCCATTGTGCTGTGTCTTGGCTGTGGCGCTGCTGTAGAAGCTGGAAGTGGATGGGCAGGATTCCATGATGGTGCTGATGATGCACATTACTGCCTGTAGCCTAAAGTAAGACAGGATACCACGAACACAACATGAAAGCGATCTTTCTGTGCTTATCGGGACAATATCATGGACACCCAACCATGGCATGTCCCAAGTCTGTGGAACGGCATTTTTTTTCGCTTTCCCATAGTAAACATCCTCGTTTTATTTGTTACAAACTTTACAGGGAATAGCATTCTAAATTCTGGTTACTGACAAAAAGGCATGCTTTTGGGTAGCCTCTCCCTGCATGGGAAGGCACCTTCCAAAGGTATCATTAATTTTACAAGTATGGCGCCTATGTTTTTATAATATGGTGAAGAAATGTAGTTTCAAGTATCTTTCACTTGAAATCTTATCAAAGGCTAAAAAATGTCTGAACCTCTAGGTGCAAGAACTTAAGAATTACAGTGCTATAGCTTTCCTCAGGTACTGATCCACCTGGAAGCATAAATATTTCCCATATTCCTCACCTGGCATGTTTCTCGGTGCTTTCTGCCATGGCCAATGCCCGGCCCAGGGCTGCCTTCACCTCATTCACCAAGGCCACCTGGGCATCAGTGCCACTACCTGCTGCAGCCAAGCTGGCTAGAAAGAGGCGAGCCAGGGCTGGTGTATCTTTGTCTTCAGCATTCTGGGTGTGGGGCAGGAGATGGTCCAGGACAAAAGCCAAAACACTGCAGTCCTGAAAAGTTCCAGTAAGATATCAGTGGGAAAAGAAAAACCAGAATTCCCAACTTTTTCCCTTACTGACAAATTGCCACACAATTTACAACTCTCTGCAAATTTATGCTTTCCATTGTTCTCTGGATTAATTTAGGGTACCGGCCCTCAACATCTTTCCTTGCTTGTACCTTGTTTTCAAGCCCATGGTTGTCTGGCACTGGTCAACCAGTGCATTTAGACTTTCTTACCTCTTTTATAAGTTCAGACTGGCCCACAGTGTAACTGTAGTTTGCAATTAATGTAGCAATGCCCACATATGAGCGCACAAGCTCTGCCAGGAGCCGCAGAATAGTAGAGGTAGGCATAAGTGGCTTGCTCCCCTTAGCCTTTTGCTTGTTCTCCTCTGCAGCTTTATCACCATCCTTATCCTTCTTATTTTCTCTAGATTCTTCAGGCGTAGAAGCTATAGGTTAGAAAGGAAAGGATCCATCATTGGAAAAGCTGCTATCCCAAGAAATCTAATCTCAGAACATCTGAAACCAGATCAGCTTGCCCATTCTTGGTACCTTCCAGATATATTGTGATTATATATACTGATATGGAATACTGAAAATTATAGTTCCAACATACTTGGAAGCTGTAGGTTAGAGAACACTAGACTACACCCAATTAAGATAACAATTTGATCTCATGCTGGAAGAGCAGGGGGGGAAAAGACAGAGAAGTTGCATTTTTACTGCTAAAACAAGAAATTCCCCCTACAACAGAGTGACATTTAGAAGCTAAACAGTTTAGTCAAATAAACATCCAAATGCCTAACATCAGAGAACATACCGGCAGAAGTATTAAACATTGCATTTATCTTGGGATTGCATCGTCAATAAAACTGGTGCTTACCGTCACCTTGCGGAGTTCCAGACTGAGGAATCTCAGAGGCTGCACTATCAGCAGCAAAGACTTGAGCCTAGAGTGAAAGAAAGGGAAGATATAATGAATTATTTAAACTTCATCAAATGGGACAAGAGTGTTATACATGACAAGCAGATACATTTTTATGCCACTTCTTATCCTAGAATTAACAGAACTGCTTGGGTTGTTGCTGCAGAGAGAGATCCAAGGGACTCACATTGATGCCAAAGCCAGTCTGAGAATCGAAATCACTACTCTGGCGAGTCAAAGAGCGGTATTGCTGATACACATCATCTCCCATGTCTTGTAGAATCTGGCTCACTTCCTGATTAGTAGTATTCACTTTGGGTTCAGATTTATCTGCTGAAAACAGAGAAACAAAAGCAGGTCTATATATAGATAGTACTTTCAGTGGTAAGCCTGCATATCTGGCCAAAAGAGAGTTACCTCTTCCAGAAAGATAAAGTATTGATACCATAGATACTTATCTTACTGAGTGACTTGCTTAAAAAAAATCACCTAAGAGGCCCAACTCTTTCTAGGGGCAAGGGAATAGTTAATATTAGTGTTGGTTTCAACAATGTGTGTGTATTTGGAGGAAAAAGGCAGAACTATTTAGAATAGGGTTCCCAATCAAAAGGCATGAATGCTTCTCAGCAGTCAAAAACTACGATGCCACCCATATAGAGTTCTATTATGTCCTAGGGTATAATGTACCTTCATCAGGGGCATGGTAGGCAGCCAACGCATTCAGCATGTCATAGATCACCTCCTTGATCGTATCAGGTATGACAGGTAGTGGTGAAGGTTTAACTGGAGTAGTTTTCACTAGCTGCACAGCATTGGGGCCCTTAATCCGCAAGTTCTCGAACTCGTCGTCAGAGGCTTGGGGAGCAAAAGGAGAAAGAATAAAAAGAACTAGAGCCGCCAACACTACAAACAGAACCTGGAAAAAGAGGTTGGAAAGGGGAATAGAGTTCAGCATGCTTGTATCTGCTTTTGGGGGATTTTTACACAAAAGGTCTACTACAGAAAGCATTTCTCCTCCTTGCCCCTGATCCAGATCATCTTCTCAAACATGAACAGTCAAAATCCAGGTTCTGGCATGCCTGCACACACACTTGTCTTGTTACTGCAGGAGAACCAGCAGAGTTATGATGTACTTACCAGTTCCGGAGCCACGGGGAGCGGGCAAGGCAATACGAATACAACCGTTGGCTACCTCAGTGAAGATCTCAGGATTTCGGCAAGCGGCTGGGCCCAGCACTCGCAAGATATAGTTGATTTCTCGGGAGCCCAAGCTGCCTGACACAACACCTGAAGTGGTGCTGCCTGCTCCACTAGTGGCTGCTGAGCGCACCACCTAGAATGACAGAAGGAAGAGGCAGGTGAGTGAAGGGATCTGAAAAAAATCAATACCATTAGACCAGTCTGCTGGAATTACAGAGGCAAAGTTCAAAATAAAAGGCAGGGGAACTAAGAGAAATTAGAGTTAAGATTCACAATCATTTTATACAAGATCTGCATTGATTTAGAAATACAAAGAGAATAAAAAACTACGAATATATGAATTAGGGACACCTGATTTTCAATTGGCAATGGGATGTTACAAAAAAAAAAAAAAAAGCTAATGAATTCCAAGGTTGAATCTGTTGAAAGACAGGTTTGAAATCACTCTATACTATCCGGTCAAGCTGCATCTGGAATTCTATATTATTCTGAGAATATATATTTGTACTGTAGATTGCCTTGGGCACTTGATAATCTCTTTGCCAGATATCTTCCCTTCCTGCCGTGCCTTCTTGCGCTGCATATTCTGTATTATGTGGAACAGGGCATCAGCCTAAAGTATTCCCTTATTTCTTTCCAACATGATGATTCTATGAATACAGGTAGTCCTCGACTAACAAGAGTTTGTTTAGTGACCGTTCAAAGTTACAATGGCACTGAAAAACTTGCCTTATGACGGTTTTTTACAGTTATGACCTCGGCAGCATCCCCATGTATGTGATCAAAATTCAAACGCTTGACAACTGGTTCATATTTATGATCTTTGCTGTGCCCCAAGGTCATGTGATCACCTTTTGTGACCTTCTCACAAGCAAACTCAAAGGGAAAGCCAGATTCACTTAGCAACTGGGTTACATCTTATCAACTGTGGTGATTCACTTAACAACCGTGGCAAGAAAGGTTGTAAAACGGGGCAAAAGTCACTTAAATGTCTCACTTAACAAAAATTTTGGGTTCAATTGTGGTCACAAGTGGAGGACTATGTGTATTCGGGAACTAACATTCTCAGTGTTGAGCAGAGCTAGGCCTTTTCATCCGTACAGGTAGTCCTTGACTAATGACCACAATTGGACTGGAATTTCTGTCGTAAATTGCTGCAATAATAAAGGCAAGGTATGTGATTTCTTGTGTCTTAAAAGGCCCCAGTAAAGGCAGTGAAAAGGGTCTGAAAAGAAGGTAGCAAAAGCAGCAAGGCACTTCTGCTTCAATACTGGGTGCAAATGGCAAAAGATTGTTGCAGAGACCTGGGAGTTGGGCAAGCTGCACAGTTCTGGGACTGCTTGCTGCCTCCCAAGTCTGCTGCAGGGTGGCTAAAAAAGCAGAGATTGTAGGGGTGGGGGGTGGGGAGAGAAAGAGAATAGGAGGGGCAGGAATACCCCTGTGGTGGAAGTGCTGGTGGGCTGCCAAGCGTCTAAAGTTTGATCATGTGACTACTGCAATGGACATCACTTTGGCCAGGGGTTATAACTCCAACACTGTCATAATTTTGAATGGTAACTGAATGAATGGTTGTAAGTGGAGAACTACCTATATACAAATTATCCAGGAAAGCAATCAATTATGACTCCACTTCTTCCCTTGAGTAGGTAGCACAAGGCCAACTGTACCTTTTCCATAGTGTGATGCAGTGTGCAGGGATCCTCTATGATGTGTCGGAAAAGCAGGGTGACCAGAGGGGTGAAGCCGTTGAAACCAGAGCTCTGTGTCAAGCCCAGGATCATGCGTGTGCTCTTGAGTTCAGCAAACATCATGGCATATTTGTGGTGGCGGGTGAGACGCAGACAGAGGCGCAGGGTGGCGTGCAGAGTGTCTGGCTCCACAGGCACACCCAACATGCTCACACAGGCCCGGATCAAGACTGTCACCATCTCCTCTGTCAGGCCTTGGATTAGGATCTCTGAGGGTTTCACCTCTTCTGGTGGTGCTTCTTTCTCCAGGGCTAGGCTATCAGTAGGCACAGGGCTATCTGATAGGGTCAGGGGAAAAAATAGAGGTGAGTGAAAAAGTTCAATCTGTGGTTTGGGGTAAAAACCAGTCCTAAGAATATGCATGTAGTACCGTTTGCCTTCTCCTCCTTAACCTTGCTTTCCATTTCTTTCCCTTCCTCCAAAGTTCTCTCCAGTTCTTGTCCGTTACTTTCTTTCACAGTCTTGCTAAGTCGGGGAACTCTGAGCAAGGTCAGCATTACTGGCCTCCTGTTTCCAGTTTCTTCATTCACCTTTGCATCCAGGAAACACACCGGAAGGTTAGAATCACCCCACGCGTTTATCCCAAACCAAACATCTGAGCAGAGAATGGGAAATTTATACCTGCACCATTGTGGTGAACTGCACTGTGTAGCGCCGCCGCCCAGCAGTGAAACGAACACTAGTCTCTCCCGCTTTCCAAGCTGTGTCAATAGTGCTATTATTACTTGCGCTATAGCTACACCATCGGCCCGAACGATCATCAAACCATCGCCAATTGTTGCCATTAGCCTGAAGGTACTGGAGAGAAAAAAATGGCTATTAGATGTACCCCTACACTATAATTCTAGGCATAACTACTCAAAAACAAGTCCTAGAAGATTACAACAGTGGTTGTATGCCTGAAAGAGTAAGCCTTCTATGAAGCAAGGTAACTCTTCAGGCATGAGACAATTAATTTCATGCAAGTTTTAATTTAATAATTGGAGTGGCAATGGAATGCAGATATTGTTAGGAACATGTTTCAAATCTGAAGTTGGATACTGTGTCTTTATCGTGCATTGTATGCCAGGCAGCTCACTCCAGATTTCTACGTGAAGTGTATCTCTAAAACTACACACTATTCAGCCTTCCCCCAGCAAAGAAAGCCAATTCTAACTTAATGATAAGGACTTTGGACTGAATGTGAGGTGCAGAGAGGACATAAGGCGAGGCAGTGTTTCAGATTGAAAGTATGATGGAAAACGCTGGATGATGTAAAACAAATGGAACCAACACAGAAGAAAACAACTCTGCCTTTATTTGCAAAACTAGGTACTGTGTCACTGTGGTCACTGACCAAAATAAAATGTATCTAACATAAAACTAGGGGAAAATGCTTGTCAATATGTTAATTTAAGAAAGCCAATTAACTTCTTAGATCTCTAATGCAAGTACTACAAGAGATGCAGCCTGTAGGTTTTTTATCACATACACACAATACCTACACCCATTTAGTACCAATTAAAAGTATGTGGTGTATGTTCAGAGGCACTCTGCCTTTTCACATCACTTCATACAACACAAACATGGAAGCTGTCATCAATATGACAAAGGTGTCCTTCCAATTTTACAACCCACATTCACACATCCCTCCATGTGGCAATTGTGTCTGTGCCTTATTTTGCATGGTTTTGGAAGTAGCCTCCACCAACCTTTTTCTAAATACCTTCTTCAACCACCTCTATAATCAAAAGTATGACGTAAATGTCTTTTGTGTCCTTTATTCTTCTCTATTAAAAATTGTGTCCAGTTATAAATTTCACTTAAAGCAGTAGAAGAGACATAAAGAGAAGAATTAAGCTATGTATGCACACCTGCCACTAAAGAGACTCTCAAGTTTTATTTTTTGACTCTACAATAGTCAAGAAGATATAAGGAGCAAGGGGTGGGGTGTGATCAGTCTTACTAATTCTATCTTGAATTGGAAGGACAGGCTGCCAACTGAATAAATGTTACATCTTAAAACAATTTTTTTTGTTATCTGGGAGAATTAATTGTGAATGCATGAATAACAAGTGGCAAATTGCAGAGTTGATACATACAGAGAAATTTGGTTTTTAAAGATAGTGGATCTAGAATGATACATATGTATTAAATTTTAGTGAGGCGGCTTAAAACTATATTTTATCTGCTGAAATATTAGTACAGCCTGGATCAACCGTATGATAGCATTTACTTTGGGAAAACCCCACAGTTCAACTCTGAGCTACAAATATTCTCTTCTATCGGTACTTTGGTGGAAATTAGCATAAATGTTTATGTAGTCTAAATGTGTTTAACCACTTCAACAGTCAGAATTTTTCTTTCCAACAAGAACTTGCATCTTCTCTCTGGGCTCATACCTTGTTCATTTGGGCTCTTCTCTTGGAGGAGATAGCTGTTTTCTCATAGAAGTCAATTAACAGCAATACTGGGGTGATCCACCTATAGGAGAAATTTGATAAGGCCAGGAAAGGCAGCAAATTATTTTTTAATTTATATTCTGACTTTCTGTGCAAGTGCATTCAAAAACAATCTTATTTAGTATATCTGATTCAGACTTAAGACGCTATAGCCCATTTAAGATTGTAACCCTGCCAAGGTAACAATATTGCCAAGGCTTTTGGCCTTTCCTTTTAGTCCAGCTAGGCTGAAAAACATGGAACTCCAAAGACCTGACAGCAGGCAGAAACCCCACCCAGTCCTAGTTAGTAAATGCATCATATGTAACTAAATTCATCAGAAATACAATTATCAAGCTGAAATTCACTTTCAAAGCACAAACAAAAAAGTCTGAAGCCAAGTCTCAGTACAGCATAAATTTGGAAAGCTGAAATTTAGGAGTTTCCAACTTTAGTCTATTACTTGTTACTTACTTTGGTGTCTGCACTTCCTTCTGTTCCTTGGCAGCTTGTAAGCAAGGTTGTACCACTTCCAACAGTTTTATCAAAACATTGAGAATACCACTTGATTCTACAACACGAGCACATGGCAACTTCAACTCCTATTGGCAGTTAAAAGGAAAAAGATCAGCACCCATGCAGTTGAAAGGAAGTAGTCTAGATAAGGTGTTCACCACTGAATTAAAAAAAATGTTTCTAACTACGATATAGACAACAAAAAAGGGAATTCAAGATTTGTAGCCTAAAACTTAACATCCACTTTACTGCACAGGCCTTTATTTCATATGTGAGGGGAAAAAAAGATAAACTCATCGAATTAATCCAAATGTGCTTTTTCAAGAGGCAACTGGACTTTTTGGTTTTTCTTTGAAGACATTTTGCTTCTCATCCAAGAAGCTTCTTCAGCTGAGAAGCGAAATGTCTTCAAAGAAAAACTGAAAGTCCAGTTGCCTCTTGAAAAAGCACCTTTGGGACAACCATGACTTGGATGACTGAGAATCTCCATAGACACTCATTGAATTAAGTTGACATGGAATGCAGAGCTCTACAGCTCTTTTTTCTCTCCCTTTGCATTTTTTTTTTCTTCTGAAAATGTTCAGTAAAATACTAAATATAGTAACCTGAACAGTTAAATAAGAAATGGAACTTTCACGCTGCCAAGCAATTACTCTTCTATAGAGAATGCTGCCATCTATCTGAATTCAAAAGGAATTGCTTACATATGCATTAACTGGGCAAGTGATGTCATCAGGTACTTTGGAATTCAACTACCACCCATCCTTGTTACCATGGCCAATGATAAGCCAATGATTGCTGCAAGCCAAAATACCTGAAGGGTACAAGCTGCCTATCTCTGTTATAATAAATAGACTTCTAGATATAATCTTAAATAAATTAAAGGCATCCTGGCTCCAAAATTGACATTTTCTTTGCAGAGGAATTAACTTAATAGTTATTGCAGAAGTTTAGAGTAAACTCCATATTCTATCCACAAGATGCTGAAGAGCTGGTATTATATGATTCTTCACTGTGACAATATATTAAAAAAGATGGCTATGGGTGAATAAAACAGCTAATAAATAAAAAAATACTGAATTAAGTGGTGGCTCTAATCCCATCTATACTTTTAATTTTGGAATGAAATGTAGAATAATGAAACAGCAAAAAGACAATTACCCATATGCACATACACATATCTCAAGCTACTGTCTATAATAGAACATGTAAACTGTTAAATGTTGTGTCTTGCTCACCCTACCGCTTCCCACCCAATCTTTCCAAGTGAAAGACAGCTACTGGATCCAAAGTGGAAAAATGTCTTGGCTCTGCTGTATGGCATGCTCTTGCTGTAATGCTGGCACCTCCTTAAAGCTCGTTTCCTGAGCTCAAACCACAGACATCAGTCTCACCTCGAATAGTAAAGTTAATAGCAGGATACGCGTGGCCAGATTGGAGGCCTGAGGTAGGGTAGCCATCTGGCTAATCCATTCAGAGACAGTCTTTGTATCACTTGTAGTGAGGGGCAGAGCTGCCTTGATGAGCACATCAGCAGCTTCCCACACCTGCCAAAGGAAAAGTATGTTATCAATGCCACTAAGAAGCCAACCAGCAGGATCATACCTGGATCCTTTATAAGCTATGTTCCTGTTTTATTAATGAAATTAATTTTCAATTTACACACTACCCAGAAAAGAATGCCATGCTTACTAGATATTTCACCTTGGATCTTCTAGTGTTTTTATTTCAGTCTGAGCATTATTTTAAACATGTTTCCCAAGATAGAACTAGATAATTTTTTTGCTATTTGTGAAAGATAAATACCTTTCTTATAAATATCTTATATCTTTTAAATATCTTATGAATATCATGCTTATAACCATTGCATTTAACATGCATTTTGGTTTGTCATCAACTACATATATGTGAAACATTTGTGCTACTTATCATTGAATTAACTTTTCCTGAATATAAATCTTTACACTCATATTGCTCCAAAAATCATATAAAAGTGGTGGATGTTTGTTTAGCTTAATAACTATGAATCGTTAGGCCTTGAAAAAAAATACTTTACCAATAAATAAGTAAAATATATAAACATACACAGACAACACCCCCACCACATCTTTCACAAACATGGGCATGTGAAAACACGGGCAATAAAACTGCAAATAAAGACGGCACCTGGATCACTTGCTGTGTAAGATCTCAAATATAAACTCCAACTAAATTCAACGTTTATAGCTTATTGTATTTCTTTGATCTAGTATGCAGAGAAATTAAAATAGTCTGATCCAGATTCTCAAGATGTTATGGGATACAATCCTTATTAGACCCAAGGAGGTATGGTTTTGGCTAAACATGTAACCAACTAGAATCAAAAGCTCCTGGAAATATATCTTTTTTTTCCTCCTAAAGGATCTTTAAAAAATTCAGAGGCGATGCTTTCTTAGCATAAAAATTTAATCTACCTGATTCACAACTTGTTTGAGGATCATATCTCTATAATCAGCTCCATTACGTTTGATGGCAGTCATAATGAGGTCACAGACACGATAAACTGTATCTGGGAGCTCATCCAGCAGGTGAAAGCAGCCAGGTAGCATAGTGTCAGTGAAATTGTGCAACTCTTCTTGCTCAAGAGGTTCTGCATCCTGGAACTTCTCCAGACACTTGGCTTCTTCTTCCTCCTGTTTCTCTCGAGCTTTCCGTTCTTCTTCTTCTTTCCGACAAGCAGCTTCCTAGAAAGAAAAGAAAGAAAGAAAAGCTACTTTATACTTACTTTATCTGCTTATATACCTCTGGTTTAAAAGGGGGGGAGGCATTTTACAGCATAAAAACCACCTTGCCCCCTTTATCTCTCCTACATGGCAGATCATTAAAAGATGTTGGTGGAAAGCCTTTCGGTAGGGAAAATGGCAGTGTAGATGCCTCCAAAACTCTCAGAAACATTGTAATAGCTTGATTTTTCTTCTAAACATGAACAATATTATTTTTCAATCCAGCACTCTGAATCACAATATGAAGGGTATTTTATTTATTTTTTTTACCTCTGGGGATTCAGCCCTTTGGTCCATGGGGATGTCTTGTCCCAGGGACATAGCAATGGCCCTCATCATCTGATCTTCTTCAGACATGCTGAGATCCTGCCAGACAACCCACAAACAGATCTGGAATATTAGTGATTGGCTACTGGAATCCAACTTAATCTGCAGCCTAAAGGAAACTAGACGGTTGTATTAACTGAATTTGTAACTAAATTTGTAGTTACAATTTCATGTATTAACTAACATTGTAACATTCAAGTGGGAGTAGAGCTCTCTTTTGTATACATTCATCAAAAAAGATTTTCTAAGCTAAGAGCATCAGAATCATAGTAATTAATTAAGTGACGATGGCATATTTCATCTTTTAGGATTGGGGAGTGAAGGTGTCCAATATTTCAACAGTATCTAGAATGGGACTGGAGCAATTCATGCCACTACCCTGATGTCTACACAATCAATTCAGACTCTGAAAAGAGCAATCTGGATTAACTGTTGTGATATAAATGAAAAAATAAAATAAAGCAAAACAAGATACATCAAAAGGAGAAAATATGATCTTTCCCACCCTTTTTGGCTCTGCTTGCAGCTGGCTTAAGGCCCATTCATCACTAACATGTGGACCCCCCAATTCCAAAGCAATGCAGTTTTCAAAAGAACAAAGATTGGGAATGAACAATCTAGAATAAAGGAAGCCAAGAAATTTCTAAAAGTCAAATAATCTTAAACTGCTAGATTGCCTCACCCTTACAACCCCACCCATAAGGGGTGGAGGATGTGTCAGAAGATACTCTGTGGCTTGTTCCATGGTACTGGTGTTCAACAGAGCTTCCATAGCATGCTCTCGTGTAAAGCCCATGTCCATCAGCTGAAAATAGGCAGAGGCAGAAAACTTCATAAAGGGATTGGATATGCAAGCAGAAGACAACCAGAAGACTCAGTTTAAAAGCCAACTACATCCCCCAAAAAGAAGGGCTTCAACCAAGAATGCAACATTTGCAAAGCACAAAAATAATAATGGAATGATTTCTACCTGCTGAAGCTGCTGCTGGTTCACTTGTGGCTCCCTTCGGGCACCACCCTCTTCTTGCCCCGCCTCTTCCTCACTGCGTGCTCCCTCTTTCTCCTTGCCAAGACGCTCACGGATAACTGGTTCTCCACGCAGGATGTGACACAAGATAGCCAACATGGACTCTGCCATGCGTCCTCCATATACTTTCAATGGCTTACGGTTCCATAGGTTTTTGATGCAAGTGAAGGCTGCCTGCACAACAGAGGAGACAAGCTAGCAAAGGTAGCTCTACATGGGGTCTCCTCCTTGGAAAGTCAGAAATGATTTTGCAGTTTTTAGACATAAAAGTCACTTATAAAGAGGGAGAGGATAGAATGCACCACATAGTGGATTCTACACATATAAGTAAAGAATAAGATACGATTGATTATACAAGGGTTATGTATGAACATTAAATGCTAATAAGTTAGGATTTCAGTAACGTTTCAAACAACAAAAGAAGACAGATCAGCTGTCATAGGCCACAAGATAACAGATTCTTATTTAGACTGATCACAAAGAGTTTTTCCTATAGTAAAATCACATTACAGCAGCAGCTGGCGTAACAGCATATATAGTTCTATATATTTCACTTCCATATAACCTTTGCTTTATCTGAAAAAGAAAAAAAAAGGGAGAAAGAAACTGCAACTACTCACCTTCTGTGTTACCACAAGGAAACGCAAAGCACTGAATTGCAGGTAGTTCTGCCCACCTGGGAGCTTCACAGGCAAGGAATGGGGAGATTCCAGCACTGTGGTAGGATTCACCATTTTCTCCACCAACATGAGCCAGGCATCCAGAAACTCGCCTGTGCCATCAGGCAAATCTGGGTGTTCCAATCCTTCAGCAACTGGAACTTTACCTCCCATAGAAAGGGCCCAGTTGAAAGTCCTGGGTAGGGTGAGACATGAAGTGATTATACCCGTTAAGCATTCAGTTCTTTTTTTTTTCCCCTACACAATCCCACTAAGGTTATATCTGACTTGAAGGAAGCTTTTCTAGATCATTACTGATAATCATACATCATTACTGATAGATCTCGTTGCCACATTCAGGAGCCAATAATGGAGTTGGCTTTAATTCCCTGTAACACTGTGTGGTTGAAATATAAGGATATGGGTCAAGGCAGTAACAATACAAAGTGCTTTTAAAGATAAAAATTTATTCCAACCATTACAATGGTAACGTCATACATTTTTCTAAAGTATTCCACCTCTTTCAAGTGATTTCCCTTTTCTAGTTCATGTATAATAATTCTGTGGATCTTAACTAGGACACGAATTGTTGCAATAAATTCCCATTAATAGATGGCCAGTTCTTATTTACTCTTGTTCCACAAAGACATGAGAATGTCTTTGTGGAACAAGCAAACAATGCAGTTAATTCTGTGGCTGCTCCAGAGCTGAATGCCACCCTTTCTTTCTTTCTTCTGAAATTGTATACCCAGCTCATGACAATCAGACCTTCTGCCTATGCTAGGCTCTCCAATACTGTTCTGACTGTGCTAGTACAGGTTTGGGAACCATTTCAAAGTCAAGAAATATATGACAAAACTCTCTTGGATCAGAGAATTTAGGATAGATCTCATTTGTGTTCTCCATCTCAATGTTAATGCTCTTCAGGCTTGTTAATGCTCTTCAGTACTTGTGGTCTGGTTACGCTGTCATACTAAACCATATTTCTGTGGACTGTATTATGGAAGTAGACATTGTTGATACCGTTCTTCCATTTCAGCTAGAACAGTATATATTCCTGCTATTTTCATCAATTTCTTCATCTTACAATTATTCTACTGTAGATCTCACTGATGATGAAAAAGTCAAAGATTACTCAAATATCCAAAGCCTCAAGCTCATTGTTTGGAAGATCAACTGGATAGTGGATTCTCAGAAGAAACAATTGGGATTTTAGCTGCGTCTTAAAAGTCTTTCATTCTCAAGCCAACAGGCATAAAATATCTAAGTTTAATGCAGGTTTTAGACTTTCTGCTCTCCTTATTGGTGTTTTTTTCAGTTGTCCTTTAAAGTTCATTTAAAAGGTAACTTCAGCCTTTCATAGTTTGATGAAATGTTGTGTTTCTTCACTCAGTGGCTAAACATTTTCTTAACTATTTTTCAATATTTAATTGCCCAATCTCATATCATCCTTTCATGGAATTCATCTCTGGGTGCAGTTAGCTTCCAAACAATTCAAGCTGATGGCAATGCATCGTTTGCAATAATGAAATCTTCTGCAGTTGTTGCCATGGTCTATGTTAAGTTGTTCCAGAGAATTCTGATCATCACACTGTGATGAGTTTTATTTGGTCTTTTAGATAAAATCATTCTACACAAAGATCTTTCTTCCCTCTCTAAATTCTTTCCCTGTCTTAAGAAGAGATGCTTTTTCCAATATTCTTTCCAAACCTGGAACCTGATTAGCATAAATATTGCATTCATTTGATATTTGACAGCTGTTTTCTTTTATTTGGATAGTATTTTTTGATCCAGAAAAACTATATCTACTACCATGATGTTTTCAAAGGTTGACTCAACGCTTGTCTCCATCAAACTTTGTTATCAATTGGCTCATAAGCCGTACTTGTTCCAGTTTGAGAAACTCTACAAGGACAGTGGAACTTTCAGCAGCTTTTCTGAGAGGCATATTCTTATCTAAAATCTGCCAGGCTGCAATAGATTGCTACCTTTTAAGCTGATTAAACAAAAATGTACTGGACTCATTCTAGATGCAACAACTTCTGCATTCTCTTTACTCCCTGTTTCATTCCAGGTGCAGTAACTAATCACCCATGTTTGAATTTCAAAGATCATGATTAGCTAATGAAATATTTCAAGAGTCCAAATAAACCAGCATGCAACTTACTCAAAAAGAGCATTATGGCCTCCAGAGCATAAGAATTTTTGCAGCATTAGGTGGTAGGGATATTTTCTCTCATCAAACAGCATTGGTGAGGTGAAACCGACAGAACAGATGAAAAAAGTCAAACTAAAAGCAAAAAGAATTCTGTTAATCGAGCAAACTCAAAACAGTGCTGCTTATTTCTCAAATCTTTGCAAAATGTAGCAAAGTATTACTGTTTATGAAGTCTAGGATAAGCTTTCCCCTTCCCGCAAACATTGTGGGATGAACCCGAATTACTGGTAAGTAGGTCTTACCGGAAGCGAGGGGTAGGTGTATATGGTGGGGGTTGCCAGGAAAGCCCCTTGGTGAGTAGTTTGGTGAGTGCTGAAGCTGTTGAGCGAGCAGCAGGAGTGGGAGCAGTAGTGGTGCTAGCAGCATGATGGCTCCTACGTTGTCTTACCGGGGAACCAACACACAGTTTGACCAGCAACCCAAATAATTCTGCCAAAGCACGTCCTAACCTAGAAGATGCTGAGAGTGAAACAGAGAATAAATTCAATTTTATGTTATTAAAAATAAAGAGGAAAAGTGATACGTTCCAAAGCAGAGTCTCAGTCTCAAGTCTCTTTATTTGTTAAGATTAAGAATTTGGCTTCACAAAAGGCTCACAGGTGTTCTTAGAAAATCAAAATGATGCATGGCTGTAGTTCAACACTTGGAAATACTGTACACTGACCTGCTTGGAAGAAAACAGTAAAGGCACGTTCTAGAAGACTAGAGAGTACAATAAGCAGCAACTCATTATTTTATTTTCTCATAAATTGTGCTGTGATTGGCTAGGATCACGTTGATAATGCAGAAGCCTCCCAGTCAGGACCACCAGTAAAAGAACTCACAATATGCTCCCAATATTCAAAATGTGCTCATTGCTCCAGAAAAGTTGTCTACTTCTGTCATAAAAATTATTCCAGCATTTTGATATAGATATACTAGCAAAGATAGTAAGCGAAGGCAAGTCACAAAATAGAACTGTTCTCTAATCATAGGTATTACATTCCATTCAAAAGCTCCCGTCTTTTTTCTGAATCAGTTTCAATAGAGTTTTCTCCTCCCCTCACCTGATAGAAGGGGCTTGATCTGCTTGATTCGAGCTGCCATGGCTGGGGTTATTTTTGACTTCCCCTTTGGATCAGAAGAACTAGGCTCATCAGTTTCCATTGGTGCCAGGGTGTCACCATCTAGGCCAATTCCTTCTAGCAGCCCTTGGGCAGAAGCCTCCATGGTTCCAGCTCCTACTGCTTCTGGTTCACCATCTGCAAAAAGCAATGCTGATAAATTATCCATTCAACGTTCTTTCTGCCAGCCCATTTCCCACAATTTCACTTAGAAGGACCTAAACTGTTCATTAATTCAGATTTCAATAGAACCTAATGGAATCGCCAGTACAAGCATAGAAAATCTTTAGAAGCTGGAAAACGGTAACCCCGTACCATGAAGGCAGGCTAAGTGTGGTGTTTGAGAGAGCAGAAAAGCAAAACTGTATAGGAGACCAATAGAGCAAGGTGGGAGTGTTAATTTCAAAAGAACTGTTAAACTCCCCCAGAACACCTCATTAAATGATAGTTTCCCATCAACAGATAGTTTTCCATTTGAAAAAAACAAATTGGTTGTGTGCAAATGTAGTCTCTTTTGTTAAATCAATACTTCTTGTCTGATAAGAAATTGATTTATTAGTGTTGGAAGTTGCTTCAATAAAGCATAAAATATAACAATAATTTCACTGCTGTACGGGAAGAGCCTAAGATTGGTAAGAAAGCTGGCTACTGTACTTTGCCAGCAGGCATGCAGCACAAAATGCTTCTTCTGCCAAATAGCCTCCCCTCCCCAATACAGTTTTTATGGGATAGGAAATCTGAATTTTGTATCAAATCTCAACTCAACAGTTAAGAGCATCTATCTTCCAACCATACCAGCTTTTTTGGCTCCCTGGGTAGCACTTGGTACAGTTTTCTCTTCCTTTGGCACCAATTTCTGCATGTCAGCCTGGCCAAATTCACAACCTGAAGGTAAACTGCAAGCATAGAAAGGTCAGATACTGCTACAAGTAGCATACATTGAGCAGATGCCCTGGTTTCTTTCACAACAGGAAAATATATAGATATATAGAACGAGCAATGGAATGAAGTAGAACAGTGGCACAGGGACCAAGGATCCTAGGCAATATCCCAGTTGGTACTGAACCACTGAAGGCTCAAAAGCTACTTTAGGCCACTTCAGTTTCTATTTGGCCTCTTGTCATTCTTAGAGGTGCTAAAAGGAGCCATGAAATGGCTGCAGCTCTGTTTAGCTATGGGTGAATTCTTCCTTGACCAACTGGCTCCAAGATGGTGCGATGGATATGGGAGAGAAAGTTTGTGCTGCCTTTGCTCGTTTGCCACATTCTACAACACACCCTTACGTGCACGGTACCCCAACTCCTGACACTTTTTACCAAGGGAACCGCTGACACACTTGAATCGATTCATTAAACCTATGGGCTTTGTTCTAGTGGTCTTGTGACCCAAATGCCCACTTATAAATAAGCAGTGTTTCTCTATCCAGTTCCAGCCCAGCAAATTTATACCACCAGCAAAGTAGGTTTCACATCTACCACATGCCCATACCTGTTTGGCGTGCATAACGACAGCAGCACAGTGCTTTCCCATACCAGTGAACAGTACAGCTGGCTCAGCTTGCTCAGCACACTCAGACCCAACTGTGAACCCCACTGGTTTACTGAGATGGCTCTAATTTCACTCTGTAAATGGAAGAGAAAAGTACGTTGCTGAACAGCTGAATTAGGCATTGGTGATATCAAGGAGCATTAAGGCCAAAAAAGAAATGAGCAAGGCAAAAAAGCAATTCTTACTTGTCCTACACGGCAAGTGTGCACAAACATCATGATGTAAGCATGGGCTGCTGTCAGGGCATGGAGTAAGGGTGTGGCCTGGGCAGAGAGAGTAGCATCAGCTACATTGCCAGCACATGCCAATTCCCGCAGCAGGACTGAACCACCAGGTTCCTCGATGGGCCGGTGCAAAGGCTCCAAGGAAGAGAGGATGGAATCCAGTTGAAGCAACCCTTCTTGCAGCACTTTTGGCTCATGAGACAGTGTCTAGGATACAGAAAACAGAATAGTGCAATCCATCAAATCACCTGAATAATATGTAAGTCTTTGCCTCAAAACCACACACTGTACCAAACTCTATTCCATGATGTTCAGTTTAAACTCATGATTTATGGTTTACTAAACATCCATGAATGCTCTTTCTCAGAAAAATACTGTCTAGCCTTTGTAGATACTGTATTCATAGACTGAACAAGTTGACATTCAGAATAAGTGATTTAAAAAAAAAAAGTTCTCTTGCTAACCACATTAACACTTCTCCATATTTGCTCGCCATCTGGCTCACAACATTGAACCAACTTATGCCACATGCAAAAACAACAGCTATATAGGGATCCACACCCCAACTCATCCACTATAGCAGGGATGAACAGCCTGTACTTCTCAGGTGTCATGACCCAATATCCCATTTGGGACTCCAGAAAACTAGAATATCTATCTATCTATCTATCTATCTATCTATCTATCTATCTATCTATCTATCTATCTATCTATCTGACATTTTTCAGAATGTTGGTGGCTTACACAGAGTTTAAAGTATCAGTTACAAAAATAAAAACACAATAGAATAGTAAATCCAGGGGGAAAAAATAAAGCTGTCACCATCGAATTAGGAAAAGTCTCTTTGAAAACACTGATCTTCATTAGTTTTCAAAAAAGAAAAAAAACTTATGAAGAGGGAATTAATCTGATCTCAACAAGAAGAATGTCAGTATCAGTGCTACTACAAAAAACAGCATATTCTCACTTCAGTCCCCAAAGTGTGGGATTTTAGCAACTTCTTCCTAATAGATCTGATAGGTTTGGGCCAACCAAAACAGATCCAAATTGGTCCCACAAACTAATTGGCTACTACTGCAGGATCCTTGAAACCAGTGTTATACACTCATGACAGGGAGCCCCAAAATATGTGCATTACTGCATTCTGGACCAACTGTAGTTTCCAAATACTCTTTAAAGGCATTCCCAAGTAGAGCATGTTACTGTAGTCTAATCAAGTAGTGATGAGGGCACAAGTTAACTATAGTCAAGTCTTCTTGTCCTAGGTAAGGCCACAAGTAAAGCACCAGCCAAAGTTGGGCCTAGGCCCCCTTGGCCACAGCTTTCATCCATTTATCTTGTAGGAGCTGAGAGTCCTGAATGACCTGCAAGTAGAAAACCTGCATCAAGTAACTTGGGGGTGGGAGGGAATCAGCCACCATAGATCACCTTAAAATTTTTTCTGATTTTTGCTGTTGGAGGGAGGTTAAGGGATGGAAGGCACATGCAGTGTTTAAAATACATATTTGCCTCTTAAGTACCCCATAAATCCCCAAAAATATCCAAGGATTTCAATTTCACCTGGTGCTGATATTTTCTGTAGCTCCCCCAGCAAGGAAAGAAGATAAATTATGTCTTCCAACCAACATAATGCATAAACCCTGTCTGTGGTAGGATAGAATCTTTGATTGATTATATACTGAATCTCTTCTGATTGTGTTATTGTACAGGTTGTCCCTGACCCAAAGGTGGCTTTTTAAAAAAAGGCAAACTGGACTTTCCAATTTTTCTTTAAGATGTTTCATTTCTCATTTAAGAAGCTTCTTCAGTTTGTTCAACAACTGAATGAACAGTTGTAAATCAAAGGCTACCTGTACATGAATTGATCTGTAAAGAAACAGCCCACTTAAGATAAACAATCATATATAAAAGCCAAATTCAGATCCAAGATGATGAACCACCGAATGAAGAAAAAGGAAACAATGCCACAATTCACTGCCCTAAGAGTCTATTACCAAATTTAATTACTATCATTCCAAAATTGCCCACTAAAATATGGCCTTCCTGAAAAGAAAATGTTGTACATGCTGAGAGAGACAGTTAAGCTCTGAAGCCAAACTGCATTCCTAAAAATATCCTTTCCAGTGAAATACAGTAATCATATCACTGCCCATATCAAAAATTTGTGGAAAGTTATGACCATAGAGGTGAACATGCAGATCCATAGACTGCTACTGTAATGCATGTTTTCTTGATCCACAAGTGTCAATCTGTTATTTAAAAGCCAAATAAGCCTTTTTTCCAAGAAACCTGAAGAAAATACAGCAGCTATGGGTGGCTGAACACAAAATTCCTGGGACATTTACACTGTCCTAGGAAGCAAAAATTCAACTTTTTTTACTTATTAAAATTCACAGCATCTTTGCTTAGCACAAATGAAAGCACATACCTTAGATAAGCAATAGGATACATGATGTATTACTGACCAGCCACTATAAACCCAAACTGGAGAATGACAAAAGGTCCAGGTGTTATATCACTATTCCTTTCAGAACAACATGCAATAATTATGAATTCAGGTAGTCCTTGCTTACCAACCACCTTATTTAGTGACTATTCAAAGTTACAACCGTGCAGAAAAATAGTCTTCTGCAATCACATGCTCACCATTTGTATGCTTCGCAACTGGCGTATAACATCTTAAGACACGGTCACATGTTTCCTTTAGTGACCGTGGTGTTTCACTAACGGCCGAAGGAGACGTGTGGTTGTAAGCCCATCATGGTCACATGATTTTCCGCTTAGAGACTGGAGTTGCCAGACTCAATTGTAGTTGCTAAGTAAAGACTGCCTGAATAGTGTTTTATACAGGCATTCTTGATCACATTTATGTACTTGCTTTCAGATTTATTTCCCTCTCTTTCTTGCAGAGCTCTTTTGGCTCTACATAGAAGGAAAGTTTTGGAATGAATTTCAAAATCTCTTCGGGATGAAAGCTATATGAAAATATCAAGCACATGGGATACGCAAAGGGAACTGTGAATAATTCTGAACTAGACTATTTTTATAGGAAGAGTAAAAAAAAATATATTCCAAAAACAAGAATAGACTCTTAGCTGGGCATAAGAAATGTTTGGACTTATTAATCGCCCATCTCTCCCACAGAGGGGGCTCTGGGCGGTAATTTACTTTCTTTTTATTCTGAATTTGTAAATAATTGTCCATGGATAGAAAATATGCATTCTAATTTGTAGAAAGATGTTGGGTTTTACTTTGTACCATGTAAGGGTAGCATCAGCTGCTCACCTAGGGATGCACTGAACTATATAACTTTGGTGGGGGGGGGAGCTAAATTTATGCATCCAACTGTATTCACTGTAGCAACTGTATCGCTTTAGCTTTTCTGCTTGCCTTGATCCCAACAGACACAGGTGTTCAGCTAGGCATGCATTTCATACGGAATGCTTACAAGGCTCGGTCACAGAATCTCAGTGTCAAGCCTGATCATCTCACAAGATAGTGGGTTGTTTTTGCTATCCTTACTGCATAGTTCAAAGGGAGGGAACAGATTAGTCTTGCCAATAATATAAGATATATATTATATATATATATATATAATATAAGATATATATAATATAAGATAACACTGAACCTGCCCCTACAGGGGCAGGGTTGAGCTGAGGATTTTGTGCAATTCCTGCATGATAAAGTCGCTCAGATTCGGGAAGGCTTGGACTCCGACTGGGTGAGTCCGGGGAGGGAGGCGGAGGTGAGTCTGGAGAATTCTATCTGGGAAGAGTTTGACTCCGTGGCTCCTGAGGATGTGGACAGGATTCTGGGTAGGCTTAGTGCTGCCACATGTTTATTGGACCCGTGTCCCTCCTGGTTGGTACTGGCCTCCCGGGAGGTTGCACGAGACTGGCTCCAGGGGATTATAAATGCTTCTTTGAGTGAGGGTGCCTTTCCCGCCGTCTTGAAAGAGGCGGTGGTGAGGCCCCTCCTCAAGAAGCCATCCCTGGACCCGGCTCTATTAGCAAATTACCGTCCGGTCTCCAACCTTCATTTTGTGGCGAAGGTTGTCGAGAGTGTGGTGACACGACAGCTACCCCAGTACCTGGAGGAAGCTGTCTATCTGGACCCGTACCAGTCGGGCTTCAGGCAGGGGTACAGCACAGAAACGGCATTGGTCGCGTTGGTGGATGATCTCTGGAGGGCTCAGGACAGGGGTTGCTCCTCTGTCCTGGTCCTATTAGATCTCTCAGCAGCTTTTGATACCATCGACCATGGTATCATGCTGCAGCGGTTGAGGGGGTTAGGAATTGGAGGCACCGTGTTACGGTGGTTCTCCTCCTACTTCTCTGACTGCTTGCAGTTTGTGTTGGCAGGGGGGCAGAGGTCGACCTCGAGGCGCCTCGCTTGGGGAGTGCCGCAGGGGTCAATCCTCTCGCCCCTTCTGTTCAACATTTATGTGAAGCCGCTGGGTGAGATCATCCATGGTTTTGGGGTGAGAGTCCACCAGTACCCTGATGACGCTCAGCTGTACATCTCCACCCCAAACCACCCCAATGATGCCCTTGATGTGATGTCCCGCTGCCTGGAGGCTGTGCGGGTCTGGATGGGGAAAAATAGGCTCAAGCTCAACCCTTCCAAGACTGAGTGGCTGTGGCTCCCGACATCCCAGTATAGTCAGCTGGTGCATCACTGACTATTGGGAGTGAATCTCTGCCCCCCACAGAGAGGGCTCGCAATCTGGGTGTCCTCCTGGACTCACGGCTGTCTTTAGAAGAGCATATGACGGCCGTAGCCAGGGGGGCTTTTTATCAGGTTCGCCTGATCCGCCAGTTGCGTCCTTTTCTGGACCGGGACGCCTTGCGCACGGTCACTCATGCCCTCGTCACCTCCCGTCTGGACTACTGTAATGCTCTCTACATGGGGCTCCCCTTGAAGAGCACTCAGAGGCTCCAACTGATCCAGAATGCAGCCGCGCGGGTGGTTATGGGCACACCTCGTTACGCCCATGTAACACCTCTCCTGCGCGAGCTGCACTGGCTCCCAGTGGTCTTCCGAGTGCAATTCAAGGTGTTGGTCACCACCTTTAAAGCGCTCCATGGCATAGGACCAGGATATCTACGGGACCACCTTCTGCCACCAACAGCCTCCCACCGACCAGTTCGCTCCCACAGAGAGGGACTCCTCAGGGTGCCGTCAGCCAAGTTATGTCGGCTGGTGACACCCAGGAGGAGAGCCTTCTCTGTGGGAGCTCCTGCCCTCTGGAATGACTTGCCCCCGGATATTCGTAACATTTCTGACCTCCGGGTTTTTCGCTGTGCCCTCAAGACCCTACTGTTCCGACAGGCGGGGCTGTCAAATTGAATGATTTTAAATTGGGTTTTAATTTTGGATTTTAAAATTTGGCCAAAACTATTTAATGATTTTAATTAATTTTAACTAGATATTGTATATTTGTATTTTAATTCTGGCTGTACACCGCCCTGAGTCCTTCGGGAGAATGGGCGGTATATAAATATTATTATTATTATTATTATTATTATTATTATTATTACTACTACTACTACTACTACTACTACTACTACTACTACTACCACCACTACTACTACTACTGTAGACTCCTTGCAATTTCAGAGTATGCCACCTTATTGGGATGCTATTAACACAGCACACCTAGACTGCTAGCCCTACAGTTGCTAATCAGCATTATTTGAAAAATCTGTGCTAAATGAAATTTAGTCTAGGGTAAATATTAAAAATGTGGGGGTTTTTTTTAGTGAAAGGAGGATTATTCTTGGTGTTTAATAGATTGATATATTGTGTTAATTTTTCTGACCTATTTTTATTCAATTGTAAGGAATTTCTGAAGAGGCAATATTATATCCAGCATAAAAATGGTGAACCTGCTGGTTCAATGATTGGGTAAACACCGTTTTCCATTTTACAGTATTAATGCTTAGTTAGTAGTGGTGGGGAATTTGATTAACCTCAAACCTGCCTAGAAGCCAAAACATTTGGTCTGCGGTCAGGACATTTCCACACAAACATGATCTGTGGAGAGTAGAGAGCTCTAAACATCTTCAGAAGAAATTGCATATACTTTTATTCAAACATTACAGGATTAAGCCCTGATTCTAACACTTAATTTGAGCTCTGGCAAATAACGTTTTGGCATAGACAAGTGAGAGCTCCATGATGGTTCGCTTGTACAGGTAGTTCTATAGTTACGACCACAATGGACCCAAAGTTTCTGTTCCTAAACAAGAGAGTTGTTAAGTGAGGTTAGCCTCATTTTATGACATTTCTTACCACAGTTGTTAAGTGAATCCCTGCAGTTGTTGTGAATGGTTGTTAAGTGAATCTAGCTTTCCTATTGACTTTGTTTGCCAGAAAGCCCAAAAGATGAACACATGACCCTGGGACCCTGCAACCATCATAAATACATGCCAGATGTCAAGCGTTTAATTTTGATCATGTGACCATGGGATGCTGCAACAGTTAAGTGTGAAACATGGTCATAAGTCACTTTTTTCAGTGCCGTTAACTTTAAAAACAGTCACTAAATGAATGGTTGTAAATCGAGGATCACTTGTAAATATTATGCAGATCCTTAAGTATGACATTACTAGTAATGTACGGATGGATTCCCATTGTACTCCACTTAGCAGTCATGTTGCTTGAATCAATCCTTATGCTTGCTAAAGCCGTGTTGATTAAAAATGGCAGTTTCCTCCCATGAAAAGAGTTTCATCAGAAAAGCCAACTATTAGTCAGTTTTAAAATTCTGGACTAATATTTTCCAAACTGCATAATTCCAAAAGAGGAATATTACAATTGGTATAAATTATGCAAATCAGAGAAATGGATATGACTTACTTCATTCATACTTTGCACATTTCCTACATTCATTCTTGCAGTTATGTGAACCTTACTTTGTTCCCAAAATTCACACTGAACAGGCAAAAACTGTAACAGCTCATTGCTACCCTATCCCCTAAAAATTGAGGGGAGGGTGTCAATTGTACTACAAAATCTACAAGTGCCAGCCAATATACTAAACAATACAGAGTTGCAGTTCAGCAACATCTGGGAGAATACAGATTTCTTGTCCTTGATAATATATTCATTCCCAAACCAAAATTTAAAAGACTCCTAGACTTGCAGGTGTGTATGTGCAAGTACAAGGGTGTAAACCTGAATATTAACTATAACATACCAACAAAATGAGACTATTTCACCCATTTTGTGAATCAAAAATACCATATTCTTGGTAATATAGATCTCTATGTTCAGAGACTTCGCTTCTTTCTCTTTGCTTTTCTCCTTTAAATTCATCCTAATTGGACAAGCTCTATGGCTTCATCCCATTAATGTATTCTTCCTATACTAGACATTTTATGGTAATATACTACCGTTTCCCCCCCAAATAAGACATCCCCTGATAATAAGCCCAATTGGGCTTTTGAGTGCATGGCAATAAGGCCAAGCGCTTATTTCAGGGTTCCAAAAAATATAAGACAGGGTCTTATTTTCGGGGAAACATGGTAGATAGGACAATTCTGAATCTAAGATTGCTAGAAAAAAAGCAACCATGATCCTCTGGTAAATTTTGCAAACCTAACAAGCACTGTCAGCTACAGTGATGCAATCAACACGAGCCTGTAACAGGTGCATGGGGGAATTAAGAGTAGGATTTCCAGAAGTCTGAGTATACTTCCAACTCAATGGCAGTGATAATTACCTTCTGGAAAGGGAAATGTTGTATTCTCCTCCTTACCAATATGGATTTGCAGACTCCAGCCACAGCTTGGCAGGCTGCTGAAGTGGGGAAGTCTATGGGCAAGTTGGGCAGGCCCAAGATGGTCACAAGGGGCAGCAGACCCTTCTGATTCACAAATTCCTGGCAATGGTCATCTGTAGTATTATTGCTGAGGATCGACTCCACAAATTTCATCTGGGGAGAAAGAAAAATGACAGGAAAAGAGGGAAGAAAAGAATTAGGCTTTTTACAGTTCTAGAAACTGCTGAAATTCTACATCAAGGGGTATGGAAAATATAACAACTTCTTAATTCAGTAGTTCCTTAACAGATTCTAGAATATATACTGTCAAGATCAAATCCACCCAACTTTTTAAATAGCAAGAACATTAAAGCCAAAAATAAGGTTTTGGGTAATTTTATAACATTCCCAGAACACAAGTATCAAAATCAAAATAAAAACCTCTTCTATTTCAACATCTGAAACTACGGTAATTTAAGGATACCATCCAACTCAACAGCAGAACCAGCACAGCAGTATTATTTTAACAAGTATTTGAGGTAGCTATTACATTTTTTAACTCCTGCCCTGTTATAGTTTGAAAATCTTATCAAGTATAGCAATGTTAAAGCAGAAAATATTAAATTTTTTCATAAACACTTTGGAAAAGTGTATGTTAAGCTCCACCTGCTATTCAAGAACTTACCACATTAAGGATGTAATCCATGAGAGGAATTGGTATCCGTTCTTCTGTCCCAACGACCCTAGAAAGAGGGAAAATTACGATCACTGCAAATCTTCCATTTTTTTTTTTTTTTTTACAATGGACACGTGTGATCTCCTACACTCACATTTTAGATTTTATGCAAAGCCTTCTTCCATTAAGGTTTTCCAAAGAGATAACAGTGAAAAAAGGGCGGAACTATTACTCATCCAGCCTCTTTTAACCCAAAATATCCATAGGGCAGCTCTGCATATGGACTCCGGCAGTACTGTGCCAAAAGCGGCAACAAAATGACAAAAGGAACCAGGACTGAAGGGGAAAAAGAAAAAAAGAAATGGCAAGGGGAGGAATGAAGCAATACTGTCCATTTTGGCCAGAGGCCTTGAACTGGATTAAAAATGGGAATGTGGCAAGATCCATGAATGGTCGACTGCCAGGCGCCATGGAGTTCTGCAGCAAAATGGAGCCAGGCAGGAGAGAGAGAAGAGGAAGAATCGGAGAGTGACGTAAAGAGCATGCTCCGTACAGAATTTGGTCGGGAAAAGAAGAAAATGTCTGATGTAAGCAAGGAGGGATCAAGCAAAATGCAGGGCGGGGAGGTGGGTGAGGGGAGGATATTGGGGCGACTCCAGTCCCACCAGGCACCTGCCACATGGCAGCAGACAAGCCAAAAGGAAATCCGGCCCTGCTACTTTAGCCAGAAGAAACATGGCCTCCTCCCTGAAGCTAGAAGAAGTTTAACTGTTTCTAGACCCTAAAAATATAAAGATCTTACTTACACTTTCAACAAGGGCAACATAAGGATTGCAGAATCTTAATTCAAAACAAATTTTTGTATTAATGGGGAAGCCAGAAAAGTGTTGAATCCAGGCTGCCTTTAAGGTAATGAACTAGTTATATTAAAAAAAAAAATAAAACTGGGAGGGAACCCCCCCTTATTCTGCTTTCTTTTCCTTGCAAAGCATCATGATGTCCCTGAATTAGCTGATACCAAATGCTGAATACCAATTTTGCATTTTCCCCAGCATCACCCAGCACAACTCCTATAAATGAGGAATTGATGGGGTTAAATTGTCCCATAGACAGAAAATTTCAGAGTTCAGAAGTTTACAAAGAAACAGCTGGCAGGCGCTCAGGAGCTGTGGGAGACTTTGCCAAACAAACAGTGAGCCAAGACAGCCTCTCAGCAAGGTTCTCACAAGCTGAAATCAGGGTGCCAGAGAGCAGGCGCACTCTGCTAAAAATGCTTAAAGTGACATTACATCCCACTCCATTTGTTGGCTCTGGAAACTTTTTGTCCTCAGAAATATCACATTGGCTGTGTTATAGGTCCCTGAAGTTCTATCAGTTCAATAACTCTAGTTTTTTTTCTCTACAAGAAGTATTATGAAGCTTCAGCCTCTGATTCAAAGAGCTGCTGAAATCTTTCAAAAGAGGTCCATATTAATGTACAGGAATGCCTATGAGCATTTCTTCTAAACTGTCAAAATAGCATATGGAAACAACTAGGAATAGCTTCTGGAGCAGTCAAATGAGCCTAGGGGAAAAGGCTACTTTAATCATTCCAAAATTGATTTTTCTGGTTAGAGCTAATACTTTAAAGAGTAAAAAAGACTTGATACTTATTATACTAATAAAACAAAAATTATTTGGAAATTAATGTAATTAGTTTTGCTTAAGAGAATTTGAAAGGAGGTATTCTGTGAACATTAATAATTCAGTGAACTTATTTCTCCAAGACCAGCCTGAATTAAAGCTTGTCATGGTATACTTAACTACCATTCACATTCACAGATGAACATGCAGCCTTGGGTCTGATTAGCATCCTGAAAGCCCCCTCCCATCTTTTAATTAACTTTTAATGTCAACTTTAATTACCCTTGCCTCTGTTTTAAATTTTAAGTTTGATTTTTATGTTAATATTTTACTTGTACACTGCCTAGAGTCCCTCTGTGAGGGAGATTTTATTTTATTTATTTTATTTTATATCAAATTTATATACCGCCCTTCTCCCTGAGGACTCAGGGCGGTGTACAGCCAAATAAAAACATAAACTACAAAAATTAAAATACTATTAAAAAGATATATATAAATTTGGCCCCGTAATTAAAGAACAATGACAAACCAATTAAAAACATTTAAAAGTATTAAGCCAGCCCGGCTTGCTGAAAAAAGAAAGTTTTAAGGGCACGGTGGAAGGCACCAAGGTCTTGGATTCTCCTTATCTCTGGGGGCAGCTGGTTCCAGAGGGTAGGTGCCCCCACAGAGAAGACCCTCCCCCTGGGGGTCACCAGCCTACATTGATTGGCTGATGGCATCCCGAGGAGGCCCTCTCTGTGGGAGCGCACGGGTCGATGAGAGGTCGTCGGTAGCAGCAGGCGGTCTCAAAGATATCTAGGTCCTATGCCATGGAGCGCTTTAAAGGTGATAACCAACACCTTGAAGCACACCCGGAAGACCACTGGGAGCCAATGCAGCTCATGCAGGAGAGGTGTTGTATGGGAGCGCCATGCAGCTCCCATAACTACCCACACGGCCGCATTCTGGACCAGTTGGAGCCTCCGGGTGCCCCTCAAGGGGAGCCCCATGTAGAGAGCGTTGCAGTAGTCCAGGCAAGAGGTGACGAGGGCATGAGTGACTGTGCGCAGGGAATCCCAATCAAGAAAGGGCCGCAACTGGCGTATCAGGCGAACCTGACAAAAAGTCCCCCTGGCCACAGCCGTCAGATGTTCCTCCAAGGAGAGCTGTGTATCCAGAAGGACTCCCAGATTGCGAGCCCTCTCTGAGGGGGCCAAAGACTCGCCCCCAATAGTCAGAGATGGAATCATCTGACTATATCGGGATGCCGGGAACCACAGCTACTCAGTCTTGGAAGGGTTGAGTTTGAGCCGGTTTCTCCCCATCCATATCCGCACAGCCTCCAGGCACTGGGACATTACTTCAAGGGCATCATTGGGGTGGCCAGGGGTGGAGATGTACAGCTGGGTGTCATCAGCGTACTGGTGGTACTTCACCCCAAAGCCACGGATGATCTCACCCAGCGGCTTCAAATAAATGTTGAACAGAAGGGGCGAGAGAACCGACCCCTGAGGCACTTCACATATGAGAGGCCTCGAGGTCGACCTCTGCCCCCCTGCCAACATGAACTGCGACCGGTCGGAGAGAAAGGAGGAGAACCACTATAGCACGGTGCCCCCGCTCCCCAACTCTTCCAACCGGTGCAGCATGATACCATGGTCGATGGTATCAAAAGCCGCTGAGAGGTCTAACAGGGTCAGAATAGAGGAGCAACCTCTGTCCTGAGCCCTCCAGAGATCATCTACCAACGCGACCAATGCCATTTCCGTGCTGTGCCCGGGCCTGAAACCCGACTGGAACGGATCTAGATAAGACATTTCCTCCAGGTACTGCGGAAACTGTCGTGCGACCACACTCTCAACAACCTTCGCCACAAAGCGAAGGTTGGAATCAGGACGATAGTTGGCTAATACTGCCGGATCCAGGGAAGGCTTCTTGAGGAGAGGCCTCACCACCGCCTCTTTCAAGGTCGTGGGGAAGTAACCCTCACTCAATAAAGCGTTGATAATTCCCTGGAGCCAGCCTCGTGTAACCTCCCGGGAAGCCAGTACTAACCAGGAGGGACACGGGTCCAGTAAACATGTGGCCGCACTAAGTCTCCCCAGAATCCTGTCCACGTTATCAGGGGTCACAGAGTCAAATTCTTCCCAGATAACATTCTCAAGACTATTCCTCGTCACCCTGCCCGAATCTAGCCAGTCAGAGCCCAACTCCCCCCGGATCTGAGTGATTTTGCCATACAGATATTGTCCGAAATCCTCAGCCCTGCCTTCCAGGGGGTCCTCCCGCGCTCCCGGATGTAGCAGGGAGCGGTTCACCCTAAACAGGGCGGCTGGACGATTCTCTGATGACGCAATAAGAGAGGAAAAGTAATTAAACTTTGCCGCTTTTATCGCCACTAGGTAGGTCTTAATATGTGACCTTACCAGTGTTCAGTCAGATTCAGCGAGACTGGCCCTCCAACCGCTCTCCAGGCGTCTTTTCCGGCGCTTCATCTCCCTCAGCTCCTCGGTAAACCAATGGGTGATTACTAAATGTGGTGCTAGCTGGCTGGCCACAGACAGACAGTTGGACAGAGGGACAGCTGTGCAAGACAATAGCATTACATTAAAAAGAAATGACCACTCTGAAAGAATTTATTTCGAGGACAGAAAAATGTAGCACTTGAACCACTTGTTGGCCCGACAAAGATATGTTTGCCTCTATTTCACATAAAACTCAGACTGATGAAGAATTTTGTGAAAGCGATGAATAAGGAAGGTGAAAGCTTTTTGTTATTTGAGACAGATACTTTCAAGAATAACTGATGCCAAGATTAAGGAAGGAATTTTTGTTGGTCTACAGATCAGATATATCATCAACAAGCGTTGAAGGACCTGTTAGTGGGGCCAGAGAAAACAGCCTGGAAAGCATTCAAGGATGTTGTTCAGAATTTTCTTGGGAACTACAGAAAACCAAACTACATTCAGCTGGTTCACAATTTTTTTACAGCAAACAAGATCATGAAGCACAACATGCCACTGAAGATTCATTTTCTGCAATCACCCTTGGACTTCTTTCACAAAAATCTAGGTGCAGTAAATGATGAATATGGTGAAACGTTTCACTAGGACATTGCCACAATGGAAAAATGGTATCAGGTAATCCATCAATGCTGGTTAACTATTGTTGGACATTGCAGTGAGATATATCAAACACTGAGTACAAATGAAAATCAGCAGCAAAACACTTTTAGGCCTGTTGAACTCATGCAGTGTCAGAAACATTATGTCATTAAATACATCATAGTCATTGAAAGTTAATTTGATATTTCTCAAGATTTCTAAGTGATACAATGAATCTGAAATTATATTTGTCTTGAATTTGAAAACATTTATTATAATCACCAGAAATTTTTCAAGAAGTACAATTTTTGGGAAAAAATTGTTGTCCAGTGGAATCAATACTGACTTGATGGCACATAATCCATAAATACTATCTGACTGCACTTGAACCATATACAACCAATTAACAGTAACACTTGATCAATGTGCTAGCCTTGCTCACAACTCATAACAGCAAGTGATCCTTTATTACGAACACTGTATATTTTTTTAGATAAAACTTTAAAATAAAAATTGTCACAGATTCTTCCTGGAGGGGGGAGGAAATGCATCTTCTCATGAAAACCTGTAATATACTACAGATACATGGAGAAGGAGGGGATAATTCACATTTATTTGCAAACAGGGATCCACTGGAAAAAGAGAAATTTACTTCCTAATATGCATATGAAAGATTGTGATACAGATGAGTAAAAACCTAGTCAGTTTTGAAATCTAATTAAATTATCATCCCACCATTAGGCTTTGTTTTGCCCAAGTGATTTTTACATTTCCTCCTCAAAGAAGAAAAAGAAATAAAGGACGAATTCACTGTCAGTGTATTTGCTTTTTGTCCTTTTTTATCATTTCAAAAACATTTGAGGGTTATAAAACCTGAGCAGGCAAAGGCATCTATGTAGCCCAATTTAAAGTAAAATAGAAAAATAAGTTAGAAAATATGTATCAACTCTATACAGAAGCTGTGCTTTCCAAAATCAGTTCAGACATGGAAGCCCAAAAGCACCTACCAGATTTCTAAAAGAAACTCAGATTCTACTTTGTCTCTAAAAGATGAAATGCATATCTTTGCTCTTTTAATATAGATAGTACTGAGAAAGCAAGAGATATTGATAGCAAATTCACCAATAATGACTTTTTTCCAAATAAAAATATACCCTCTTCTGGAAATGGGATGAAATATTGCAGCCACAAAATTTGGAGATCTACTGCAGCTGTTTTAATTTGTGTGTTTGTTTTAAGAAATAAAAAATGCATAAAGGCTACCCTACACGTAATTTATATGAGTATGGGTAACATACACAAATAAAATTTTAAAAAACAACCAGAATTAAACCAAAAAGGAAAATAGCAATAGCAATAGCACTTACAGTGCTTTACAGCCCTCTCTAAGCGGTTTACAGAGTCAGCATATGGCCCTCAATAATCTGGGTCCTCATTTTACCCACCTCGGAAGGATGGAAGGCTGAGTCAACCTTGAGCCTGCTGAGATTTGAACTACCAAATTGCAGGCAGCCAGCAGGCAGCAGAAGTAGCTTGCAATACTGCACTCTAACCACTGTGCCATCGTGGTTCATAGAACCAAAATAAAACCAATAAACAATCATAGACATATCTGAACATTTAAAACATTTATAAGCTGACTATCTTATATTGAATAACAAGCTCTCGCTCAAACTGTGTGTGTGTCCTCATTTCAAAAGGCAACCATAGCAACAGAGAAGGCATATTGTCGAGATCTTATTAAATGACACTGTCTCAGAGATGGGAACTAGGAGCATGTTTACTCTGTATGACTGAGTGATATAGACAGAAATAATCAGATAAGTGGTCCTACAAATAGCCTAGTCCTGTGCCATGATCTGAAAACCAGTACAGCTCCCCAATCCAAAGACCATCACTGGTCATCAAAATGTACAACCACAGTGCAGCCTCAGCACTATACTCCAGTTTGAGACCAGACTGAAAGAACTTCAGATAATCCTTTTTGTACAGTGACCTTTCAAAACACAATGCAACCACCTTCTCAATAACCCTGTCTAAAAAGGTTAGAGATGGGGCAAAAACTATCCAGCTCCATTGGATCTAACAATGATTTCTTGATAAGAAACTAAACCAATACCTCTTTCAGAATTGGTGGAACCATCCTCTCTCTTAGGGATGCACTCACCACAAGGATCCAATCTCATTTCTCCTTCCAGGATCCTTTACCAACCAGAAAAAACATGGATCTAGAACACAGATATTACACTTATAGCCCTAAAAACCCTGTACCACTTCCTCAGAACTAACAAGCTTGGATAACAGGTAACAGAGTTACACCATTCCTCAGTCAAGTTCACAGGATCTGAGCAAGTTCATCTAACAGATGCCTACAATAATCTTCATTGCAGCCTTATAGGTGCTTCCCTACCCAGGAGTGACTAAAATAAAGCTGCTGGTTGGGAATCTGTGGACATAATAAAAGCAGACAAACACTCATATTTCATCACTTGTTTAACTGTGACTCTCAGGAGCTCCTTAATTCATTTGGAATGCAGCATTAAATGAAATTATAGGTATTACTTCTAATGTTCTATGCCCTATTCAGAGATTACCCACAGTAAAATGCACATACTGCTAACACAGGAGTGATCTTGCGCATAGTTTTGCATACTGGACTGGACAGCCAAATTTATGCACAAACTTTTTTGGCCATAAACAGCAACTATAATAATAGATAACCTGAGAAAAACATGAGACTTAGTATAAACAGCTTATTCCCGTCCTACCTTGTAATATCCCAATAATTTTGACATTCCTCATTTCAAAAGCATTTGCCATTTGGTATGAGGATTTTCTTGGAGGGGAAAAAAATTCTGAAGCCCCTTAAATTGCTGGGCTAAATTGCTCAGACATTTTCTGGAACCTCATCAGAATTGTCATACACAAAAATTACTGCCCAATTTCTTGTTGGAGAAACCTAACTTCCATCCAAGTTGGTAGCCTGAAAGGGCAGAGTAGGCTATATTTGGCCATTTTGGCAAAACAAGCCATCACATACAGTTCCTTTTAGCCTCATTTACTCACTGTTGACTAGATTCTGCCTCACTCTGCTGTGTGGCATTGAAGCTTTGCATGGCTTGTACTTCTTCCTCTTCTTCATCCTCACTGGAAGCCTCCTCAGCAGCATGAGTAGAACGAGGCGGAGGAGCAGTAGTTGTTCCATCAGCCTTCTGAATTGAGGGCTTTTGGCAAATATACTTGGGATCTCGGCCCAGATTACAAATCTCTTCCAGCAACTGCAAAAATGTGTATATAAACATGTTGGCACTCTTTCTACTAGAATAATAGTATTGTATTTCAAGTTAGATTTTTAAAAAAATAATCAAGTAACAGATAAATGCATACCCCGAGAAGCTCATTGGATCGACATAGTGCTGTATTGCAAGGGACATTTTCCTGGCTTCTTACCTTAATTATGGCTGTGGTAGCATCTGTCTTGAGTGTGGGCTGATGTCTCATAAGCTCATCAACAGCACTTCCAAGATTGGAAGCAGTATCTCCTAGAATAAACATGGGAGTCAGAATGGGGGATGAAAGATATATAAGCATTTTTAAAGAACTGAAGTCACTACATGAGGGCATTATTACACTTGGCATGAATCAGCCCAATCAAAAGGCAATAGTTTGAATAGCCAAAATGTATAACTCAATAGCTCTAAAGCAGGAGGCTTACCAACAGTCCAATATGACCACAGTATTCTAAAATGGATTACTGCAACATGCTCTTTTTGGAACTATCCTCGAAAACTATTCACAAATTTCAATTGTAGCAACCTGCATGCTACAGAAGTGAGGACCCAGGAAAGCAACATGTGTGGAAATTTAAAAATGTCTGTCTTGCCTTACTTTACTTTACTTTTATTAGACTTCTATACCGCCCTTCTCCCGGAGGACTCAGGGCGGTGTACAGCCATATTAAAACACATAAAATTTACAAAATTTAAAAACCATTAAAATCAAATATACAAAAATTTGGCCCACAAATTAAAAACTAACATACAACCATTAAAATTCATATTCATATTAGGCCAGCCCAGCTTGTTGAAACAAAAGGGTCTTCAGGGCGCAGCGAAAGGTGTGCAGATCGGGGATCATACGCACATCTAGGGGCAGCTCATTCCAGAGGGCTGGTGCCCCCACAGAGAAGGCTCTCCCCCTGGGCGTCGCCAGTCAACATTGTTTGGCCGACGGCACCCTGAGGAGCCCCTCTCTGTGGGAGCGTATTGGCCGGTGGGAGAAGGTGGTCTGTCTGAAGTATTAAAATTGCCGTCTTTGAAAAATAAAAATGGAAAACCTATTCCTTGCTTTTTTCTAGGTGAACAGCTAAACATTTAAAAATTCCTAGGTTTGAATAAGTAGACTAAGTTGTAATTTTTTTTTTATTCCCTTAATATTTTTAATGTTGGGTCTTTTTGTAATTCTATGGATTATTCACAGAAAAGCCAAATATAAGTATTTTAGCTAAATTTAATGGGGACTCATTAGCACAAGTGCAGCAATAATACATATTCACAACTATGGCATCATATATCTTCATGCCTAGTCTAACTTAATCATATTTTTTAAAAAAATCTAAAAACCCATTTCTTTCTCCAGGCCTTGGGTTAGACTGGGTGATTCTGTGTGTTAGGTTGGCTTTTAATGGTTGCTTTCTTTTTAGTATTAGAATGGTAATTTTTGTTTTTCGCTGCATCATAAATCTTATGGTATGAGCCCAGAATCATTGTACAGTTGGGCAGCCTTACAAATTATAAAAATAAATATAATTCCAGTTACCTTTGCGCATTAGAAATAGCATCTTCAGCCTTCTATGAAACTCCCTAAAGATGGCTGGTGCTTCAACACAAAACAGTCTGTATATAAGCTAAAAAGCTTAACAGCTAGATTCATGGCTGGGCTCATATAGTGTACTAGGCAATAATATTATTTCTTTGATTTTGGTTTAGTGAGTTGAGTGAATACGGCCACTTGAAATGGCAGGCTCAAGTCCCCAAGGCCCCAGACCTTTTTTTCCAATTTCCAAATCTTCCTTCAACTTCAATTACAATAGTTTTCTGCCATTCTGGTCCAGAAAACATGTGAAAAGTATACTTCCGTATAAAATTCTACATTAAAAGAAAACTCCAAGCCCGGGGGGGGGGGGGGGGGGGAAGAACCCACTAGATTTCACCAGAGAGACCCTACCAATTAAGGCCCTCTAGCCCTACATTAGGTGAACCACTGCTCAATTTAATCATTCCAGCCAACTGCCAGGGTAAGACAAATTGTGACTGTAATGAATTATAATTCCCAATTTATACCATTTCAAGCCACAGCATTATGGTCGTAGTTTAACGCATCTCCAGCACACTATAGGGCAAAAGTGGGATATACCCTCAAACTTCCTCTTTCTTTTATCTAGAATTAACCTGGAGATCACAACATCCAACATCAAGCTCTCTAGGCAGTGGAAAAACAAGCAAAATTCCTAGTATAATCACTCTTCAATTTAACTTACCAAGTGGATCTGAACTACGCCGCCTCCTCATTGCAGGGAGATAGTCTGGAGAGAGCAAGACCTTGAAGAGACGCTCAAAAGGTTGACACTGAACAAAGGATTGAAGTCCCCGGGCATTCAGGCACAGAGCACTGAAGACATTGGGGAGAGAACCCAGAACTTCCCTAGTGGCAGGGACCTGTCAGGAGAAACAGACACAAACAGGACCAAAAGGGTCATCATCTTACAGTCATGCTACACAAAGTACATTTTCAGTGAGCTCTATATTTGAGGTTATGATTAATATAAATACACAAGACTAATTCCATTTCTAATGCAGTCTATCTTTACAAAGTATCCTGAAAAGTGGCATGACAGAAGAAAAATGAAAGGGAAGTACTTCTGTTGTGGAGAAGGAAACACATTTATATGCAAACAGGAAACAGCAAGAATTTGAAAAGCAGCAGCTTTATGAGACCCCCTAAAGTTATATCTGGCTACCTAGCTGCCTACTTAAGTATGAATACAGATTCAAAGGTGGAAATTGGGAAGTAAAGGTAAGAACGAAGAGGTTGAATGCCAGACACCAAACCCATACATGTAGGGTTCAAAAAAAGTTTAAGAAAGTGTACTTTATTATATTCCGCCTATTATACAGGAATCTTCCCCAAACTGCCAGCCTCAACCTGGGAACAAACAGATAAGGTTCTATAGAACTTAATGGAGGTCAATTCTGCAATCTCTTGCAGCTGTGCAAGGACTATGCTTAGGTCTCTCTTCTGCCTGGCCGAATGTTTCTCAACACTGAGTGAGGTAAAATGGGAAATTATCCAGATTGTTTTTTCCCTCTCATCTTTCTTCTTCAGTTTGGGAACAAAGGAAATATGTTTTAAAAAATGATGTATTTGAAAATATGAGTTTATCCATATTATGTAAAACCAGAGTACCTTCTAAATACTAGTACAACAGCATCATCCAATTATATAAAATCCTATTATCCACATTCAGTGAGCTCTTTTGAAGTTCCAGAAATAAGTGTTATTCTAATATTTCTTAGAATTTCCCAACATTTCAAATATAAAAGAAAGCAACTGAAATGATTTTACAGAAAACCAGATATAATCCAAAAGACACTTACATCTTTAATAAGGAGAGCATGCAGCATGACGTCTGTTAGGCCATTGTCCTGTAGGGAGGACAGCAGCGAAGGCTCTTGGAATACAAAGACTGTTACCACCTCAGTGGCTGTCAAGAAAGAGCACAGAATGATGCAAGTCATTCACAGTTCAGATTTTCTAGGCAGAAAGGGAATCTTGGCAGCCAGGCTGTAAGGCTGTAAGGCATCGTCTTAATTTAGCACAGCCCAAGGAGAGAAATCAAGAGGAGTGTAGACTGATGAAACATGCAAGACACAAATTCTTTATTAAATATAATCATACCTACCGAGTAAAAAGAGTGAGGGTCCATAATATTCTGCATTGCTGATAATATGTTTCAGAGAGGTAGGCAAAGAGCCATCCATCACTGCAAGAAGAGGAAAATAACAGGCCAGCCATACAGTTTAGAAATCATATACAGCATACACACTCAGAATTGTATATACTTCATTCAAAATTCTACACCAGAAAAGTACAATTTTATCACCTAAAACGTCTTTGTGCAAAATATATGTTTTAGTCCACAATTAAAACTGAGAACCAATTATATATTTTGCTTATTAAAAAGTAAGCTTTCTTTCCAATTATATGGAATATCATTCAGCAAGTTCTTTAGATTCAAGAATTGATCACTTCTACAGTTTTCCATGATAAAAGCTTCAAAATTGATACTACAGAATAAAACTCAAGAATTCATGTTCTCAAAGTGGTGCCAAACTATAATCAATGGATGGAAACATTCCCCCCCACCACAGGAAATGGCTAAATTTTTGTTTTACTTATAAATTTATATAAATGAAGACAACTCTAAGTGGTATACAAAAGCTACAGACCCAGCCAATGCAATAATGATTTTAAAAAACACAATAATACACAATAAAATAGGTTTTTTAAAAAACATTCCTGGCACCACAAGCTCTAAAGCAGTCATCTCAAAAACCTTCCAGAACAGCCACGTTTTTAGAAACTTCCAATGGTCATAAGAATGGAGGCTTCCTTTGTCTGGCGGTACGGTTGGGCAAGTTGAAGGGAAGCATTCATAGAAAATGTGGGGCTGCACTTGAAGACCATCCAGACACTTTAGTTTTGCCACTGAGTGGCCCAAAGCAGTTTATTTCATTATGTTGTGAAACACTATTGCTGTGGGCATTGCATTGGCTACCGGTTAAGTTTCTGAGTGCAATTCAAGGTATTGATCATCACCTATAAAGCCCTATATGGCTAAGAATGGGTAACTTTGAGACAGTCTGTTCCCTATAGATTCTGCTCGCCCAGTCTGACAGCACAGAATTCTGAACATGTCCAACTCTAAAGAAGTAGATTAAGAGGGAGCAAAAGTATGAATGAACATGCCTGTTCTAGATAATGGGGCAATTGGTGCACCAATCTTAAACTGGAATGGAATAATGTCTTCATGGCCACAGCCTCCACCTGCTGTTCCAGATTTTATTAAGGTAAGCTAATAGTATTTATATGCAACAGTGAGAGAAGAGCATGTTGTCAAAAAACTCAAAGGAAAGACAGCCCTAACTATTAGGGAATCTCACCATGACGTATGCCATCTGAGAAAGCTGGGTCTTGGATGGCCTTTTTTAGGAAGTTCAACATAGACTTCAGAAGTGCTGCTCGTTGAGGGATGCACTGGACTCCTGAAATAACCACAAATGAAATCAGTGAATAGCAAAATAATCTGAAAACAAAGCAATTTTCTGTAAGAATCATTACACACCACTTCGGGGTGAAATTATGGTGTTTGTGTTGCTGCTGCTGCTGTTGCTGCTGCTGCTACTGCTGCTACTTGGAGTGGTGGCATTTGAAGCTCGTGTTTCAACCACAACTTCCTGCCGATTCTCTCCAGAGGTGGAAGGCCCAGGGCTACTTTCCATGGCTACATCAGAAACTGAAGATATAAAAAATTGACCAGTTTGAAAAAAATCTTATGATACAATCTGACATCAAGAAACTATGTACACATACACACACACACAAATTCTGGTCAACACCCATTAAAAGAACAATCTGAATTTAAAAAAGGAGTTTTGAGAAGGCAGGATACCTTGCTCTACCCCAACTGTTGGGGTATCAGTCCATCTAAGATACCTATATAAAACCTTTTCAGACTGAGGACTGCACATGACCTTTCAATACAGTAGCCAGTTCCAAAAAATGACAGCCAGGATAAAAACTAAACTGATTTTCCTTTAAAATAAATTAAATGTATAATTATTCACCAAGGATGTTATGATTTCTCACTTTTGCCTCATTTAAATAACAATTCCATATGGAAAACAGATGTGGAGTTTAACTTCTACCTTAAAATTCAGATGGATTTGTTTCATTTCAAAATGTATTCAGTTGAAACCATTAAGAGAAATATACTGAGTTACAATTAAAATAAATAAAACTGTTTCATGGATGCTGCCCAATAAATTTTCTTTGTTTAGCACAGTTTAGATATGTTAATAAAAGAAATAAGTATCATTAGGAGGTTTTTGCCTTCTACATCTGTCTCCATCTCTTCACCCTCCTGTGTAACAGTGGAAACAGCAGGTCTCTGGATCTTTGGTTTTATTACAAAAGGACATTCCCTCCGACATAGGTCTGCTTCATGCTAGAAAAGAAGTTACAAAAAGACAATAAAATGTGAAAGTTGACAAACTGCTATACTCCGAAACAGAAACATATGTAATTTTTTTATTGTAATGACAGACTTCAAGATCAACTGCATTACAAATAAGTATTATCTCACCACTCTAAAAAAAATGAAAAATACGCTTATTAAAAGGCCAAACCTCCAATAAAAAAATATCCTACCTCTAGTCGGTAGATGAAGATAGAGAGGCCACTGTGAGACTGGAAGGCTGCCATGTCTAGGTTTGTGATTAAATCCACAACACGGACTGCTCTGGTCACAAAAGTGATCTGGTCCTGTTCATCCCCCAAGAACTTGATCACCTAGGGAAAACAAGGTTTTGAAGACATACCTCTAAAACTAACTAACTGATTAATTTAAACATCAGTTTTTGATATAAATAAATGTTCAGTGCTCTAGAAGAAATACCATCTTCCCCAAGATAATTATGCACCAAAGAAGTTCCCAAGATAATCATGCACCAAACAAGTCAAAACAACAAGATGCCTATAATGTCAAAGGTAAAAGATAAAGAGTGAAGCTGACAAGACAAAGAAAAGCCGTTTTGAGCAGTGAAAAACCTTCACTTCTCCAGTCTTACTATATCAACAGACAGCTAATCAGCAGCCCTGTTTCAGTGACGAAACCCCTTACAGATAAAGTGGGGCCAGGGGAACACTTGCAGAACTACTATGAGAAATATTGGACTATTGGACAAAATCACTCAACTTTGCTCAGAGTTGGATTCTAGTTAGGGAATTCCTGAGCCTTGTCTGAGCTCTGTTATCTAGGAAGACCATGAACCAGTCAATACTGCAGGAATGATTTGCAACTCCTACTTAAGGAGTATGTGGCAGCCATGGTGGGGGCGGGGGGGGGGTGAGTAGGGGTTGCACAGATCCATCTTGTGTGCCAGGGTGAGGCTGGAGCCCAGTGATTTTGACTGTTTATGTACTGGGGACAGTTATTTAGAGCACTGGGAGTTGTTTTTGGATTGCTGATTTTATTGTCTTTTTTTATGTTTTTAATCACTGTTTGTGTGAGCCACCCAGAATTATGGCACATGAAACAGCAGCCATATACCGTATTTTCTGGCATATAAGACGACTGGGTGTATAAGACGACCCCCAACTTTTCCTGTTAAAATATAGGGCTATACTCGCTGTATAAGACTACCCCTCTTCCAACGCACACCAAATAAAAATTAAAAAACATCAACTGGCTCACCCACAATATAAAAGCAGCTGTGCTAGACCCAAAATGGCCCCTGCAACAAGCAGGAACCTCACACAGTCACAAAAAGCCCCCCAAAAAAACTTTCACACTTTACACACACACACACAACACAACACAACTGGCTCACCCACAATGTAAAAGCAGCTGTGTTAGACCCAAAATGGCCCCTGCAACAAGCAGGAACCTCACACAGCCACAAAAAGCCCCAAAACCCAACTTTCACACTTTACACACACAAAATTCCACATACAGCTTTGTGAGATTTTGTGTGTTTGTGTAGTTAGAGTGAAACACTACAGAAACACACTAAATCTCAGAAAGCTGCACAAATATTATTTTATTTTATTTTTATTTTTATATGAAAGCTAAATTTAAAGCTTCCTAAACTTTAAATGGCTAGGTCTAAAAAAGAACAACTAAAAAAACCCCAATTAACTATTTTTTTAAAGCTCCCAAAGCTTTAAACTTACCCAATAGAACAGAGGTCTCCAACCTTGGCAACTTTAAGACTTTGCTGGCTGAGGAATTCTGGGAGTTGAAGTTCACAACTCCCTGCCTGCTTGATTACAGGCAGGGAGTGGCTTGCTGATGGAATGGATTGCAGGCAAGCGAAGCAAGGCAAGCGTTGCAACTAGCAGCTAAGGTAAGCAAGCTGGAAGGGGAAAACTTTTTTCTTTTACATGGCTCTGGCGATCCCAGCTGAGTTGCCTGATTAGCAGGCAACTCAGCTGGAATGGTCAGAGCTTGGCTCGTCAGAGCCTTTCGGGCTGGTCTGCCTGGTTACAGGAGAACAACACCCAGCGTATAAGACGACCCCCGACTTTTGAGAAGATTTTCATGTGTTAAAAAGTTGTCTTATACACCGGAAAATACGGTAAGTCTCTTAAATAAAACAAATGATTATGATCTTCATTTTAACTGTATGTTTATTATTGCATTTCATCATACAAGCTTTGCTAATAGAAAGTTAAAGGTATATTATTTGGTTAGTTGATAATACTATATATTTAATTATTTAAAAAATAGCCAAAACTTAATTGTTGCAGATAAAGTCAGCAAATGATCTTAAGACTTGGGCTCTTTTTATGTGAGAGACTATCTGATATAAGCTAACTGCTCTATTGCAGAGGCCCAAGACTTTAAACAGCCCAAATTACATAACCTGGAAAAAAATGCCTCTAATTGCTGTTCAAGATTTACAAGTTTTGTAAGAAGTGAGAAAGGATATGTGTATACACACACAGAACACTGATACCCACACATCACATTCTTTTATATCAGCATATCAGAAAGAATGTGGTGTAGAATTTTCATTTATTTTCCTAACTCAACTTCACAAACAGAAAATTTTACCTTCAGTAAGGCTTCCATCATGCCACACGAGACAAGAGCTTCCCCTCCTGCATCATAGCTCGCCAAGTGATATAAGAATGAGAAGAGTGCTGTGGCAAACTGGTGGGGATACGGCTCCATAGAGGGATCTAAAGAAAGGGAGAGGGAATATCATTACATGTTCCAAAATTTAGCAAAATATGTTAATTGGTTCTAAAATGCAGTTACTAACCAATCATGGCCTGTATACAGTTCCGGACTAGTACTGGTAAAAATCCATGGTAGGAAGCTGTTCCAGTGCAGTCAATAATACTGCTGAGTTTTGGAGTCCGTTCCAAGTGCACAATGGAAGTTAATGTCCTCAGTGAGGCAGCTTTAATATCCTATCAAGGAAATAATGAGACATAAGACAGGTACATAGATTGTGATTACCGTATTTTATAACATGAATTTCAAATCTTCCCTACTGGGAGTGGGGGGCGCATGAGAGGGAGAGGGATAGATGGATCAGTATGTAGATAGCTAAAACTCTTTTAACATGCAGGAAAGAATAATCATAGTCCAGTATCCATTTTATCAAACTTCAAAACATGATTTAAAAATGCCTCCAAAGAGTGAATCATTTGGTTAGACTGGAAAAGCAGAATACAATTTTCTTATTTAAAAAAAAAAGGCAGTCAACTGTTAATTTCCAAAACTACTAAGTTGAATTGCAATTGCTGTGAAGGACTATTAAGCAATAAATATTCTTGCTACTGGATTTTGGATTAGTTCGCACGGTACAGAAGATTTTAAAAATGAATCCTTAATTGTCTTTTTTATTTGCCTTGCCCTTTTCATTTGCTTTAAATCATCTGTGTATTTGGTTTCTGATGATAATTATATAAAGCAGGAAACATCTAAACATCTAAGAAAGTCAATAATCGCTCAGTCCAGTCCAATCCCAATTGAGCAGCAATTTTTCTTTGCCAAAATTCAGCTGAATAGACTTACCATTAATTGTTTATCTGTAATTTGCAGCACATCCACTAACTCTTCTATCAACCCATTGTATAGTATGCTATTGGCGGATTCCTGCAAAGCATTTGAGTATACTGTGGAAAGAGAAGTAGGCCGTTAAGAATTTTCTGTAGTTAAAGGATGGAGAGAAAAAGCAAATCCAATTATTACTTCAACTGAGTGAGTACTTTTTACTTATAGTAACAGAAACTTCTATTCTTGGTGCTATATATCAGCTGTTTCCTATCAGATAATGCAAGGAAAAAAAGATGAAACAGTGTGATGTTTTTTATATTTTTGTCACAGAGATTTAGCCATGAAGGAATGCAGCAAATATATGAAGTAGATCTTAACAACCAACATTTAAAAACTCCATTAAAATGGGTGTCCTAGTATAACGAAAACAAAGAGCAAGAATTATACACCTTGAAACATGGAAGCTTTGTATTTCTTTATTCTTCAAATTTTCTCTTCTATGTTCTCCTAACAACTCCACAATAGGCCACTGGCAATGTTAGGCACCATGTGATGTTTGATTGGCAGGAATTATTTTTTGCAAGTTCAGGTGAGTTAGCAAACCCTCTAAATAACTGTTTGGAACTAACAATAAACTATAGAGAATTGTAGAAAGCTGAGCCCAGTTGCAGTAAAACATATTGTATTATTCTACTAATCTTGGGCTGGGATAACATCTTATCATGCTTTCTTGAGAAACAGATTAGTAGCCTTTAGTTCTTAAATTACTACTCCTCTTAGATATACCAGTAAGAATATAAAACTGTGAGATTACCGCAATGCTTATAAGCGTGAGTACTGTTGTAAGTCACTTTTTTCAGTGCTAATATAACTTTGAATGGTCACTAAACAAACAATTGTAAGTCACAGACTACCTATATCAAGTGAGAATACTATACAATACTCCATGAGACTATCTTAAACTACTAAAATATTTACAATGAGCTAGAAAGTCTACAAACACCATCAAAATGCTAATTTTTGAGTTATAAAAAAAAATCAGACCAAGATAAACCACTTCAAATTCCCCCCCCCCTTTTTTTTCCCCAATTACAATTATGGCTCAATAGTAGCTCAGACTGGCCACATAGATGATCTCAATACCAAGAAAAGTGAAAACTGCCTGTTAATTAAACATTTCTGACAATATCTTGAAACCAATCTTCACTTTGGAATACTTCCTCTCATAGAGTTTGAATTACAGGTAGTCCTCGATTTATGACTACAATTGAACTCAAAATTTATGTTGCCGAGTTTTGCCCCATTTTGCGACTTTTCCTACCATAGCTGTTAAGTGAATCACTGCAGTTGTTTAGTAACATAGTTGTTAAGTGAATCTAGCTTCTACTTTGACTTTGTCATAAAGTCGCAAAAGGGGATCATATGACCCTGCAATACTGCAACCGTCATAACTATGAGGCAGTTGCTAAAAGCATCCAAATTTTGATCCCATGATCATGGGGATGCTGCAACAGTCATAAGTGTGAAACATGATTAGTGCTATTGTAACTTTGAACAGTCACTAAACAAACTGCTGTAAGTCGAGGACTACCTGTACTTGGGAACTTCTCCCATTCAAGTCCTCAGATCTGTCTGTGCATTTGGGTCAAAGAATGTCTGTTTCAAATTTTGCCAGCCATGTTGAGGTATTTCTTTGGGTGGTGGTGGTTGTTTTTCAATTGCTATATCAAGGTAAGTTTCTAAAAAGCAGCCTAGAATCTGAATTACCATGGTGAAAATTTAGGTGCCTCTTATACACCTAATGTAGCCCCGCCCACCCACTGGCCCCCACCCTTTGGCCTGTGCCTCGCAGCAATTACCTCCTTGCAAGCAAACAGCAAGAAAAAACAGCTCCTTTCAGCTTCAGCACAGGCTAATTAGCACAAGTTGATTAGATGGACCTCCCGACTCTCAGACTCTCAGCTGATTTGCGCAGGGCTCTAATTCTTGCTGCAAAGAGGTAAATTGGTGGAGCAATTTTTTTTTTTCCTTGTGTTAATCAAGCTATGCTGAAAACGAAACTGAAAATAAAGCAGGCTCTTTGCTGCAAGGAGGTAAAATTAAGCAGAGGTAGATTTCCTTTTCTTCTTTTTTCTCACCAAAAAAGGTAGGTGCAAACAATGGGAAATTTAGGGCAAAAGAGGAGAGTTCAAGATTTTAAAACACAAAAGAAAAAAAGGAGAAAGAAAAAGGCAAAAATAAAAATGTGAAGAGAGAAAAAGAAATGAAAGAGAAAGATGTTATACATATTTAGAATTGAAATATGAACTGTAGTAAGAAATAAATGGGAAATCATGATTGTAAAAATGAAATGAATAACTGGAATATTTGCCTTTGTATTTTTAAAATTTAGACAATGATAAGTTTTTATTTTTTTATTTTTTTTTAGAAATATGAATAAGTATAAACTGTAACAATTGAAATACCTTTAATGGTATATGGTGGTGAAAGTAAAAAGGATTAAGTTGTAGCTTGGATAACAGCTAGAACATTTTTAAATTTAATTAGGGAAATTGTAACGATTGAAATATTTTTAATTATATATTGTGATGAAAGTAGAAATGATTAAGTTGTGATTTGGAGGATTATATGGGCAAAACTATTTGGGTTACTGGGAGAGTTTAAGATGTGAAAATGAGTAACATAAGGGGAAAGCTCTATTAGGGAATTGTAATAATTGAGATACTATTAATTGTATATTGTGTTGAAATCAGAAATGGTTAAGTTGAGCTTTGGAGGAATATATGAGAAAAATTATTTGCTTTATTATTATTGGTAAATATAATTAATTGATTTGTAAGAAATTGGATTGCATGGAAATAATTGGAATATTCATGTTCATATTGATTAATAAAAAAGATAGTTATATAACTAATTGATTTATATTAAAATGTTGAATTTGTATTAAACAATTGTAATATTACATAATTAACCAATGTGAGGATGGATATAAAAATAGATGACAATGGAAAGGGGTATAATATAGAATAGAAGGGAAAAATTGAATTTGATTAAGATTAGAGATGAGGATGAAGGGTAATATTGGTTTATTTAAAAAAATAGATGTGGAATAAATAAGGCAAAAAGGAAATACAGAAATTGTAAATTTAATTGAAATGACTATTTAATTGAAATTGAAACACTGTTTAAATTTGTGAACCGGCCAAATACTCTGTTCAAAGAAAATACATTATTGTATGTTTGTATGTGTGTTTGTCTAAAAAATAAAAAAAAAACTTTTTATAAAAAACAAAAAAACAAAAACAAAAAAGGTAGGTGCGTCTTATACTCCGAAAAACACGGTAAGTTTCTCAAGTTGAACCATTCCATAAAAGCAGAAAAGGACTATTTTAAATTTACCTACAGTTCCCTTTGCATAAACTCGCATCTTCACTCCTGGCATTACTCAGAGTAAAAAAAAAAAAACCACCTGCTAATATCCTCACCTAATATAGAAATGGCATGCAGTCTGGCTTGGACAGCTTGCAACCGCTTTTTATGATTGGAAAAGCCGTGGGCCAAGCGAATGTGTGTAAACAGCAGCATCTATAAGAAAATTAAGTTGCAATTATTTTATAAGCACCACACATAATCAGATACATCACATACCATCAAGAACTACATCTGACCTACATATGTGAATAAAGTACGAAACAAAATGACATAAAGTAAAATTTCAATTTAGCAAACCTCCATTAAACCTCCACTGCTTTCATACAGATATCTGCCCTCTCCCCAAACAATGGCAAATGTACATTTTATCCAAATTGTGTTCAGATTTGGATAAAACTCACATTATTTTCAATAATTTATATGCTGGTGCCTCTTACATTATTCCTGCCAATTTACAATATCTGTGTGCTGTGATAAACAGCAAAAATAAATGCAAATAACAAACTCAGTCCAATAGGGACTCCCTCCTCTGAATACTCAAGGTTTTACTTTACAATTGCATTGAGATGGAATGATTTCTCTCTTACTGTTTCCCAATATTCTCCAATAACCAATATTGCAGGTACTGAACAAACAAACCCTATTTAACTGTGATCTCACTGTTCTTTGTAGAATATTTTGACATATAAGAAATCCAAAATATCATTGTCATCCTCAAGACTGAGGATATATAATTACTTCAATGATCTCGTATAGTTTCACATATATATTTGGTCCCGAAGACCTCAATTTGATCTCAGGCAGAATAGTTTACTTGTTCTCTCCAATGTTGAAAACAGAGGCCAGGATGGGCAATGAGCAATGGAAAATTAATGTAAGATTTGCAATTCATAAAGTGCCCCTTCACACGAAGATAATTCCAGTTACAAGGAGACTCAGAATTCTCCAGTTCTCAAGATTCCCTGGTACGTTTAGCTTCTTATTGTCATTCTCATTCTGCAATAAATTCAGATTATCACCTTGGTAAATTATTCAGTGTACCTGTTTATCCTTTGGGATACTGTACATTTTGGTGAGGGATTCCATAATTTCAGAGGGACTTTCTGAAATCTGAATTGAAAAAGCAGCAGCAACTTAGAAGCCATCAATACAAAAATGAAACAGTTTAAAAACCTACTTTAATACAGAAAGCTAATTTACCTTATCAAGTTGTTCTATGTGGATATAATGTAGTGTGTTGCTGGTAGTCTGAAAACAAAAGGATGTTGGAAGTCAATTTGTTGGAAGACATGGCAGATTAGCAACTATGGTCTTGAACTTTTTAAGAAATCACCACGAGAGGCGAGGTTTTGGTTAACAAGCAGACCTGGCATTTGTGTGGTATTCAGACATATTTCAATATGGATTACTATGCTGGCCAGCCCTTTTTGAAAAAGATGTTAACCCATAAATCCATATCTAGGGGGGAAATTTTCAGGAAAGAGTAATAACGGATAAGTTTCTTTACAGGTATGCAAAGGGACTGCCTGGGAAATGAAAGATCCATATTTCTGCACTGAAGTACTCCAGTAATTTGGGATAATATCAAAAACGATCAGCTGTTCAGTTTTTATCCATACTTTCACAACTGGCGATACTATGGAAATATACTCACAGGGCCATTTAAAAAATGAAAACAGCACAGGAAAGCAAACTCTTCCCGAATAAGAGGACAAATAAGCAATGTTTCAACACCGCTGAATCCCTATTATTGTTATCCTCAAGACTAAAAAAATCAACATACCTTCTCATACCTAAACTAACTTCCTCCATCTTAGTGTTCACTCAGTGGCAAGAAAGTTCCCCATTTCTCTTATAGATTGATTATATCCCTTTTTAATGTGAGTGGATTTGTTTGCCGAATCTTGCTCCCACCCATTTCCCAGAAAACCTTTCAAGAACAAGTCTGTAGGAGACTCACCCTTTTGTCCACTTTGACTTCGGCCCCTGGCTCTGCATAGAATTCAAAGTGTAGTGTAGTTGCACTGGGAGGGTATTTCTGTGTACAGATCACAGTATGGAATCAGAATACACCAGATGGCAAACACCCTTTCCAAAAATCATATCCATTTCTCTCTGGACTGGGGGAAGGCAAGCAAAATCTGCTGGTTCAAAGGACAATGCACCCTGAAACTGAACTGATGGACTTGCCAACAGGTTATCACCACCCACTAATTCTCCTTATATTTATGTGCAAGTGGGAGGAGGAAGAGGATTAAGATGTAAGAAGTTAAGATTAGGTATGAAGACATGGTGATGCAGAGGGACCCCTGCCAATATCTCAAACATCATATATAAAGATGTACCAAAAATAATGACTTTCAGCAGTCCCCAACAATATGAAGAACAATATGCCCAAGACTATAGAGCCCTGAATCTCCTAAACCCTAAAATAATTTTTGAACCCAGTTTTAAAAAAGGAGTTCAAAAAATGCCATCTAATGTCATGGTAATAAGCCCCTCAGGAAAAAAAAACCAGTTCCTTGGAGCATCCACTTCTATTAATCTCAGTGATTACTGCAGCAGCAAACTAGAATGCTCTTTAAAAATGAATTGCTTCCTATTTTGAGACTTAAAATAATCATCTGTTTTGATACCACAGTAGCTGTACCATTTTTGCTGATCCTGGAAGAAGATATAACTTCTCTACGGAACAACACACTAAACATACTATTGCAGATGACTGATTTTCATCCACAAATATACCCACTGATTTTGTCTAAAACAACATGCTTCACCTCAAAGAACAGCCATTTCAAAACATAACACTATTCTCCTCATTAGAAAAGCAACTCCAGCAATTTCCAAATTCCTAAGATTGCAAAGGTGGGATTTCTACCGATTCAAGGAATTAAAAGAGCTACAGGGAACAGGAAGAACACCCAAAAATTTCTATTCAAGAATATTCAAAATGTCCAAACTTCCTATATTGTGCACTGCACACCCTCAAAAAAAGACTATCACATATACCAACAAACAAACTTTCAGTATGTGAACATTGGGGTCAAAGTCCCTTATTATTATACATTACTTTAAGGGGAAACCCTTATAAATCCCATTGTGTCACTTTTATTTCGTATGTATGTATGTATGTATGTATGTATGTATGTATGTATGTATGTATGTTCTGATGGACTCTGTCCATTAGAAAGACCAGCTCTGTTTTCCACAATAGCAAATACTCATGTACATAAAACAGCAACTATGAATCAAGCCACCAAATGTAGTGGCAGAATAGTAAGGGGAAGATCAAAATGCAAGACTTACCAGCATGTGCAAATCTCTACAACATTCTGCAAGGCCAAAGCCATTCTCCTTGCCACCCCAACTCTATGAGACAAAAGGATGGAATCATTAAAAATGAGTTAATTCAAAATTCTAAAAAAAAACTCAAATGCATATACTAATATATTAAACGGTTAAGTAAAAGTATTTTGGTGTGCTCGTTTACTGCTACATATAAAAAGAAAGTCATGATTGTTCGTTTTCATTTAAACCTCACGTTTCCTTTATATTGTCTTATTGTCAAAACTAAATGACAAGTTCTGGATAATGCTCAGAAAGCCTACACTAATGAATCTTGGCTCCCAAACCAACACACTACCAGAATTTGGAACGACACCTTTCCACATGGTCAAACACAAAAGACTATTGATTACTACTGAATGCAGAATTGTCAGAGAATATAGAGAGACTATGCAAAAAAAATTTCACATGCAACAGAATTTCAGGGAAGCCATTTTAGACAAACCACATTTCTACTCAGTAATATTTAACATTCTCTATAAAGAAACAGGAACATAAAAGCTCTGTATACAAACTACAATCAAAGGTATCTGTGTTCATTTGCCCTCAGAGGCACTAGAAGTCTGGTGAATCACTGGTTCATTCATCATAGTAAGTTATGATGTGATTTTGCTTTTTGTTTAGTGTTTCATATGACCTCACTTATTATGGGCAGTTCAGCATCCTCTATGATTTAAAAAAAATTTTTTTTCAGTGTGTGAACCCAAATGCAAAATTAAAAAATACAATTGATTGGGTTTACACATTTATGCTTGCAGAAAAAGCATCAATTGGCAAAATTCATAAAAGCAAGACAAATCATGTTACTGTTTTCAGAGATGCATGAACTCAGTCAATCAAGCCAAGGCCTCTGCCTTTAGAAAGGCAATTTATGTACTTTCATTTCCCCATTGGAACACACATGCAAGTCACTGATATTGTAGCCATGGTTAATTAAGTACCAAGAAAAATAAATTATATGGCATTCAAATCATCTTGATGCACATAATTATATGGGGGGGGGGGAATGACAGTATACAGCTTTGGAATACTTTCCAATTATGAACCATTTATTTGTTCCATATTCTGCTCTAACAGTTGTTTCCTGATCATCATACATAAATGAGGTGACCTGATATAATAAGTTCTTAGTTAAGTCTTTAAAAGCTATCCATAATTTGTTGGGATCAAAAGTAAAAATCCCATGCAATATCCCATTCATGTAATAAAAATGATAATCTTTTTTGGAATTTCCTTGCTGCTTCATTATCCATTAAAGTTTAGCAATGTGATTTTGGGGTATTTTTGCCTTTTCTGAATCCACTTTGTGCATTTGATAATACTTGTTCCACGTACTGACCATTACCTTAACTCGCATGTGAAACAAGTGTAATTGTTCAGTAATCTGAACATTTCTTAGAGCTGCCCATTCTGCTACTGGAATATAAATCGATAGTTCCTAGTCCTTCTGTCACTACTATGTTTTCCCTATTTCCTCATAATTGTAATTAATTGTATCGAAGATATTTTTTCAAAGGCAACCAGACTTTGTTTTTCCTTGAAGACATTTTGCTTCTCATCCAAGAAGCTTCTTCAGTTCTGATGACTGAGAATGTCCAGAGACATTCAACTGTATCACTTTGAAAGATTTTACACAATAGATTTTTCATCTATTTGTTAGCAATATTTTCTAGAACTGATTTAACTTGTTTCCAAAATGTCAGGCATTTTTATTCAGTGATCAAAATTCAGTATGTATCACCGACCTTGGTATCCCCCACCCACCCACACACCCCTCTGTGGATCTTTACCTTGTCTTTCACCATGATCATTTCTATACAAAAATATCATTTCCTGCAAGTTTTCTTCAACAAATATAAAAATAAATATCCTTCACATTTGACTGTTATCTTCACTTTCTTTACATTGCTAATATAGATATAAATTCCTGCCACTTTTTGCTCTCAGGAATTCAGTATTTAGTTCAGCTGATTTTCCTCTTGCTTTTTGCTTTCTCTCTTTCTTCAACTATTTTTAATGTATCAGCTAAACATTATTTCACGTTCTTTTTCACTTTTTGAGATTTGGAATTCTTTTATTGACTTGGATTTTTAATGATGTTAATAAGTCCTGATTCTATCAAATCTGATCCATTACACCTATTCTTTACCATATAATCATAACGGATATGGCTCAAGTTATACCCTGTCAATGTCCTGATTTTAGTCACTTCCTTTAAATTGTAATTTTGTAAGGTGCAATTGGTGCCAGGACTTTGTTTTGCTGATCAAAGAAACCTGCTGTATCATTGCTTGCAGAGCATGTTGTTAATTTATTTTGGTGTTATCTATCCTGTGTAGAGTTAAGTTGTTGGTGGAAGATAACTGCTAAATACATTAGAATGTTCTTGGCAGAACTGCTTCCTGCTTCATTCTGATCATAGAAACCAATTTTATTAACATTCAACTCCTCTGATTCTGTGGTTGGAATACAGACTTGGATAACTGTAATACTGACCAGCTTGCATAGGATTTAACTTGAGATCATGCAGTCATTTTGGCAGTTGCATTCAAACATTGATTCTGACACACTTTTGTTAGAAATGATGGCTACTCTATTTCTGGTAAGATTTTCTTATCTGCAGATCTGATACTCTCTTGACATAAAGTGCCCCCATCTAGTCCATTTCAGTTCACAGAATATCAATGTTCAAATCCTGACACTTTGTCTCTGACATTAAGTGGCCTTGGTTTGTGACCTTGATATTCTGCATATTAATGGTGTGCCTATCTTTCCACATCAAAATGTTCTTTTGCCCCTGCACATAACAAGAGCTAAACATCTTTTCAGCTTTATTGTTGCCACATCACAAACACCAATGCTATACATATCTGCCCTCTGATCTTCCCCAGAAGCTCACTAGATACTTGGGGGTGAAACTTAAGATGAAGATGAAGCGGCAGATTCCTTGTTGAGTTCTTTATGAACTTTTGTGTAGGCAAATAGCCTAGCTACACATTTTCATTTATTCAATAAACACATTATCTGCAAGAAAAGTTCTAAATCTAAATTCAGGAGATCTTCTGACCAGGGGAATCATTTCCCGATATTATGCTGACAAAGTCCTGAATGTCTTACTGAATGTCTTACTTTTCTTGGCAGAATATTGGATTGGGTTGCCATTCCCTATTCTAGCAGATTGGATTTACTCTGGTCTATGATCTGTCTGTCATGGGTTAATTCTTTATTGCCTCCTTTGCCCAAATGTGAAAGAATTCACATTTCAGTTATAGCACAAAAAGGAAAAATGTGTCAGATGACACAAATGATATAAATCCCTACAATATCCTTCCTTCTGATTCAAAAGATTTTCCTCAATAACTGACACTTCCAACCCTTAAAATAGTAACGTTATTGGTATTTCATATACTGAGCCATAATTAAAATTTCAAAAGTTAACATTAGGTACTAGACCATGCTTTTTCTTTTTTTGTAGCCTCTTACCTCTGCCAAATGCTGCAGCCGAGACAGAAGAGGCATCCTCTTGTCAGAGCCCAGACGTGTGATGTAATTGGAGCGTTTGCTAAACACATATAGTAAGTTTAGCACAGCAAGAACCACTTGCATGTCAGAGGATGCCAACAGCGTTGTTAGGTGCTAGATGAAGCCAGGACAAAATAATCAATATATAGAGAAATTATGATCAATAACAGAAGCTTTATTTTTCCCATTTAAGTGTGACATTGTCTCCTGTCCTTCGTTTGTGATATGATTGCAGTATTGTCATTAAGAGAAATTCCTAATTAAAATTGTTTTCATTATGAAGAGAACATGTGGCTTTAAGTTACTATTCCCATTTAGTTACAACTGGCTGAATACTGGCCGTATACAGACTTTCTGAATGAAAAATTAGCAGAGCACTACATGAAACACATTGGCTACGGTAAAGAATTACCAAACTATTTAATTTCTAAACTCTTCAATCAGCTTCTTTTCCTCAAGAAAACAGTATCAAGAATTCTGTTCCAAACAAAAGTGCCTTATTAAAGCCACAACCTGTTAAAGACTTCACATTTGAATTTTATCTCTATCCTATTTATTCAAATCTATTCTGTTTCAATAGCAGCATGTCACCTCAATAGAGCTGTACAGATGACGAGAAAAGCTGTATTCTATGAGCAGAGCAGTGAAGTTCAGCACTGACAGCAGCAGGGCCTTCAGCTGTTCTCTCTCTGGCCGATCACACACTAGCATCCATGACATGTTCTCCACAGTCTGTCCAGCATCAGCCAGGATGCCATCAAATCTGTCGAGAAGGTCCACCCAGTGGTAAAGTTCACACTGAAAGAAGACAAAAGCATTCAGAAGACAGACTATACACATTGTATAGAATACAGGCACTTACCACAGGTCTCTGGGTAAAAATTGTTGGTTATCCCACCCACAGTACAGGTAGACCTCACCTTAACATCGACTCCTTGAGATACCAAAGTTATGATGGTGTTGAATGAGGGGAATTTACACATCCTTGTAACTGTGGCTTTCATAGCATGCCTGCATAATGTGATTGCCATCTGTGACCTTTGCTGCTAGCTTCCAACAAGCAAAGTCAATGGGGAAACTGGGAGCACATTGGAAATGACAATCCTGTGACAGTAGGTTGCTGCAAAGGATTTGCTTAACAATGGTAACTGGACTGCTGGAACTGTTGTCATATGACACATGACGTCACACCTTATGACCATGTAGCCTAGCAATTGATTTCCCAGTTCCAATTATCATTGGCAAGCAAGGACTACCAGTAACCCACAGCATCCTCCATTCACTTCAGCCAAATACACTAGATATGGGAACCAAAAAATTATGATCCCAACTGGGATCGCATTGCTAAACAATGCAATTGTTAAGTGAGTTGCATCTGGTTTTACAACATTTTTATTGTAGATGATACGCAAATCTTGCTATACCCATTACTTTTGCTTATTAGAAGCCCCTGAGAAGACTGCAAAGGGAAATCATGTTACCCCGGGACACTGTAGGTGTCATAAATATATCTCAGTTGCCAAGCACTGAGACTCTGATCACATGACCCTGGGGACACTGTGATGGTCAAAAGTGTAAGTCACTTTTTTCAGTACCTTTGTAACTTCAAATGATTGCTGAACGAATAGTCATAAATCAAGGACTACTTGTATGAATTTCTTATGAATAGAATAGCAAAAACCCCATAGAGAATTAGGTGGTAACATTTATTTCTTGGCTCACAGATGAAACAACCTACCATATTTTTCAGAGTGTAAGACGCACCTTTTTCCCCCCTAAAAGAGGGTGAAAATTTAGGTGTGTCTTATACACTGAATGTAGCCCCGCCCACCCACTGGCCCCCACCCTTTGGCCTCTGCCTCGCAGCAATTACCTCCTTGCAAGCAAACAGCAAGAAAAAAACAGCTCCTTTCAGCTTCAGCACAGGCTAATTAACACAAGTTGATTGGATGCCTCCCGACTCTCAGCTGATTTGCTCTCAGCTGTTTTGTGCAGGGCTCTGCTGCTTGCTGCAAAGAGGTAAATTGCTGGAGCAGATCCCCCCCCTTGTGCTAATCAAGCTATGCTGAAAACGAAACTGATAGTAAATCTTGCTGTTTGCTGCAATGAGGCAAAATTGCTCAGAGGCAGAGGGAGATTTCTTTTTCTTCTTATACTCCGGTGTGTCTTATACTCCGAAAAACAGGGTAATTCCTGTCACAAACTACTTATGATATATATGAACACATGTAAATAAGATTTTTTTAAATCTTCAAAATAATAACATTATAATATTCCCATACATAATATATATATTTGCCATCACCACATACCTTCCCAATATTCCATGTTTTGATCTGTTGGAGTTCCAGCAACAGCTGTTCATCATTGCAAATCTTGAGTTTGTCTATCAAGGCTCTGCAGTCTGCAGGCTAAAGACAGGATAAGATTCATTGTATAATATTGCTCCTTCATTGTTTGAGCGTCCTTTTTCCCTTCACCTTTTGGGCATGCAATGAACAGTTTCACATAAGCCACTGAGCCTGGATACTGCTGTGAGCTGTCAGCGTATATTTATATGTCCAAGTTGAATTTGTTATTATTTAGTTTTTATTATCAGTATTTTAGGATTATTTTTTAATGTTGTCAGCCATCCAACATTAGAGCTGCTTGGCAAGTGGATGGCCATATAAAAACATGATGTAAATTAGTGACCTTGTGATTATCATTTGGTATAGATGAGGAGGGGGCAAGGGGAACCAAAACCGGGAAATGAGAAAGAATTCCAGGCTTGTTTCATACTGTTTTGCTGACTGATAGGAAGATGTACAGGAGAAGAACTGATCTTATGCAGTACTAATACTTGGCCCCCTTAAATGGAAAGGAATATTGCAAATTAGTAGTCCACCAAGGAGGATGCATGCATTTAGGTCATAGAGGAAGGGGAAAAAAGTTGGCATCTGAGCAGTATCTTTCTCTAGGAAAAGCTTGAGAAAGTTATTAAGCATTGCAGATTATGTGAATGTTGCCTTAACACTGAAAACTTGAGAACATGTTTACGGATGGGGGAAACAAACCAAATCATACATTTTAACTCTTGCTCCTATCCTTAACCTGGATTATTCTCTATGATATCCAAGAAGTCAAACATGCAGCATTTACTGGTCCCCCCCAAATGACTCCAGAAAAAATATTCGTAAGGGTTCCCAAAACACACTAAATATCAGTTCTTATAATGAATGGTTCAGTGTTACTGCTAATTGGGCCCGTGTGACATTTCAGAGGAATCTTTGCTTCAAAGAACCTTCAGAAGAAACATTTCCTCAAACCTGTTTTGCAAACTAAGATTTCCTTACTCCTCTCAACATTTTCACCATTATAATTACAATGCATTATGGGAGAATCCTACAACACATGTGGAAGATGGCTAGCCCAAATCCCCTTGGCAAGTACCAGGGGTTCTCTCAGTTGAAAACTCATGTGTGATATTCCAGGGACCATTGCAGGAGGTTGTGAATCCAAGGCTCTCTGGGTCACTTGAAGAGGTTCCAAGGCTGGACAGCTACACTGGAAGGTATAGCTTTTTTCTATCACAGTTAGGTCTTCCAAGCTAGGTGACTTCAACAAACGCTGTAGGGAATCCTACTACCAACCAGCCTGGAAGCACTTCAATCAAGAGGGGAAACCTTTTCCTATAACTTTGGACCAAAGAGATTCATGGCTCTTGAAATTACTTCATCAAGATAGATGCAGCATACGTCAAAAGTCAAGCAGGCTTATCTTAAAATCAATTTATTTTTAACACACAGAAACAAGTGGAAAAAAACCTGTTTTCTAAGGAATTTGTAATAAATAAGTGATTAGCTGTAAGCTGCATACAGTGATGAGATGGGCAGCAAACAAATTTAATAAATGAAGAAGTATATAACCCAAAGTCATACCAAATTACTAGTCAAACTTTTCCCTTTAATCTCATTCTAGTATGCCATATACATATTACAAGCTGTGCAATTTCTATGAGGAACTCAAAATGATAAAAGATGGTACTTACAGCCTCGGTGGGCGTTTTCTTCAGCTTAGTTCGGTCTACTTTCATTTTTATTAGTTTTCCACTTTCCGATCCTGCTTGGTGAACCAAAGAGAATTGACTATCAGTGACAATATTTCAAATGGTTTAAAAGCAGTAGGCATATAACAGAACAAAAATGATTTTTAAAAAAATCTACAGAATTAGATCGATGTTTTCTAAACTGACAATACCCAGAAATGTGTATTTCAATGCCACCGTATGTTGTGCATTCTGGGAGCCAAAGTTGCCAAGAATGGGAAACGTTGGTACATAGAGGCATTCATGCATGAGTTCAAGGGATAAAACAAACTGTCAAGGATTCACATTTATTGTAATTTCTGTGTCTAGATTTCAAGATTTTTTAAAAACTGTAAATCTCAAATGCTACAAACTAAAAGGGCAGCCTTCAATGCAGGGGTGAAATGCTCCCGGTTTGGACCGGCTCGGGCGAGTAGGTAGCGATGGCGGCGGACAGTTTGGAGAACCGGTAGCAAAAATCCCTGCCCCCGCCCCCCATGCCCAGCTGAGCCGCGCGATCATCAGAGCCTTTTTTTTCTTTTAAATGGCTCTCACGAGCCAAGCTGAGTTGCCTGCTAATCAGGCAACTCAGCTTGGATCGCCAGAGCCATGTAAAAGAAAAAAACTTTTTTCCTTTTAAATGGCTCTGACAATTGCTTACCTTAGCTGCTGGTCGCAATGCCTTGCTGTAATCCCTGCAATCCATTGCATCAGCAAGCAACTGAATCTCCCTGCCTGCAATCAAGCAGGCAGGGAGTTGTGGACTTCAACTCCCAGAATTCCTCAGCCAGCAAAGCAAAGCTGGCTGAGGAATTCTGGGAGTTGAAGTCTACAAGTCTTAAAGTTGCCAAGGTTGGAGACCCCTGTTCTATTGGGTAAGTTTTTTCCCCCTTTGGGAGCTTTAAAAAAATAGTTAATTGGGGTTTTTTTTAGTTGTTCTTTTTTTAGACCTAGCCATTTAAAGTTTAGGAAGCTTTAAATTTAGCTGCTTTTATATAAAAATAAAAATAAAATAAAATAAAATAATATTGAAGACCCTGTTGTTCCGCCAGGCCGGGCTATCAACATAATAATTTTAAATTGGGGTATTTTAAATTTTCGGGGTTTTAAACCGGGCCAAATCTATTTAATTATTTTAATTTTTAATCATTGTTTTGTCTTGTGTTTTTAAATTGGCTGTACACCGTCCTGAGTCCTTCGGGAGAAGGGTGGTATAGAAATAAAATTATTATTATTATTATTATTATTATTATTATTATTATTATTATTATTATTATTTGTGCAGCTTTCTGAGATTTAGTGTGTTTCTGTAGTGTTTCACTCTAACTATAGAAACACACAAAATCTCACAAAGCTGTATGTGGAATTTTGTGTGTGTAAAGTGTGAAAGTTGTTTTTTTGGGCTTTTTGTGGCTGTGTGAGGTTCCTGCTTGTTGCAGGGCCCATTTTGGGTCTAACACAGCTGCTTTTACATTGTGGGTGAGCCAGTTGTGTTGTGTTGTGTTGTGTGTGTGTAAAGTGTGAAAGTTGTTTTTTTGGGCTTTTTGTGGCTGTGTGAGGTTCCTGCTTTTTGCAGGGCCCATTTTGGGTCTAGCACAGCTGCTTTTATATTGTGGGTGTGTTGTGTTGTGTTTTGTTTTGTAGGTTAAAAAAGGGCAAAGAAGTGACATTGACTTGGCCACGCACACCTGACCAACAAGCCACGCCCTCCCAGTCACCTTACCAAGGCCCGCCCACAGAACTGGTAGCAAAAAAATTTAGATTTTACCCCTGCTTCAATGTCATAGTTACTTCCCAGAATGCCTGAGTTCTAGAGACACTCCTTAAAAAAATACTAGGTGATTGTAGCTTAGTCCCTGTTTTTGCTGATTAATCAGCAATCCAAGAAGGATGAATATAAAAAGTTAAACCGATAGTAAACATTCTAGGGAGAGATACGATAATGCACACTCTGAGAGTTTAAAGGACAGTTTTGTGGGTACCTGCACGTGCACGTACCTAATATTACTCCTCACATTTATGATCTATGAGCTTGTTTTGATGTGATGTGCACTTGCCTCAATGTTTTGCCCGATACTTGGGGTGTGTGTGAACTTGATTTTCATTAACTTATTTGGGCGTGGTGCATGCATATTTTATCTGGTGTTTCTTCCCCTTTTCTTTTTTCATATGGATGTGTGGTATGTCTGAAACTTTTAGCTTATATATTTCTGTAACATGGCTAATTTACCTTCCTGAAGTTGGCATTTAAGAAGGAAAATCTGAAAAATTGACATTTTGTTACAAAGTATAGATCCCATGGTATTCATGATGTATATACATACCACACTCCGCAGGAAAAAAAAACACTTAAAATTTAAAGTGGGTTCATGGACTCCCAAAGTCAGCATTGTACTATTTCCTCTGCAGCTTTCCTTATTTTACTAAGACACATCCTAGAATGCTAAAATTCGGAGTTTAGTAGCATCTTTTGCAACTATTGTAACAAATTTCAATATAGGCTTTTAACGTATGCCTTTTAATATCATTTGTCAGCGAGAAAAAGTGCTACCAGACTCCTTCAGATTTTTGGCTACCATACATTAACACAGATATCTTCCTACAATGCTACAACCTGCAGGCAAGTTTCTAACCAGGTTCTGGATATTCACTGAGCTCCAGGTTCATAGCACTTATCTTGCCCCCCAAAAATCTGAACTGGACAATTAGTCTTCCATTCTACAATAACATTTTCTACTTTAAAATAAACAAAAGTCTGATGTTACTTATTTAAAAAATTTTTTTGATAAGGGGATAGTGCTAAAAGGCAGAATTAGGAAGAACAAGTAAACACACCAAGCTGGGAAAAGGGTATATTTGAACATATTAAAGTAGCAATCTAAACATATGAAAGTTAAGCCCAAACTGCTCAGTATTTTCAGTTTGATTCTACAGGCGTTTTCCTTCTGAGTCATAATATTAGGTCTAACTGGAAAAAATATGCTGGGACTATTATTGCTAACAATTGTTATCATTATTTGGTAACCTATACATAACAAACAAAATGAAATTAGGAAGAATGTTCCTGAAACATGAGAAAAGAGTCAAAACATATGAAAACAAGATAGTAGGCTGAACAGAGCAGAGTTACTTATCTTCTTGGGTTTCCAGGCAACCTCAAGGTTGATCCACCTCCCTCCACTATCAGGATTGGAAGTTTGATGTCATTGGGTATGTGATGATGGAGCATAGAGGTCTCAGATTGCCTGCTCCTGGTATATTGTAACTGAATCTATCAAACTTTAAAAAATGTTCTAATCTACTCAACTGAATAAACCTAGAAATAATTTATTTTCAAACAAGAGGAAATCTACAGTAGTGGCCAAAATTGTGGAAAATTCCCTTTTGGGGAAAGTGTATTTTTGAAGTTTGATGGCTAATAACACTTTTTTTTTTTTTGAGTTTCAAGATAATCATATTCCAGTGCTGGAATGGCCTGGGAATAGCCCAGACCTTAACCCAGTTGAAAATCTATTGAGCTGACTAAAGAAACTTGTTAGTCAGAAGCGACCCAGCAATAAAACTCAGTTAATAGAAGCAATCCTTCAATCTTGGTTTCACATTATAACAGCTGCAGAAAAGACTTGGTTCACTCGATGGGAAGACATTGTAAGGCCGTAATTCATGCTAAAGGTTACCCAACTAAATATTAACTGACGTGATAATTTTTATATATCTCATTTTTCTATGGTGATAATTTTTGTGTATCTCATTTTTTCTACCTGTTTCACTTTTCTTCTTCACTGTAACTGCTATTTCAGTGTCTTTTAGCATTTGCAGGTTTGTATACTTGTTTCCTCTGCAATACCCAATCTGTTTTCTACCATATACATATACATATATACATATACACACACACACACACACACACATACAGATTTAGAAAAGAAACAGAACTCCAGAGGAGGAGTAAGCAAAAAAACGAAACAAAAACCCCACTGCATTAAAAGGGCAAAATAAAACCATATTTCTCACCATATCCATTCCACAACTGTGGCCCTTGAAGAGAATGCCTTCTAAATGTATTTTCCCTGGACCATGCAAGGAATTCTGCTGTCAAAGAGAGCTTGTCTCTCAATAGTCCTCAATGTCTTGCTGAGGTTTGGCTGTTTATCCAATAAATCCAGGCAATGACCAGGAGTCAACACACATACATCCTCTAGTCCTCTAGTCATTTAGTCATAGTCATTTACTATGTCCAACAATCATGACTCTTTTCTGCCTTCTACATACATTTCTTACCATTGAGTGTTCTTAGGTCAGCCATATTTTATTTCTAACTATAGAAATCACATTAAAAAGGCCTAGTTTGTTTGTAAACTGAAACAATATAAGGAGAAGAACTCATTCATTCGTAACATAAATACAAAGGAAATATACAATCTAAGCAAAATTCAAATCATTGTTAAAATGCCAATAAAAATGTAAAATGTCAATGAAGAAAAATCCAGTATCTTCTGGATTCAAAATTCTAGACAATCAAACCCCTATAATTTTCCCAACCTCAAATAGATATTTCAATCTTAACTAGCCTTATGTTATAGTCTGCTGTTTCCCAAATTCAGCAATTTGGAGAAAGATGTTTCCATTTTACTATCATATCTTCAACTTGAAAAATCACTACTGCTGATTAAGATGTCATACTTCTGTTAATTAACCCAACTGTGGGGACAATAAACACAATTAATTCCCGTTTCTGATTTTCTCAACCATGATCCTTCAATGTAGGACAAAGCTGAGAAGGAATACCTCTGAAATGGAAACAGCTATACTGGAGAATAGCTGGATACCCGTGCTTTGCTAGGAAACTATGTGATGGGGCTTGATAAATCAACACTTACAGCTTGACAATTAATGAGTAGTTATGATCGGCCTCTCCTCTCCCCTTCTCCCTCTCAGCCTTGCCCCACCGAACCCTATCCTATCCTATCCCCTTTTCTCCCTCAGCCTTGCCCCCAGAAGCCTATCCTATCCCCCTTCTCTCCCTCAGCCTTGC